CAGAGAGAAAAACACTTTTCGGCCGTATCTTTGCCAGTTTTGCGAAGAAGGTGATGGTTTTTTGTGTAAACCCCGCGCTATAAGTCTGTCGGGAAAATAATGGCAGGAAAGGGTGCAGTCGCTCACCAAATTTTCAGCAGCGGCTTGTCGGCACAAAAGCGATGATGGGCGATTTCGAGGCGCGACGATCCGCTGTTATTTTCCCGACAGACTGTGTTCGCTTTTGGCATTTTGTTTGAATTCAACCGGTACTAGGTGGGCGAAGTGCTGAAAGGAGGCGGCAGACTCCCTGTGTTGCCGCGCGACCCACCAATTTACGGTTTTTTGCACCGTGCAATGGGCGTTTTTTGGCTGTCGCTGAAACGCTGACTTTTTTCGCACAGTGTAAACGCCAAAAAACACTACAGCTACTTGTATACATACTATTGACATTTTCATAAAATACATGGATATTTCTCCGCTTTGGAACAGTGCATCTTTGATTTTGTAGCCAAAAAATGTAGGATTTTTGTGGACCGTTCGGGCTGCGACAAATGTCCATGCACTCTGTGAAAATCCTCATGGCACTCTTTTTTCACTGGTATATTCAAAAATTCAAATTTTCCTCCTTCCCGTCTTCAGGCTCAAGTTTGTTGGGATGGTCCGTCGAGCGACGACAAGACCACGAAGACTCGTTTGCGCTGCAAACGCGCCTCATCGACGCGCGAAAAAAAATGGAGGAGGAACAAAAGCCGGAGGAGGCGATCGCCCTTATCACGCTTCCTCCGTCGCTGCTTTTGCGCGCCGCCGCCGGCGTTCCCCTTGTGTTGCATAACGACCGAAGAAGGGAGGGAGCGAAGGGGGATTGCGCACACTGGGTTACTGGGTTACTATTACAAACTTGATTTCGGGGCGAGGAAAAACGTTTTTGGAGGAGGCAAGATGGGGGATGGGGAAGGGTGGGTTGGGGCTGATTGAGATTTTTGGACAAGCCCTTTTTGGTGTTGGCCACAAGAAATTAGTCTGTCGGGAAAGTAATGAACACTCTGTCGTAATGGCAATCGCATCAAAATGAATTGTGCCGCGGGAAAATCAAATCGCTGTTCACTTTAGCGACGTGATAAACGCAGCGACATTATCCTCATTATTTTCCTGACAGACTATGATTCTCTGGCCAACGAAATTTTTTTTTGTGAACTTGACGGATTTGATTTTCTTTTTTTGTGAATTTGGGGTACCATCAAAAGGTTTAACTTTATTTGTAAATGTTTCCAACTCTAGGTACATAATGATGTCTTGCACAATGCTATTTTTTTAAATTATTGCTTTTTCTTTTTTTTTTTGCATTTTCTTGAAGCCCTCAATCCGTAAAGTCACTACAGTGATTTTCGTCATTTGCACAGTGCAGAAAAAGTCAGGGTGCGAGCGAGAGCCCAAAAAACCTATTGCACGGTGCAAAGAAAATTTTTGTTTTCGCACAGTGCAAGTCGCTGGAATCATTTTTGGCGTTTGCACTGTGCGAAAAAATGCTGCAAGCGACAGCCCGAAAAAGCCTACTGCACGGTGCAAAAAACCAAAAGTTGCACAGTGCAACGTGAACTTTTTTTCGCACAGTGCATGTCGCCCAAATCACCCTAAACGACGTTACGAACGAACAGTATCAGTCTGTCGGGAAAATAATGTGAATTTGTCTCGTCTTTCGACCATTTTTTTATTTAAATCGGTCACCTCTTGTAAGCCAAGTTAAAACTTCTAATTCAAGATGCGGTACCCTATAAAAATCCCCAATTTTTCCTGCCTTTTTTCCGCATGATCTGAACGTAATTTTTTTTGCAAACCACTTTTACTTTTGGCACGTGCAATTTCTCGCCTTTTTCGCCTCCGTTTTGCACCATAATTTATACCACCTCCACTTTGGGGTCGGTTTCTCTTTAGTCAATGACCGGCAGAGCGCTCGCTGCATTACAATGAATCCGCAGGCTGCGTGCGTGTGGTTTCGGATGCAAATTGCGTTTGTTTTTCCGCGCGTTGTCGACGACCCGGCAACTTTTACGTTTTGCACTTTTACGGCGCTCCGAGGCGTGCGCGGAATGTTTTTGGGCGAGAAAATAATACGGTAGGGTAATTAGCGAGACTAAGAAATGCGGGAAGAGGCTTGTGGATTGTTCTATGGACTTTTGATTTTTGGCGCTGGCACTGTGCAAAAAAAGTCGGGAGCGAGCGACATCCCAAAAAGCCTATTGCACGGTGCAAAAAGCAAGAAGTTTCACGGTGCAAAGAAAACTGTTGTTTTCAATTCGTGTCGCCGATTTTGACCCGGCAATTTTCCGGAAGGACTAGTAGCATTTTCAGAAAGTGCATGGACATTTTATTTCTTTCGCACAGTGCACCTGGAACGCATTGTGGATTTTTGCCTTTGCGCACGGTGCAAACCTGACAAAAACCGTTTCCACGGTGCAGACTTAAGACTTTGTGCACTGATTTCGAAAAACTTAGAAAAATGCACCGGATTTCAGAATTCGGTGCCGAGGAGAAAATAAGTCGACGCCAATTTTTCGATTTGGGTGTCCACTTTTTCGTGCACCTAACATCGCGATTTGGGAAAAAGCCTTTTTAAATGCTTATATGACCACCTTTAATTGCACAGTGCAACGCCAAAAAAAGGTGAATGCACGGTGCAAAAAACCGTTGATTTTTGTGCACGGTGCGAGCCGCGACATATGTCCGTGCACTTTATAAAAATGCTTTTTCATTTTCATGAAGTGTATTGACATTTGCACTGCGCATTTCCGATCGTTATCAAAGCATTTTTTGACGGTGCAATTGTCTCAAATTTTGCAGCGGTGCAATGTAAAAAGTTTGCGTTGTAGCAATTTTACTTGAAAAATCGAATTCACTGTGCAGTTGAACTTTTTTCTACGCACGACGAAAAGTCCATGTAATTTATGAAAATGTTAATACTAGTCCGTTCGTAACGTGGCTGGAGTAATTCTTGGCGTTTACACTGTGCAGAAAAATTCAGGGTGCGAGCGAGCGCCCAAAAATGCCTACTGCACGGTGCAAGAACCAACAAATTGCACAGTTCAAAAACTCTGTTTTCTCACAGTTCATGGCTCAACAATCGCTCCAGCCACTTTTCAAACACACTTTTAAATCCCTCAATTCTTGTCATATCCTTTTTTGCGACCTTGTTATCAAGCTACGTGATATCCAAACAATTCCCGTCGGAGAATCCAGATTTAGCACGGATTAATCGGGATCTTAATTAGCATCTGTACATGAAAAATGTGTTGTTCAATATCCTAGACCACGTGGGAAATTGGTGTTCGTCTGTTTTCGAGGAGTTTTTTTTTTGCAGAAGTACTTGTTATGATGAAACTAGACAAGTTTCGAAAACCTTTTTTGAAACACATGCGAAACTTCTAGCTCACGCTTTACAAAGAAGACCGTGATTTTTCAGGCTGAAATGTGGCAAAGATGTTACATTTTTTATAAATTTCCACAAAAAACACTTTTTTCTACGCGAAACTGACAAAGATATGGTCAAAAAGTCTTTTCTCTATAACCACTCTCCGTGTTTCACGTACTCTCTCGGCCTTTTTTTTGATTCTTTTGTCATCGAAAAGTTTACAATTACATTTGAAAAGTTCTCGTTGTAAAAATGATTTGTTAGGATCTTATGTTTTAACGGTTATATATTAATACACCAGCTATTGTTTGACTGTCACAAAGCAAACTCTGCAACACTTTTTCGTCTTCTCTCTCTCTTCAGACTGACGTTCATATACATATGTAAACGTGTCCTGTGCAAGACGAGAGCTTTTTTGGGCACCATCGCAACTTGTGATCCCTGTTCTTCGAGCAGCTCTGCAAACTGGACCCAGTTCTGGCCTGTTCCCCCACAACTTTTCTGCGCGCATATTCTTCCTCTCGCTGGGGCAATTGTTTTTTTTAGTTTTTGCTGACGAACGTTTTCTACGTTCAGTGAGAATTGCTTTCGTAGAAAATTTATGCATCTGTCTGTCGGGAAAATAATGAGCAGAATGTCGTTGCGTAGATCGTGTCGCTGAAGTAAAAATCGATTTTTTTCCGGCGACAAAATTTATTTTCTCTGCGACGATGCGATTTTCGATGCGACAGGGTGCTCATCATTTTCCCGACAGACTGGTATACATGTAAATAGTTGCAGTTGAAGTCTATTTTGGAGTGAATTTTGGGGTAAATGGGAAGTAGCCCAAGTGCGATGTTCAGATTTTGACAAGACGTCAGGCCAAGCGAATTTGAAAAGGGCCGGGCCACAATTTTCGGCGCGGCCCGGCCCCAAAGCCATGCCTGTATAGTCTCGCGTATGTTGTCTTGGAAAACCTTACTAGCAGTCTGTCATTAAAATAACGGTGGGTGGACGTGCCTTACAAGGGAATGGTCCGAACGATCCGTGGGATCCGCAAATGAGACCTCGATATTCTGAAAGAGCAGGTAAAATTTAGTAGAAATCCGTTTTTTCTACTTGCCGAATAAGTCTGTGCGACGAGAAATATCGACCGAAACTTTTTTCCGATTTCCTCTCTTCATCGAGTGCGAAAATTCGGAAACGAAAGGCCGTGTCGGTGTGGCGCAGTGGGAGTGAAACCCCGCTCGAAAAATCTTTTGGGGAGTAAAGCGTGTAGGTTCGAGACCGCCCATATAAAATTGATCATATCTTTGTAGTTGGGTGAATTCATGACATTTAAAAATTTTTTTTGTCGACGTTGTTGATGACATTTTGCATAAACGAAGCTTAAATATTTCAATACAACACTTTTTTCGAGAATGATCTTGAAGTCTCTAGGACCTGATGGAAATGTCTAGAATTTTCCATTAACTTCTGGATATTTGTGGTAAGAAATTTGTACTAGTAAATTGAAAACGGTAGCTTGAACTACTGTAAAAAATTTGTGTAGTTCTCGGAAAAGTCGAATTACCTCGAGCAATCAGTGGTAGGTGAAAATTGAAGTTTATGATTTTTTCATAGATTAGTCAATATGGAGCAATCTTTCGCATTTCGACCGGCAAAAATACTGGCTGTGTTGGTCCGGGACTTCGGAATTGACAACTCCGCCCAGCCTCTGTCCAGAGATGAGCATAAGCTGGCCAAAGTAATCTACGGAATGCTTGATAGGTGTCGGGCCGGGGACGAATATGAAGTCGACGAAGAAGACGACATGACCACAGACCCAGACTACGTCCCGGAAAACGATAATTGTGTCGCGGTGGATGCAATAGACCAGTTGGAAACACAAATTTCATTTCCGAGTGGGGAAATTGTCAGCTTGGACCGCGCAGTTGAAGCAATCAACTACTACCGAGACACGCAAAAGAACACTCGCAGTTTGGCTAGCATGTACAAAAAGTTTCGATTCATCAAGGCAGACAGTGATTTAAAAAAGTTACGTCTGGTGGAGAAGCAACGCGAACGGGCGGTTTCCAGGCGGGACCAGTTTCGGGTTTTGAACCAGTTGGTGGCGAAGAGCGTCAAGGAAAAGATTGAGGAAGGGATTGGCATCCATGACACCGACATAATGCTAATGGCCCTAAAAGCCAATGATCAAGTTGGAATACGTGGCTTCATTGCATCGCAGTCATGGGTGACTGACTTCAAGCGAATACATAGCATTGTCTCTCGTCACATCACGACCTTCGTTTCCAAGCGCTCGATGGTAAATCGTGAACATACCGCTTCAAAAGCGACTGCGTTGGTCGAAAAAATTAAAAGTATGGTGGGAACTGGTCGCGGAAAAGTCCCGTACTCGGCAATTCTAAATACAGATCAATCCGCTCTATTAAAGGAACTGCCAAGTAACCGTAGCCTGGCTTATAGAGGCGAAAAAACCATCCAAAGAATAGTCCAATCTGTTAGTTCCATAACGCACTCCATTACAATAATGCCAACCATTTATGCTGATGGAAAAGTATGTCCGAAACTCTTTATTGTAATGAAGGAAAAAGATGGAAAATTCCCTTCCACCTTTAGATTTAGGTAAGCAACATTCTTTTCTCGCGGTGTTATTTTTAGATCGGATTTCCTTGTCGTTCGCGCTGGTCATTCGCATATAATGACAAAGCCGCTGCTCCTAGAGTACATTGAAAATTGTATTGTTCATCCCGGCATGCCTCCAAAAACGATTTTTCTATGCGACTCTTGGAGCTCTTTTAAAGACCACGAATCTATGAAAAGCAAGATGCCTCCGGGAAAACAACTCGAGGTCGAAAACATCCCCCCGAAAGCAACGTCATTGATTCAGCCTCTCGATGTTGGGTTCTTCCGTACATTTAAGGCCATGGAAAGGCGAGTGTACTCCCGTGTTCTCTTGGAAAACCTCGATTTCAAATTTTATCAGCGCGAAAGTATGCTCAAAATCATTGAAGTAATTTGGAACCAGATCTTGAACCCAAGATTTACCCCGTTCATACAGTACGCCTGGTCAAAAGCTGGCTTTCGAGATGACAAGCCAAGTTTTGAAAATCCGCTTGACACCGTTTTTCCGAACGTACAGCTGGTAAAATGTCAATCCCCAAACTGCATGAAATACTGCCTGGCAATTTGCTCATTCTGTAGTGCAAGCCTCTGCTTTGACCATTTCGTTGTTAGTCGTCACACGCACTCGATCTGTTAGTTTTGTAAGGTATCTAAAATTGCAAGGATTGTTGGTTTGTCAAAATTAAATGTTTGTTATCGAAAACCTTGAAAAAAAAATTTTTAAATGTCATGAATTCACCCAACTACAAAGATATGATCAATTTTATATGGGCGGTCTCGAACCTACACGCTTTACTCCCCAAAAGATTTTTCGAGCGGGGTTTCACTCCCACTGCGCCACACCGACACGGCCTTTCGTTTCCGAATTTTCGCACTCGATGAAGAGAGGAAATCGGAAAAAAGTTTCGGTCGATATTTCTCGTCGCACAGACTTATTCGGCAAGTAGAAAAAACGGATTTCTACTAAATTTTACCTGCTCTTTCAGAATATCGAGGTCTCATTTGCGGATCCCACGGATCGTTCGGACCATTCCCTTGTTAGAATCGACGGCTAGTCGCGGCTGGGGATTTGGTGCACCCTATTTTCAAAAAGGCGAGATTTTTTGCTGCGGCGACCCACCACCATTTTCCCACAAGCTGATAGGTGGGCCATACTGTCTTAACAAAGTCTGTACAGAGCTGCACCGGGCAAAAACCTTGTCGCTTTTCTTGCCATCCAGTAAAACGCACAGTGAACCCTCGTTTCGCAGCCTGCCAAATTTTTGCCGCGCGACGCTTCGTCGCGATTTCGACTACTTTTGCGGCCGCACGTGCCAAACATGTCAACGTTTTTTTTGCCGTCTAGTATTCTAAATTTGTGCCAAATTTCATTAGTATCCACGACTGGCATTTCGAGCATTTCCAGCGCTCGAATCTTGATCTTTTCGTAGTAGACTGTACTTTAACGTTAATCCCGGCCCCAACACGTTCGCCGATGATTCTATTTTTGCATCTGACTAATCTCTCAGCCGTCTAATTATCCCCTCAATTTGCCCTCCAAATGTAGCTGAGAGGGGGAAGTGGGCGGAGTCGGCGGAGACGAGTGGACATATTCCCGAAAACGGACGATATCTTCCGATTGTGCGGAGACTGGTTATGTCACAGATTGTCTCTTCTTTCTTCGCGCGTCGCAATTATATGTGTCATTGGGTTTGTTGTTGTTGTGGGCGATGAGTCAGATGGGCAAATAAACGATGAGGGTTTTTTTTGTGAAAAGGCGAATAAGTGTAAAGCCAAATGTGTTTGCTCACACCCACGTGGGTAATTAATAAATTTGGAAAGTATTTTTAGAACTTTTTCGGACATCAAATTGCGAAAAAACAAAATTTTTGGAAATTTGTTGACTGCACTGTGCAAGTTTCGAATTTATTGCAAAAAATTAACTGAAAATTATTTTCGATATTGCAGTCAACTCTGCACAACGAAACATGCTACTAGTCCTCCGGAAAGTCGTCGGACTGAAATCGGTGATGCGCATTGTGCAAAAGCAAAAGTTTTCTTCTCACTGTGCGAAAACGAAAATTTTCTTTGCACAGTGCAATAGGTTTTTTTTGGCTACTCTCACCCTGTTTTTTTTCGCACAGTGCAAACGCCAAAAATCAGTCCGCCGACTTTTCAGAAAGGCTACCGTGCACGGCAACCCAGGGAGTCTCCCTCCTCGTTTCGGCCCTCCTTCGCACACCCAGTATCGGTGAAATTCACACGAAATGTCACAACATTTTTCATGTGGTTTTTCGATGGAAAACTATTTTTCTCGAAATTATTTTATTGCTTTTGTCAGTTGTGGCACTTCGTTTGGACGAAACTCAAAAGTGGGCGGGAGACATTTTTGTTCTATTTCGGTTTGCCGTGCCGTGTAAGTTTCAGCGCGCGCATTGGAGGGACAGCCGAGAAAAAAAGTGTTCAGAAACTTTTTTTCCGGGAGAGTGTGAAAAGTGCGTAGATCGATCAGAGAGAAAAGCATTCTTTTTTTTTTGTTATAGCAAGTTTTCTTCCCACAGTGCAATTTCTCGTTTTTTGCACCGTGCACTAGGCTTTTTTGGGCTGTCGTTCGAACACTGATTTTTTTGCACAGTGCTAACGCCAAAATCAATCCGGCGACTTCCGGAAGGATAAGAATGAAACCTGCCCACAACGAACAATTCCAGAGGTCCCAATGGTCATTTTTAGGCCAAAAAGGAACCTCCGTACAACGAAGTCCATCGTCTTTAGTCTGTCAGAAAACTATGTAATGGTGATATTCGTATTATATTATTATATTTATGTTCATAAAATTAATGGAAATTTTTTCTCCTTCGCGCAGTGCATTTTGCGCATTTTCCTACGCTTGTCGCCCACGCACAGTGCATTTTTCTCTTTTCGCACAGTGCAAGCCCCATTTTTTTGAATCATTTTGCACTATGCAATTTCCTGTCGCGCTCACAAGGTTTGCGCTGAAGCATTTGAAAAAGCGTTAATTCCGCGTGCCGATGCAGCAACGCTAGTTGAAACTGCCCTATAGTTTGGGGGTCTTTGTGTGTTTTGAACAGGTTTGTGGGACGTCCCAGCTGCGTATATTGGACAAATCTCACATGGAAAAAAATTTTGCGAACCTTTCGAGGAAATGGAAGTGCTATCGCCCTTTTGTTTGATTGCTATTTACTCTTTTGGGATTTTGAACAGGAAAAAAAGAAAGTGGTACGAAAATGTACGGCAGTATTGTTGTTTAGCTTGTCGTTCGAGCGAGAAAGCGTCGTATTTGTTGTGATTATGACTTCGTAATCTATGTTTTCTAAAAGCTCAACGTTAGAATATTTTTTTCTAAAACACAAGCTAGACTCTCAGCTCGCGCTTTGCAGAAACGACCCAGATTTTTAGGCCAACGTTTTTTGCGAATCTTAGCCTGACAAGTTTTATGCCTATTTCTACCGTAGACAGCAATGTTTTCACAGAAAGGCAATTTTTTCCCACGAAACTGGCAAAGATATGGCCAAAGGGTTTTTTCTCTCTGCCTGCTCTCCGGGTTTTGCGTACTCTCTCAGCCGCAAAGATCGTCGAATATCTCGGTAATCCTTAATCTCTATCCTTATATGTTAGTTTAGGTCCCACCACGAAAACCATCATTTTTAAAGATCAAATCATTAATGAAAAATTGATTACAACCTCACAGCAATCAATAAAACTGAACTTTTTTTTGACAAATTGACCGCCTTAACCTACAGTAATCCAAAGTTTTTTCCCCACACTCACCCCACTGACCCAGATCCGAAGTCAATTTTTTTCGACACCACCCAAAAACATCGCCCAAATAAAAGAGCGTTTCGAAAACCTGATTAAGCCCTCCTCACCTTTCCTTCGCTTCTGCCCCGAGGCCCTTTTTCACCTACTTTAATCTCCTTCATTAAGTCATCGTCGCCCTCCCCGCCAAAACAGAGAGTGGGGAGGGAAGGAATCCCGTTCCTTCCGCGGGCGCGGGGATCGGTGTTGCGTCATCGTCGCGGATCAACACCTGTCCACTCGAGGGCTTTCCTGTTTTCCTCTCCTCTCCGCCTAAGGTAATATCCGGGAAGGCAGAGAAGGAGAGGAAGGAAGGGAAGAGCTGCGATATTGGCGATTAGCGACGCTAATTGGCTCACGTTTTTGGTCGGATTAAACAACAGATTTTTTTTCAGCGGGTTGACGGGATGGGAATGGTCAACATACCAAAATATTGGTATTTTGGCCTGTCAGGTTTTTTCGGACCATTTTGATGACTTTTTTCAAGGCAAAAATTTTTCGCGGCGGGAGGACCACAAAATGGAAAAAAATCAAAATAAAAATGGCGAATTCGTATTTTACCCTAAAAGTCTAATTTTGAGGGCAGTTTAAAAGGTTTTCCATAAACAAAAGTTTTCGTGGTGGGACCGAAAATGAAAAAAAATGAAATAATTCTACAAATTTCGATTTCGTATTTTAACATAAAATTTGGGACAGTCTGATTTTTTTCAAAACAACAACTATTCTTGTGGAGGCATAAATTTTTTGTTGGCCAAGAAATTTCTAAGGCATGCCACATTTACAGCTTTCAATTTGCAGAGAAATTCTAAATTTTTTGAGCCAAACTGTCCAGAGTTATTTTTTCTCTCCAATTCTCCTCATTTTCCGTGTTCTCTCCCAAAAATAATTTTGAAAATCTCGATTGTGGCCCCAAAACGAAAGCTAAAAATTTCAGGCTAACAAGGGAAGTACCCCAAGTGCGACGCTCAGATTTTCTTTAAATTGTGCACACACGTCGGTCATGAACTAAGTATCAATTCCTGAAAGTTTTAGCTCGCGCTTTGCAGGCGCCGCCGAGATATTGAACGATTTTTGCCGCCGAGAGAGCACACTAAACGTGGAGAGCGGTCAGAGGGAAAAACACTTTTTGGCCATAACTTTGATAGTTTCTCGCGGAAAAAATTGATTTTTTGTGGAAACATTACCCTGTATGATAGAAATAGGCATGAGACTTTGCGGGCCGAAGTTCGGCAAAAAATGTCAAATTTTCGCCAATTTTCGATCTAAAAATCTCGGTTGTTTCTGCAAAGCGCAAGCTAGGATTCTCGCATATGTCTTAGAAAAAAACATTCTAAATTTGTGCCAAGTTTCATCAAACTCTGAGCGTCGCACTTGGGGTACTTCCCCTGAAGCCTGTTTATCGACTAGTGCTTTCGTAAAGTCGCTGAGGTGATTTTTGGCTCTTCTCGAGCGGCTCTCCTAAAACAATCGCAAAAAAATTCCACGTATCCGCATGCGCACACGCTAGAAAATACCGCTTGAGGTGTTTTGCAAACTGCCGGTGACATTTTATACGATGCATAATTTCTATCAGTCTGCTGCTCTCTGTTGCACCGAAAATAGCATCGCCGTTGTGAAAATGAATTGCGTCGCATTGGCTTACTATTTTCCCGACAAACCGATAATCCCGTCAAGGCTTTATTTTGACAGCAAATAAAGAACTTCTAAAGACCAATTTCCTTTCCTAAGCTTGCATCCCACCAAATTCAGTCTAGAGATGGCATTTAATCCCATTTGTCGTTGAATGGGGCAATCTTTTTAAGGAAAAGTTTTCATCTGTGCTGAGCAGCCCTTATCCTGGCTTATCTCTGGATATCGGATATCGAATTAATGCGGTGTGACTGTGTCATTTCCGGTCTTCCTGTAATTTTGCCGGTTTCTCTGTACGGATATGGATGGTTTTTGTGGGTGATAAGGTCACATTTCGTCAAAACCTTGACCGTTAGTCTTCCATAACTCGTGCCCTTATACTGTCAGCAGATTAATTAAAATTTCTAATGGTCCAAAGAGCGGATATAAGGGACCGAAAACTCCGCGGTAATCTCATACCACAGAATATATGGAATAACTTAACAACTTGTATCGGAGATCGCATCGCCGCTGAGAAAACGTGTCGCGACTAAATCAAATTGCGACAATGTGCTTATTATTTTCCCGACAGACTGATACTAGGAGGCAAAAAGTTGCTGCAATGATTTTCGCGACATGCACTGTGCAAAAACAAAATTTTACTTTGCATTGTGCAGTTTCTTGCTTTTTTCACCGTGCAATGGCCTTTTCATTCTGTCGCTCAAACCCTGATTTTTTTCGCATAGTGCACGTCGCAAAAACCAATCCTTTATGAAGGGAGTAGTATAACGCTACTTTTAGTATTTTCACAAAGTGAATGGACATCTGACGCAGCCCGCGTCGTGCGCAAAAACCCAAATTTTTTTGGCACCGTGCATTCACCTCTTTTATGGGTTTTACACCGTGCATTTGAAGTATCGCTGCGACACAAGCTACTCTGTCGGCGCGAATTTTTAGAAATTGCACAGTGAAAAAGACAACTCTCACGTGCAGTGTAAAAAATGCCGGAAAAAGTCTACGCACTTTCTGGAATCACCAGTAGTCGGTTCGCAAAATTGCTGGGGTGATTTTCACAACATGCACTGTGCGAAACCAAAACTTTTCTTTGCACTGTGCAATTTTGTGCTATTTGCACCGTGCAAAAGGCTTTTTCGGAATGTCGCTCTCACTCTGACATTTTTCGCACATTGCAAACGCCAAAAATCATCCCAGCGACTTTACTGAAGGTGGCAAGCGTTGACTGTGTTCTCGAAAATCGCAAAATTCTGGATTTTTGTCAGAAATATTTTTTTAAAATTTTTCACAATTTCTTTTCTAATTGTTTAATTAAAACTGTTGCACCAACCCCACCAATTAAGTCGGCTATTTGTGGAATTTCAGAAAATTTCCGAATTTTGAATAATCCTCGCCGGATAATGGGTTCCTGAGTAATTGAACAATCCAATATACCGCGGATTCGAATACTATTATAATCCGCTCAGTAATTAATCAGAAAATGACAGTTGTTGAAGTTTCGTGGCCCTTCAGAGGGATAATGTCAATCCCCAAAAAAAAGGGGGGGGGGGGATTTGCATAATTTTGGAATTTGGCCGTGGGGGCTTTCGGAGAATGATTTTAAAATTCTCTAATTTTAAATAGTAAGAATTATAAAGTTAATTAGTCATGTCTGGATTGTTTGAGGCTTCTAATTTTAGACATTTTTGGCAAAAAAATAAAAAAAAGTTTTGCAACGTGCAAAAAAAATAGAATATTTTCTTTCGGATGCCGACGAAATTCGTATAAAATAAAATTCAAAAAAGTGCTGGCTTTATACTTGGCCTAAAATTCAGGGTCACAATGACAAAAAATAACACATTTTTTCCTTTGAGCCCGCCTAGTAGGGGGTACCACACCCTGCCCTCCCCTTCACGTAGTTTAGACACGCCACTGAAGGCGCATTTTACATTTTTTTATTTTGATTTTGCGTTTTGCAGAAACGATTTTTGAACAGAAAAGTGTCAAAAAATATATACATCCTTTATTTTGTTTACCTTTTGACCTTTAATTTTATTATATCGCATTTTACAAATATTTGAATCTCCGTGAGTTTGCATTGCCCGTCGTATTTTACCATCATTTTTCCCTAATTTCAGCCCTCAAAACAACCAAAGAGATGGCTCTGCCCTTGGTGTCCACCCCAAAGATTGAAATGATCGCCTCCGGCGGAGCCTCCGCGCCGGCGGAGGCGATGAACACTTCCGTCATCGAAGAGCCTCGAGTTATGTCGTTGGGCGAGCTGTCCAAAGAGTACTCGTCGTATGTGCTGCTCACGGTAGGTTTGAAAATTTATGCAAATTTTATGCAATTTTTTTGCAATTTTAATGTCGAAAATATGTTGAAAACCCAAAAACAACCACTCCCAATTAGCCAAATCCGTTGCAGCTTGTAATGTAACGGCTTTTACGGCACTCTAAAAGTATTACATTCCCGGGGATTAAACTGAAATTTGCAATAATAGGATTTCCTCTCCACACATAATGGGATTGCGCGGTTTACAATGTGCTGGATCAGCGGGGAAACTGCTGCAAGCCGATTGGAGGGCCGTAAATTTTGTTGATTCGCAAAGTATTTGCTATGCTTTGAAAGTTCACTGTTCACATGAGTCGTAGAGCCGTTAATGAAGTCATTAGGGCTTTGATCCAAACTAGGCTTGGCGCAAGGCCGGGAGCATGGCTCCGGCGAGGAAAATCTTAATTTTTGCTCACAAGAGAGGCATGAGATTGTCGGGAAAATATGTACGAGTTGTTCCAATACGCTAATTTTTTGAAATTGCACATTGCAAAATGTTTCGAATCGGATCGCGTCGTGGCGGGCGGAGACGGCAAGCCGCAGTTGCAGGTTTAGTGCGCGGCTGCACCTTTTTTCAACGAGGTGAAACATTTCGCTGCGACGACTCGCCACTATCTTCCCGACAGACCGATACTAGTTGCCATGAAGTCCCGGCGCAAAAAGTCAAGTTGCGAGCGACGGCCCGAAGGATCCTAAATTGAACAGTGCAAAGAACTTATGTTTTCGCACAGTGAATGTCGCTAAAATCACTTCAGCAACTTTCCGAACGGATTACTAGTCAGTTACGTCGCTGAAATGAAAAAGCAATTTGATTTTGCCGCTACACAATTAATTTTCTCGACGGCAGTGCGATTTTCGATGCGATAAAGTGCTAATTATTTTTCCGACAATTAGATAAACTACAGTTTCGATTGCCATTAGGTTTGCTGGTCCCACTTCTGCAGGGATTACGCTATATTTTTGTTATAAGTGCATTCTACAACCGACATTACTTCTTGCCGCAACGAAAGCCCTTATCGAATAATATAAAGCCCCTTCTAATCCGTCTGCGTAGTATTCCGGTACGAATTTCGCATTAATTCCTGTGATTCCTGCATGCGGCCCAAAGCAGATTTCACCCAGTATTATAATAGCACAATGGCGGACGTCAGCGGTGGACAAAACAGCGACGTACGCGGGCTAAAATTAGGCCACTCCACGTGCGGCACGTGCGTAAGGAGCGGTTGGTAAATAACGTTGAGGAGAGTGGGGTTTGTGGTGTTGTAGGGTTATAAGTTCTGATGGGAGATTTTGATATGCATAAAATTGCTTGGAGCGGGAAGGAGAGCCGTTAACCACCGCTCAGAGGAATATAGACTAGTTAGAATAAGAATAGAGTTTATTTGGCACACACAAAAGAGAGAGACCACTCTCGCGAGAGACGGGACAGAGAATGACTCTGATTTGGGATCAAACGTTGCTTTTATAGCGGTTGATAAACGTAGAATCAGTGGGAACTTGGGTAAAAATGAAGACGTGAATGTTGGGCAACATGGTTACGATAAAAAATAATGACTATGGGACATACCGGCTTTGTTAAGAATTGGCTTAAATTTGGAAAGATCTTTATTGGATTTATGCGACTTGTGGCTTGAACTGGTCCAGTACAACATCATTTTTATAATATTCAGATAGTTTGAAAGCTGGCAAAAATACTGTCTTTTTGCAAATTTTTGTGTTTATTTCTATCGTATAGGGTACCGTTTTCACAAGAAATCATATTTTTCCTCACGCAACGAGCAAAGATATGGTCAAAAGGTGTTTCTTCTCTCTGGCCGCGCTCTGGCCACGTTCACCACGCTCTTTCGGCCGCAAAGTCATTGAATATCTCGCTGCGCCTGTAAAGCGACAGGCTAAAATTTTCATTTATACGAACTATGTGCCAGTAGTTCCTTTGTAAGCCCATCTTACAGTATGCCTTCTCAACTTGGCCGCCTTAAGCCTGCATTTATACAAATTAACCGCCAACCTTTTGTTTGACATAAGCAGCTTGCACGTGGCCCAGCGTACCGGCCTTTGTCTTTGCAGCACTCTACTGTAGTAGAACGGTGTTTCATCATGGGGAACGAAAGGCCCTAATCCTTCAACAAAGAGGGACTTCTCGAGAATTTCGACGCATTTCGTAAGATTGGCGGAACAGCGGATTACCAAGACATTGCAAAGCACCTATTTCGAAGCGACGTAACTCAGGAATGGGCCGGAAATTACATTCCTAGGCAGATTCGGAGGGAAAGGTTTAAAATAGAAATTCAATCTTTTCGCTGGAGAGAACGTGAAGTGAAGTGAGACCGCCAGACGAAAGCGTGTTTTGTTCAATAATTTTGCGACGTCCAGATCTTCTCTTAATTTTGCACACACTTAGGTCATACATATATAACAAGCTAATTACTAAAAATTTTTTCATGTGGGTTCTCGCGACAACCAAGATATTCAGCAACCCTTTCGGCCGAAGGATTACGCGAAATCCGGAAGGCGGTCAGAGAAAAAAATCACTTTCTTTGACGGTTTCGTGCGGATAAAAACTGGTTTTTTGTGGAAAAATTACCTTCTCTGGTAGTTTCTACAAAGCGCGAGCTACAGTGGGGGAGCTGATCCAGTGGCAAAAAACGTACCATTTTATATCCGGGAAGTATCAGAAATGTAGCAAAATGCTTCAACTTCGTTTTGAAGGGTGCGCCTTTTCCCTCACAAAAAGAGCTGCCGCGCTTTTGAAATCGCAGTTTTTTCACGGGGAGAGGGAAGCATTTTGCCACATTTTTGATACTTCCCGGATGCAAAATGGTACGTTGTTCGCCACTGGATCAGGTTCTCCACTGTAGGTGTCTCAGATACGCCTTTAAAAAAAATATTCTAAATTTTTGCCAAGTTTCATTAAAATTTCTAATGTTTTTTGATCCATTTTTGATATGCAGTAATTCTGTTTTTGGAATTACCACGCAAAATCTAAGCCGGGCCTGATTTCTGATCCAAACCGAACGCACAATAAAATTAAATTTTTTCATCTCCCGTTCCACGGCATCATCGACCCGGATTATCGCCGCCAGACAAAGGACCCAATCCTTAGGCGCTGTTTTGGAAGCCTAGCAAAAAAACGCTGAAAAACAAATTTGAGGACAAAGAATGTCGTTTGGGCTACAAAAAATAATTTGAATCCATTAATCCGGCTGGAACACCAAGCCCTAAGGGTATTTGCATTGTAACACCCGATTACACCGCTGAGCCGTCAACATTGGGATTAGTGGTGACGCAGAAACTTGTTATTCAATACTGTAGCTAAAAGTTCTGGAAGCGGAATTAAAAAAGTGGATTTCTTTTGTTTTTCGGGAAGCAAACAGCATGGATTTTGATAATTCTTGGAACAAATAGAGATTAGGGCTTTATGTGAAAAATGTCGGGAAAATAATGAGAACTCTGTCGCATGGAAAATGGCATCCCCGTCGAGAAAATAAATTTTGTCCCGACAAAATAAAATTGTTTTTTCACTTCAGTGACACAATCGATGCAGCGACATTGTGCTCATTATTTTCCCGACAGGCTGATATTATACCTGTGACATGCGATTTTTTGGGTCAAATATTTTCCATAATATTCGTTTTAAATTTTTAGGCTGAAAAATTCTATGGCTTTTAACGATGACATGCATAACTTTTCCACAACAACTCAAATTTTCATTCGAAAACGTTGGCTTTTTCCCATAGTCAACGTTTTCGTCGTCTAGCCAACTCTCCTCATTCTCCGTGCTTTCTTACGACATTCGTTCAATGTATATATAGGCAGCGTCTACAGTGTTGTAACTGACTATCACGCCTCTGATTTTCTATCAGTCTGTCGGGAAAATAATGAGCACAATGTCGCTGCGCCGATCGAGTCGCTGAACTGAAAGACAATTTGATTTTGCCGCAACAGAATTCATTTTTTTGGCGGCGAGAAAATGATCTTCGATGCGCTAGAATGCTCATTATTTCCCCGGCAGACTACAGTTTTTACATTTGTTTTGTGACCTATGCCGATTACACTTTTAAAGTTTCGCCAAAATCTGAGAATTGCACCTCTGGCACGTTCCCTTCTACTTTTTGTTTTACTCTTCGTGCAACGTTGAACCTTCCACCTTTGTAAAGCGCTTTCGGATCAACAAATCCTCTGTTAATCAGCTCAAAGTTCGCTCTACGTCAACACGGTAGCCCATCTTTTGAAGATGGAGCGTTTTTACAAAGTCAAAAGTTGTCACATTTCCTCAATTAGGCTAATAAATCTTGCCTCGCACCTTTCGCAGGGCGCCGCAACGTCATCGTCCGCGAAATCCGCTTCAACACCTTTTGGGGGGAGAGAGCGGACGTTGAACCATCCTCTTATATTATTTTAGCGCGCTTGACGTAATTTAGAGACCTGTTCGCCTGACCATTCCGAATATCTGCCCCGTCAAAGTGGCTGTTGCGCAATCGCCTTTTACGTGTTCGTATATGTGTGTTTTGTCGTTTTTTGCTCGAGGCGATCTCTCTTTTTTGGGGGCTTTGAGGGAATTGGAGTAGTAGGGTGATGACGTCACGGCGTGGACCAGTTTTAGGATCCGGTGGGTTTTGATTGGGTTTGTGCGGGGTTTTGATTAAAATGAGATTTGTATGGGATGGTGAGGAAGATTAGTGCTCTTCTCAACAAAGCCGAGGCTGTAGAGAACTGTTGAGTGCAAGAAATTTCAAAATCCTACAAGAAAGTGGCTTAAAGCAGGACGATTTGGAATAAGGATTTCTATTAGGAGGTCAACAATCCAAATTATTTCAATCACAGCGCACGGTAACCCAAAATAGACCAAAAACGTCTCCCGCTCTCTTTTGAATTTCGTCCAAACGAAGTGTCAATTTTTCGGTCGGAAAACAACACGAAAAGTTCATTTTTGAAATTTCATTTGAATTCAACCGATACTAGGTGGGCGAAGTGCCGAAAGGAGGCGGGAGACTCCCTGGGTTGCCGTGCAGCGTAGCCTCTGTTTTACGAACACCTATACAAGAAAGCTCATCAGTCTGTCCGGAAAAGAGTGGGGGCCTGTCGCAGCAAGATGTTTTGTCTCGGTGAAAAAAGAGTTCAATCGGGCACCAAATTTCCAGCCGCGGATACAAAAAATCGATGATTCCAAGGCGCGACGATCCCCCATTATTTTCCCAAGAGACTGGTAATCTTCGCCGAAGACAGAGCCTGCGGCACGCAATGAGCGTACAGGGAGTGCGACGCTTTTTGGTGATAAACCTGCAAATTTCTAGCAGAAAAAATTGTTATGCTAGATTGGCCAAAAGAAGTTGTTCATGGGTCCTAACGGCTCCGCGAAGTGGCCTTACAGGCTCCGCAGTGCACACGAAACATGCATTGGGCAGCTTCTAACCTTTCCAAGAGATACCGTTTTGCACTGCGCGTGGTCAGCGTGCACCAACATCTCTCGCGGTGATGACTGTCTCACTTGGGACACTTGATGGCTGTGGCACAAATTGTTAAAATCTTAGCGAACGTTTTCCAGAGAGATTAGTGTTTTGACTTTTATTTCTTATTATCTATTTCATGAGGTCCTGTTTACATCTTACACACGGAAAAATTGTTTACCCTCTCAAAAATCAATCTTCTGCGTCTGCATATAATAGAAGACTGTGTCGTATCCTACGCTCATCCCATCCTGGCTTTTCATCCACATGTCCCCAACCCATATCCCATGCAAATCCCCATAACATTTACGCGGAAAAACACTCCAGCCCTGCACAATGTTTTCGTCCCACTGCAACTGCAGATTAACCGAATTTACGTCATCAAAATGCCAATCCCCTGCGGGCACAGCGGATTTCGCGCAGAACTGGGAGGCTTTGCATTTCCGACGGATAAATCTGACATTGAAATTAGAAGGGTATCATTTTTGGAGCTAGTGCGGATCATTGGGATCGGATTTTACTGTATTAGGACTTTCATAAAGTGCACGGACATTTTTTTGTTTGCGCACAGTGCATTTTGAATTTTTTCTTATGTTTGTTGCCAACGCACAGTGCATTTTTTTCTTTCGCACAGTGCAAGCCTAAAAAAGGCCGTTTGCACTGTGCAAATTCCCGGGGCTGGCGCACACTTGCGGGTAACCACTTTGCGGGCAACAGGTTTGCGGGCAAATTTTTTGCGGGCAGCCACTTTGCGGGCAGCCGACATTTGCGGCCAGCACCGGCATTTGCGGGCAGCCTGGGACATTTGCGGGCAGGGTCGACAGTTGCGGGCAGCCTGGAAGATTTGCGGGCAGCCGACATTTGCGGGCAACCGACACCTGATTGTGAGGGTAACAGGGTGGACGTGGAAAAATTACTATGAAATTTGGAAATTTGCCGACATTTGCGGGCAGCCGACATTTGCGGGCAACCGGCACTTGAGGAAAACAAGGTGGAGGTGGAAAAATTACTTCGATATTTTGGAAGTTTTCCGACATTTGCGGGCAGGCAATACTTGCGGGAAACCGACATTTGCGGGCAACAGTTCCAAAAGTACCAATACAGTCTGTGTGATTGTTTTTTCTTGTTGCCCGCAAATGTCGGCTGCCCGCAAGTGTCGGCTGCCCGCAAATGTCGGCAAATTTCCAAAATATCGCAGTAATATTTCCACCTCCACCCTGTTACCCTCAGGTGCCGGTTGCCCGCAAATGTCGGCTGCCCGCAAGTGTCGGTTGCCCGCAAGTGTCCCAGGCTGCCCGCAAGTGTCTCAGCTGCCCGCAAATGTTTCAGCTGCCCGCAAATGTGACCCCCCAAATTTTGCCCGCAAAGTGGTTGCCCGCAAAAAATTTGCCCGCAAACTGGTTGCCCGCAAAGTGGTTGCCCGCAAGTGTCGCGACGCCATTCCCGGCGCTGCCCAAGCGACGCGATTGAAACTTGCTTGTGTCGCAGCGATATTGCCCAGTGCAAAAACTAAAAAAGGGTGAAATGCACGGTGCAAAATGAGAGTTATTTTTTTGCAAGGTGCGAAAACCAAAAAAAATTGCCATGCACGGTGCACGGGATTTTTTGCACGGTGCACTTGTTTTTGGTTCCGCACTGTGCGGCAAAATATCGCAGCGACATAGAAGAAGAATGCACTGTGCGTTAGCGACAAACGTAGGAAAAGGTTCCGAGATGCACCGTGCAAAAGCGAAAAAATTTTCGTGCACTGCGCAAAAACAATGGTTAACTTTGCACTGTGCATTTTTTGGCGTTTTTCACCGTGCGATAATCTTTATTCGGGCTGAGTTTTTCTCCACAGTGCAAACGTGGAAAAATCAATCTAGCGACGTTGCAAATGGACTAGTAATAACTGATGACGGGATTACCCAAAAAACTGATCCTTACGACGAAACACCACCTTGAAAAGTTCCGTTTCTCTTTTTTTGTCCAACATGGCGTGCGTCGCACTTCGAACCATCCTGTTGACCATTTAAAAAAACAAGTGTGCAGTGTAAAATAAGTTTTCAACTCCGTTTACACTACACCTCGTGTTGTCTTCACATTTTTACACTTTTTCCTATCCTACATGCCTGCCAAACCAACGAACATGCTCCAAGAGTGGTTACTCAGGGAAAACAAATACCATTACTTCAAAAATTTTGTAGCCAAAATGTGGGAATGTCATTGTGGTGGGTGCTGACACTTGAGTGAGCACCCTCATGGCTTCTACTGACAAAGAAAATATTGAATGTACCGGTGCAGCTAGTTTTGACGTGCGTTTTGGCGGCTTTGGAGAACGTAATGTCAGCAAACTTTCGCTAGTCCGTTTGTGAAGTTGGTGGAGGCTTTTTTGGTGCTTGCATTTTGAAATAAAATCAGGTTGCGAGTGATAGCCCGCAAAAACTATTGCACCGTGCACTGCATTCCGAGCTTTTTTGTCGCTACCGAAGGTCCCGATTTCCGCTCAAAATGAGAACAGGGCTGGCTGCGCGCCTCGGCTGATAGCTAGCCAGCCCAACAATGAAAAAGAGTAAAAACTGATTTGCAGTGAGAGTGAAAAAAGACCTATCCAATGATATAAACAGTTCCTATTGACTTTCTCCCCATACAGATTTATTTCGCCTACAAAATTTTATTTTTTTTTGTTTAGTCATGGATAAATGCACTTTATGAAATTACTCTCTCGGCCGCAAGGGTCGCTGAATATCTCGGCTGCTACTGCAAAGCCCAAGCCAACCTTTTTAGTAGTTGATATGGCTTTAATTCAATGCAGGCGCAAAATTCATAAGAAAATTCAAGCGCCGCACCTAGGAGCTTCTGCTTTCGAATATTATGTTATATTATTCACATCTGCAAAATCCCAGTTCCACTTGCAGTTCCCTTCCATTTTCATTTGTCACCAATGCCTGTGCAAATTCCAAATATCCAAAATTTTTACGTAGCCGCCCGCTGAAAACTCCTCTTCAATTTTTTTTCCAACAAGCCCACGCTACACCTGGCCAAACACTGATCGCTGGGGCGGCAGTTGTCACAAAACGAATCAAAATTTTTTGGTATTTGCAGTCATAATTTCCATTTTTTTTACCATTTTTTAAATTTTTTGTCGCAGTTCTGGCTTGGGACTTTTGACTTGTGCCGGGAAACAAAAGCCCTTAGGGCTTGTCATTTGGCCTTGCAAGTATACGTATATAATGTGGCTTCCGGATGAGTTGAATTCATTTTTACTGGGAATGTTGATCAAAAATTGGGACTTGAGTTTTTTGTGGCTGCACTGTGCGATCCAACATTTTGATGACTGCACTGTGCGATTTTGTGTCCTTTGGAGTCTGCACGGTGCGGTTTACCGTTTGGAGCATCGAACGGCGCGTTTTGGTTTTCTTGAAGTTTGCATGGGGCATTTTTTGAAGCTGCACTGTGCGGTTTGCCGAGTGGAAGACTGCACGGTGCGATTTGGTTTTTTGACGTTTGCACGGTGCAATTTGCTTTTTTTGAGCACTGCACTGTGCGATTCAACGTTTTGAAGAGTGCACTGTGCGATTTGGTGTTCTTTTGATTCTGCACGGTGCAAATTGGTTTTTCGGGTTTGCACGGTGCAATTTGCTTTTTTTGAGCGCTGCACTGTGCGGTTTACCGCTTGGCAGCCTGCAAGGTGCGATTTATTATTTTTAGAGACTGCACTGCGCAATTTTCTTTTTTTGGAGTCCGCACTGTGCATTTTATTATTTTGAGCAATTGCACTGTGCAGTTCCACTTTTTTGATATTGCACTTTGAAAATCTCTCCAAAACTCCGGCCAAATAAGTTTTCTTGCCATTTCATCCCTAAGCTTTTTTGAAGCGTATTTTACCCAGCTTTCAATTCCAAGAAAATCCAAAAAATTCCATCTTGGATAATCTCAAATTCCAGTTTATAAACTTTACTTCCTTATTGAGATTAAGTTGGTAAAGCACTTATTCTTTGGTGCCATTTACCATTTCCCCATACAATGGCCCCATTTTCGACAAGCTTTTTTTGACCGCACAGTGCATCTTGAACCCGCTCGTTCCAACGGTTTGCACGGTGCAAAAAATTTGCGTTGAGGGCAAAACGATAAAAAACAAGAGTAAAAGTGCTCTTGTAATATTTCGAGATTGTAGTTGGGACGCAAATTCGCTATAAATGCGGTTTTCAGAGAGAAAACTAAGAAAATGGCCGCACGGTGCAAAAAAAAGTGTTCTTTGCACTGTGCGCAGAGAAAAATTTTTAAAAAATCGTCAAATTGGAGGCTTTGGGGTGTAAGAATTGTCCTCATAATTTTTCAAGGTTACTGTAATTTTTTAATTTTTAATTTCCGCTACAGTAATCCGTCTACACATTCATTTCCGGAATGCCTCAAATTCTCTTGTTTTATATTCCCAAATGACTCAGCAATTAGGCCTAATCCGCCGAGGCCAAGGAATGTCCGATATTTTAATCGTTTTTGTGAGGATCTTTGCGACATTTCTCAAAAAAAGTTCAAAAAATTCTTGCTAATCCCCGGGATTATCGCCTGTGCCCTCCGGCGATTATCCCTTCGGATTTTTGCGGTTGATCTTGGAACGGTCCTACAATTGTTTGACGTCAATGCGAGCGGATGTGGAGGGTGGGCAACGGGGATTTTGCCGATATTATCCATCAAACCCCCATGGATAAGATCATGTGTCATAAATACTCGTCTAATAATGCCAAGTCGAAATAGCACACGCCGATTTGCGACCCACACACCGGAAATAGGCAGTTATTATAATTCTGGGGTTACTGTCGCTCGCCGGGGCAGTCTTGAAAAATGTTTGACTGCACCGTGCAGAATAAAAAAGTCAGAGTATTCCGCACAGTGCAATGAGAAAAACGTCAAAAATTGTTTGCACAATGCAATCAGCACACTTTGATCGCCACTGCACTGTGAAATTTTTTTTTGCGATAACTGCACTGTGCATTTGGTTAACTTCTTTTGACTGCACAGTGCAGCATTAAAAACCTGAAGTTTCCGCACAGTGCGAGGAAAAAATCATTGACAAGTGTTTGCACAGTGCAATCATCACATTTTGATCGCCACTGCACCGTGAAATTTTTTTGCGACAACTGCACCGTGCAAGATTGAAAAAGCCGGGTATTCCGCACAGTGCAAACAGAAAAAGGTCAAAAACTGTTTGCACAGTGCAATCGACACATTTTGATCGCCACTGCACCGTAAAAATTTTTTACGAAATTTTTCAAAACTTTTTCTGACTGCACTGTGCTAGAAATGTTTTTGTAATTTTGAAATTGCAGCGACAAATGTCCATGCATTTTATGAAAAAAACTATCTCCAGAAAATGCGTAGACTTCTGGCGATATTACAAATTGCACAGTGCAAAATGCTTTGAAAAGAATGGCGTTGAGCAACATGCACAGTGCGGTGAGAAGAAAAGGCCGAAAAAGTCTACGCACTTTATGAAAAGACTAATATTGCTAGCTTTGCAATTACAAGTATCATGTCGCTAAATATAAATAGTAACTTTTAAAAAAATCTCTTTGCACTGTGCGATTTTGCAATTTTCAATTCTCTGCACTAAAGCGAACTCTTTGCCCTTTTTGTCATCGCTGACACAGAGCTGCACACTTTCTTCCGGCGAGTCATTAACTGTTGGGAGACCCGACGACGACTCAAATCCCGGATTGAAACGGCGACGGATAAGCCGAAAGGGGATAAGGATAAGATAAAGATGGCCGCCGAGCGGCTTATGACGCTGCAAAGGCCGTGTGACGTCGCTGCACTGGGAGCTTTGGGACTGTTAAGGGAGTAGATGGGTAGAGAAAAAAGTTTCAGCGCAACAAAAGGGAAAAATGCAGATTTTTTGAACAAAATATAGAAAAAATCAGAGAAGACAGGGTTGAATGGTAAAGTACGGCTATGTACACATGATGCTCCTTAATATACGACGAGGTGAGCACACGTTATTTTTCATTTTTAGAGTAGTATTAGGAAAAATTGCAGAAAAAGTCATCCATTTTTTGCAGATTTCTCAATCCCAACTCATCAGTCTGTCGGGAAAATAATGAGCACTCTACCGCATCGAAAATCGCATCGCCGCCCAGAAAATGAATTTTATAGCGGCAAAATCATATTTCTTTTCGGTTCAACAATGCATACGGCGCAGTGACCTAATGCTCATTATTTTCCCGAAAGACTGATACTCGACCAAAAGATCCTAACAATGATTTTTTCACGAAATTCGCGAAAAGAATTCCCAATGCATTTCGGAATTTTTGCTTTTTCGTCGCGAACCCGCACATGTTCTGAACATGGTTTGACTGTGATTCAGAAAATATAGGTTTTCATTACCGGTCTGTCGGGAAAGTAATGAACACAATGTCGCGGCGTCAATCGGGTCGCTGAAGTGAAAAGCAATTTGTTTTGCACAATTCATTTTCTCGGCGGCGATGGGATTTTTGATGCGATAGGGTGCACATTATTTTCCCGACAGGCTGATACAACGGAAGGGTTCGCTCTGCGAAGCATATTTTTTGAACATGGTCATCAGATTTTTTCTGAAAATTTGAGCCTACTCTTTACGGGGACAACCGGGAGACGGTGTGCTCATTATTTTTCCGACAGATTGATATTTTCGAAAAACCTCTGAAACAATTAACCCATCGTAGATTATGGTACATCAGAATACCTGCAGGTCCGCAAAGTGAGAGGGGATTAATCCAGCCTGGTGTTCAGACAAAATTCCCAAAATATTATATTGGGTAATTTGCAGCAATGACTTTTTTTAATCTCAAGGCAAATCCCCGTCGATAATTGCAAACGGAAAAAATTGACGAGGGATAGCTACGTGTGGATTTGTAGATTTGTCATTCCGTGGAAAGACAATATAAAAAATTTTTAATCCGATGAGCCTTTGTTTTCACAAAGAAAATCTCGTTGCTTTGAGGGGAGAACGGAAGTGGAAATTATACAAATTTTTGTGCAAAAGTACTGAAAAAAAAATTTTTTACCGCTCTGTGGCGAGAAAAAAATTTTAGCGCTGTGCAAAAAAAAGAAGGTTACTTTGCACGGTGCATAAAAATTTTTTTATTTTTCGCACAGTGCAAAAATCAAAAATTTTCAATTTTTGAGCGTTGCACTGTGCAAAAAAATTTTTTTTTGCAATTTTCGAAATGTTTTTTTTGCGAAATTTTTTTTGATAAAATCAAAAATTAACCTTTGGAAAATTTGCAAAATTAAAAAAATAAAAAATTTAAAATTTTCTTAACGCGCTGTGTAAAATAATTTTTTTTTTGAAAATTATATAAAAAAAATATTTTTTTAGGATTTTTTTTTCAAAAAATTAAAGAAAATCCTTTCGACCCGCGCCAAGTGCAATGAACAAAAATTTCGGAAAAAATTAAAATTTGATTTCTAACCAACACTTCCGACAACCCTCACCCTAATCCACTTTCTATTACACCCGCAATCCGCTAATCGTCTGTGCGTTCCGTTAATTTGGGAAATTGCGGCGAATGAATAAATCTTTTTGAGTTTAGAGGGTGTTCAGTGTAATCGACTCGCTAAGTCGGGTTTATTTCACACCCGTAAAGAGGGTCAGGCCCGCTTTCACGGTGATTTGTGGCGGATTTGAGGTGAATTTGTGTACGGAATTCGATATACAATATTATTTCCGGGCTATTGTAATTGAACCCCCTAGTGTAATATAATCGGAGATCTAGATTATTTCCGTTTTTAAAATTGTGTTTTAACTCTGAAAATAGCATGATTAAGCGGTTTTCCAGCTGCAAATGGAATTTCAAGCGGAATTAAAAGATTTTCAAAAAATCCGTCATCATGACCGATTTTTTGGAAATTTGAAACAACGTAATTTTTGAATTGTAGACTCTATTTTTCTCATCGTATTAGCCAATTTTCAAGCCTGATTTTACACTTTGAATACAAAAATCAAGTCATTCTTTGTGTCATGATGACGCATTTTTTGGAAAAATGGCACTGAAACGTTGAAATTGTCAAAAATCAAGACTTTTCGGTCGACCGACCATGATTTTAATTTTTTTATGTTTTCCATGGTCAAAATATCGCTGTCACGATGACATATTTTCTGGAATTTTCGGAAAACCCTCAAGAATCAGCTACATGTTCGAAAATTTCCAGAATTTCCGGTGACAAAATACGTCTTCCATTCAAAAAAAATTTTAAAAGAATCCCCTCAAGGCATCCATTTCACGTTCGTATGTTTTTGGCCCGTCACTTTTAATCCTGACCTCTTCGAAAACAGCCTTATGGATCCTTCTGGAACACCGCACATTATCACAAATTGTACTGGCAGCGCAGTAAACCGCCTTACATCGGCGTCGCCGCAAACATGACGAAGGCGGCGGAAAGAGGCTTTCGGCCGACGCTCTAGGTGTATTTTTGTGCGGTTTTTGACGCGGCTTTGGGCTTATGGAGACGCATGGGGGGTTTAAACAGGCTGTATGTACGTGGGAGAGGGTGGATGGGGTTTGGTTTAACGTGTTGAAACTGGGATCTTGAATTTTTTTGGACTTCAGAGTACAAGCCACCGTTGATTTATAAAAATATCAGTCTGTCGGGAAAATAGTGAGCGCTCTGTGGCATGGAAAATCGCATCGTCACCGAGAAAATGAATTTTGTCGCCGCAAGATCAAACTGCTTTTCAGGACACGATCGGCGCAGCGACATTGTGCTCATTGTTTTCCCGATAGACTGATGCCAAATAGTGGCCTAAAGTTTCTGAGTCGTAGCTCGTAGGGACCAAAAATAGCTCACCGAACACGTAGAATGTTAGATTTATCCGGGCCGAAAACAAGACAACGTCGTAAATACAGCAAAAGTATGAATTTTTATCTTGAGTTCGAGCTTTGAAATAGCAGCCGAGATTTCACAAATCTCTGAAGTATGTCATCTGCGGAGAACGATCTGAAAAAGAAACGCTTTTGATCTGAATATCCTTGCCAGTTTCGCATTGACTGCTTGTAAATACATGTCCTCTTCGACAAGGATAATAAACACTGCTAAAGGTCCAAAACAACAAAATTCGAATTGTGCTTTTAAACCCAGAGATCTCCGTGGTTTCTTCAAGGTGAAAGCCAAGGATTTACAATGTTGTCATTCTGTCGGGGAAGTAATGAGCTCTCTATCACATCGAAGATCGTATCACCACCGAGAAAATGAATTGTATCGCAAGATCAAATTGCTTTTAAATTCAGCGATGAGATAGGGGCACAGTGAAATTATGCTCATTATTTTCCCGACTGACCGATACATTTGCCATGAGTTTCATTAAGATGTATACATCCCAAGTATACGCTATTGTACAGTCACCTTCTCTGCCGCAAATCCCGTCTGCATTCGCGAAATTGCACATTCATTTGGAAATTAACCTGGTTCTTAGTCACTAAACCTTTTCTGTCGGATTATCGCCACGGAAGTCCCTGAATTGTCAGCGTTAATGCACTATTGTCCTCGTTTGTACAGTGGCTATAACTCCGCTTGTATTAGTTCAAAGCCCATGACCTTCCTTATTACTCATTCCATTGCCCTTTCAAGCTGATCTTGGCTAAGATTTAGTCCAATTCTTAGGCCAGGATTTGACCCCATCCCTTGGCTTAGATCGGCCCCATTCTTTGGCCAAACCCACCGTCTTATCCCCAATTACCAGGCCGGCTCCGGAAGTGGCTCATCTTTTTTACTCATTCGACCGTACCTGTGCGACGCCCCGGGCACTTTTTTGTGACGACCTTTTCCGGCGGCATTGTCCAAATTCTCACGACGGAAGCGGCCGGATAATCCCAAATTTGGCTCGACTCCTCCCTTTTGTCTGTTACAATTCTCACTTCTTAGCCTGACTTTTTTCGGGCTCGCGTGCTGATTGGTTGGCGCCGGGAAAAGGGGCGGTGTCTCTGCGGGGATTACACATTTATCCGCAAATTTTTTCGGCCACTCGCACATTTGTTCGAGGATTAGCCGCTCGCAAATCTTCCGCTGTCACAGTGGCTGATCCCCGCAGGGCCCGGGAGGGCCGCGGATTTGGGGACGTCATCGCCGGATTCCTACTTAAAGCCGCGGATTTCGCGATTCCATTCATTCGTTGGGCTTGTGGGTCCAATGGGTGGCAATGGCAGAGTATCAAGACAATTTCTGAGGGGGATTTTATCAATTCTACAGGAATATATTGGTGGGAGGGACGTTCGGACCTTATTTTAGAGGTTTGGTATACTAATTTTGGGTTTTTTGGATTTTCACTTTTTTATTGGCTTGATGGGCGGGACGATGATTATATCTGGGATATTATGGGGCTGTTTATTGGGATTTATCATTTCTTGGATGAGAATTTGTTTAGACCCTCCATTCGGATATTATTTTTGACATCACTTCAAGTTTTTTGATGATTTTACGTATTTGTTTTTTCGATCATATTTTTGGTTGTTTTATCGACAGCTGCGGTTGTTTTGTATCAACAGGGATTTGTAGTTTTCATACAATAACTTATAACTAAAGCCAAAAAAGACAGAAATGCCTTCATTTATCCAACTTTTAATGAATTTTTAAAACTTTTTTGGTTTTTCCTCATTTTTTGACCATTATCTCGAGTAAAACTTACTTTTCCTCAATTTACATTCAATTCCTAATATTCCCATTCTTTCAGCAAGCCGGTATGGATCACTCAATAGTTCAAATGCTCCTCCAAAACTCGCAATACCACGCCCTGTTCCCCTACGCCAACGTGCTCGCCCTTCTCATGCAGCAACAACAGCCACAACGGCCCGCTCTACTCACCGACTTCCAGCCACAACTCCCGTTCCTCATGGGCAGTGTGCTCAGCGCCCCAACCTCCCCACCAATGCCACTGACTGCCGCATCGACGCCCGTTGATTTGGGAAGCACTAATGCCACAGTCGATTCGCCACCTCCATTGAGGCAGATCAGTCTGGATGAGGGGAGTATGGACTGCTCGGGAATGAATTCTATCTGTAAGTTTGTGGGTTTTTGGAATTTTTTGAGGGCTTTGGATACTTTTTGAGAGCAAAAAATTTTTATTCGAAATAAAAAAATTTTAAAAAATCTCAAATTCTACATAGGAATTTTGGATTTTTTGAGGGATTTTGATGTATTTTTATGAACATTTTTTCGAAAAAAAGTCAAAAGATAAAAAAAATCTTTGAAATAAAAAAATTTTTTTTAAAAATCTTTACCCTCATCTTTTCAGCCAAAAACAAGCTCGGTCGCAGTTACAACCCCGGCCGTCCCTTGGCGATGGCGGACCGCCAACGAATCCTCGACCTCTACAAGCGCGGCCACAAGATTTCACACATTGCCCGCATGATCGGCGTCACTCATTCCTGCGTCTCCAAGATCATGACTCGCTACCGGCGGACGGGCTCCATGTGCCCACGAATTGGGCTCGCCACAACGCGCAAGAACAGCAGTGTGTTGCGGTCGCCGGCGCGTTCAAGTGCCTCGCCCAGCAGTGAGTCCATTTCGTCGGCGTGCACGGTGAACCCGCTGGAGGCGGAGATGTTGATGTCGCAGCGACGCGAGCTCTACAGTCAGATGGCGCAGCTGGAGGTGCCGCAAATGTTGACGATTCAGCAGATTCAGCAACTCAGTGAGCTGCAGAACTTGAATTTGATGGGACAGGAGCAGTTTGTGTTACACAAGCCGGTGCCTATCAATGAAAGTGTATTTTAGAGATTTTTTTTTTGATTTTCTCTAGATTTTTTGGGAAATTGCCTTAGGGGATTTATGATTTTTTAAATTAAAAATTTTTTTTTATTTTTTTTTAATTTTTTTGCTAAAAACCGGTTTTTGAAAATTTTCCCTCAGGCAACTTCCCCAAAAATCCCTCTCTTGACCAACTTATCGCCTCCGTTTTTCACAATCTTTGTCTGTACATCGAATACCATCAAATATATCAATACCGCATAATATTATCATTGTTGATAAAATATAATCAAATATCTATTCCTTGTATTAATTTTCGTCTTTCAAGAATTTTAATTAATTATTATCCACCCACCTCCCCCCTCCAACACCCCGTATTAGAGCACCGCCCGTGTGAAGTATAGAAGCTGACCCGTTGAAAAGTGTGATTCTTGAAGTTTGCGAATAAAATTTGAAGAAAAATTCGTTGGGTATTTGTCAGATAAAAAAGTGGAATTGTGAGATAACTTGCCTTTCAATTTTTCAACTTCTCTTAATGGCTAGCAAAAGGTATTCAGCTGACGGTAGCTACCAGTCGATCTCATTCGTACCGCTTCCCGAGTCGTTCCCGAGTTTTCGGGTCGACGACATTTCCGGTGAACACAAAATCGATCGATATCGGACGTAAGGCAGGTGGATGCCCAAAAAAAGGTTGTCGGAGGTGCCTACGAGGCCTGCCAAAGCCGTTAGACGCTCGGCGAAGACTCGGCGGTGACTTGACAAGAAATATGTCCACTTTTTCTAGTTTTAGCTATTACTAACGTTAGTTTTCTTTACCCTGAGTGGTTGTAACATGTATAAGACCAAACTTTATAGCTACAAAACGAAGATGCCTAACTTTTATTGAGGTAATATGATTGATGTGAGTACTTGTAGAAATACCTCAAAGTAGGTAATTAGCTATCCTAGGACCCGATCAATCTTATTATTTCAACTAACTCTTCTCCTAGCCTCCGCCATGCATACAACGACAAACCGGCACCATCCATAGTATCGTTGGCCCGAAAAGTCGCATTGCCTTCGTATTGTAAAGTCGCTGGGTTGATTTTCGCAGCATGTACTGTGCGACAACGGTCTCTCTGCCCGAGTGTGTAGATAGAAAGACCTTTTTCGGCCATATCTTTGCCATTTTTGTGCGGAAAAAAATGATTCGTAGGGGAAGCATTACCCTCTGCATTATTCTTCTATATATAGGCATAGAACTTTCCAGGCCCAAATTAAAACAAAATGGAGTACTTCCATGGTTGGTTTCAACATCGTTTCATTCCAAACTTCCCCGGCAGTGATGTCATCTTGATGTCTGCCTATATGATGAAGCCCCTAAAACATCATCGGAAGCCCCGCTGATCCTTGACTTTTTCTCATGCAATCTTATCCCCGGCTAAGCACAATTGTCTATTGTTGCATGCAATGCTCGTAATCCCCGCAGTAGAGAATCTTTATTAGCATGAGATCACATTTTTAGAATTTTACATTTGAGATTATCCATCGGGGGTTTGCGATCTTTAATGATAGTCCAATAAGCAAGGGTTTAGCACGATGTAAAGCTTGAAACTTGAATTACTGGAAGTAAGGATTAGAGAAATGTGTTATAGGGCGTTTCAAGGAGAACTGCGGGAAAAAGTAATCAATTCTTTTGTCGGCCATGCGTTGGGGAGAAAAGCTTAAACGATACTTTGCAAAGATATCAAGTTTTTCCTGAAAGTCGCCGGACTGATTTTTGGCGTTTGCACTGTGCGAAAAAGTCAGGCGCGAGCGACAGTCCAAAAAAGCCTATTGCACCGTGCAAAAGCAAGAAATTGCACCTTACAAAGTAAAAACTTTTGTACGGGAGTCGGAAGCCGGAGCCACAAATTTTGACCATGGCAACCTCTGGTCGTGAGCCCGATACGCGGGCACTGATTTTGATAACTTTCATGTGAAAAAATCTCCTAACCGGATGTATTGGATGCCAAGAAAGTCTTGAAATTTTATGTCTTCTGTTTTTTCTGGGGAAGAGCGGACACTTCTTCGGTTTTCTTGATGTGATCATGCAATATTTCAAGCGATTTTTTTTCTTTTTGCTGTTCTTTTAAGAATTCACAGAAAATCCGTTAACACCGGCTACTGGTGAGTAAGATTTTAATAATTCTTTTAATTTGGATCTCTCCAATCTTCCTACTGTAGCATTCTCCGACCGTCGGATTTGCCCCCACGAGTTTTCAATTTGCTAAATCCTTTAAACACTTGATTAAAGCCCAAAATAAACCGGTTAACCTTTCCGAAGTACGGTATTCTGGACTTTTATTCGCCGGCTAATCAAATTCCCAACGGATTACAGACATCCCGATGCGTTGTGATCTTCGCGGATTGCACCGGATATTGGCCAAAAATGCGGCTAATCCCGTAAGCTGGGGACTTGACTCAATGCGAAAATGGGATGAGATTTGGGATATGATAAGATTCGGTCGGTCAGGTCTCAGATTTGGCAAAGGGCAGGGAGCTGAGCCGGGCCGGGATTATCCGCCGGATGTCAGGGATGTTGCAATGAACAAGAGATCAGCGGATTTGCCGACGTGAAAATCTCAACATAAAAATTTCTTGAGCCCAGTAAGTGTGAAATAACCCAAATTTTCGCTTTTCCGGTGGATGCATGATTGGAGGAAGACTTGACTCAAATTTAAAATTTTGGGTCAACTTTTCCCCTGAAACAACCGGGGTATTTTTTATGTACACTACATCTATAACGAACTAATTTTTTACTTTTCCGTTGAACCCTTGGCCGGAAAAAGACTTGACTCAAATTTAAAATTTTGTGTCAACTGTTCCCTTCATGCGATTCAAGATTAATTTTTTTATTTTAACAAACGATATTTTCACTTTTCCCCTGAATCCATAATTGAAGGTAGACTTCACTCAAATTCAAAATTTTGGGTCAACTGTTGCCCTCAAACACTTCTTTTAAATTCAACGCTTTCATGGTTTCGTGGCAACAACACACGTAATACCACTGAAAATCACAATATTTATACAACATATGGTGTGCTTAAAATGGTAACGACACTCGAACTGCCGGAGAAAATCCATTTCCCCGGGAACACGGCGTTCCGAACGTCCTTTGACGTCACGATCAGCAACACGCCCGGTGCCAACGAGAGTGCCGAAATGATTATTGGGATGCCACAAACGCCGAGGTAGATACTCCAAGCTCTTGCCAGATCCGAGTAGGTCTCATCGAGACGGAAGTTCTGGTAAGCTAGCTGAAAACAATGGAAAAAATTAAACGTTTTCGTAGTATAATATAATTTATCGACAAAAAGATGACTTACTAAGGTCACAAACGATACCACGTGCAGAACAAAAACAAAAATTGTGTAGCCAAAAAAGTTTGCGCTGAAGTCTCGACTTCCCCGGCCCTTTTTGCACAGCAAAATGATTGTGGTCAAGTTGAGTCCGAAGGCCATCAACATGACCATTCCGTGATAAACTATTGTCCGTACTGCCATGGGGATCTGTTATAGAAATAGTTAGTATTTTGATGAGCTCGGCTCAGTTCCTTTTTAAGGCTGTGTATCGGCTACAAAAGACTTACACCGAAAGTAATACTATGATCGTAGTCAAGTCCCTTCAGCGTAATACCGTAGACGACAGATTCGTAGAGTTTGCTGCGATTCAAAAGCAAACTGAATGTGAATATGAAAGGAGGCACAAGATACAGTACTAGGATGACATTCCAATATTCTTTCCAAATCTAAAAACTCAACTTTTTAACAGCTGAAATTTTGACATATAAATAACAAAATTTTGCCAAAAATGGCGGAGAACCAAGTACAGCAGAGGACCGGATCCAGTGGCAAAGAACGTACCATTTCGCATCCAGGAAGTATCACAAAATGTAGCAAAATACCTCCCTCTCCAAGTGAAAAAACTCCGGTTTGAAGAGCGCGCTTTTTCCCTCACAAAAGGAGCGGGTGCGCTTTTGAAATCGGAGTCTTTCACTGGGAAATGGAGGTATTTTGCCACATTTTTGATACTTCCGGGATGCAAAATGGTATGTTTTTTTGCCACTGGACCAGGCCCGTCACTATATTTCGCTCAATTTTTACAGTTTCCCACCTTGTCATAGTGAAACATCAATGCAATACTTGAAAACCGATTCATGGCCATCAGCAATATCCCGGTTTGAGATGCGTAATTGAAATAAAACCTTCCAAAAACAAAAATGATATTCAAATTGTAGGAGGGCTCATGGAAATAGTCGAAAAACCATTGTAACGCCGAGAGGTTTGGTAGAGAAATACTATAGTTTGTGCAAATCACGCAGAGGATGTCCTGAAAATAAATACGATTTTCAATGCGATTTTTAATTGATTCACTATAGTACAAATGCAAAATTTTTAATCATAAATAGAAGAGGAGTACCTCAAGTGCGACGCTCGCTTTTTTTTACCTGTCTCTTGAATTCTGTGGTCAAGTTGTATCGTGCCTTTAAAATCACAAAGACGTTTATCTATACCGTTTATTCCAGGGCATTGCTTTAATAATTTAATAATTGTTTGCTAGGAATAAGATTAGGAATGAAAGGTAATTGGAAAGTTTTTTTAGGACATGCGTGGGTCCCAAATTGTTTTTTCTTGCTAGCGGTACACAAACACAGCTATACAAGAAATGACACACAGTAAACCTTTGACGTCGTTTGAGAAAAAAATAATCGTTTATCAAAGCATTTATTGCTCTATGGAAGGAACAAAAATGTCGCTGAAAAATAGCGATAATGGCCCTCAACTTTCTCGCAATTGCGCTAGAATTGACCCAGGGCTGTGACTTTGTCAATAGTTTTTGACGCACCAAATATCAGTCTGTCGGGAAAATAATGTGTATTTCATCTCCTTACAGTCGCGCACGACATTTGCAGCGGCGGCTAGCGATGGTTGGCAATTCCAAGGGGCCACATTATTTTCTCCACATTATTTTCCCGGCGGACTGATACCTAATAAACTTCGGGGCTAAGGTATTACACAGGAATGATTGCTCTTGCGAACAGCGGCTTCAAAACTCACCACAATTCCATTGTAAAATACGATTTGATAAAACGCCGACGTGAAGACATGCCTCCTCTTATAGAGCACCACAAACAACCGAGCATTTATTATAACAAACGGGACTTGAACCACAATCGCAACAGCGGTGGTCAAGTTGACAATAAAGTTGTAATCTTGTGTCACAGCACCATTCGGAACGTATTTCGGCATAATTCGGACCCGTTTCCTCTGAAAAAATGGGTTTGGTTGAGGAATGGCCCACTCTTCACCTGTCGCTTCAAAGACCAAACCCTTTCCGTCTGCACGCCGAGAACTTGAGTAAGGAGGAATGAATTTCTTCAGAATTCGGAAGGAGGTGACATTACTCAGCGGTTACACGCGATCTCTGCCAAGGGAGGTGTTGAAAGTGGGGCGAACGGAATTGAAAGAAACTTGGCGTAAATTTAGAGCAAGACCTAGTTTTATGCCGAAGATTGAGGGCCCACAATGCTACTCTCTTGAATCGTAGACCCTAATAAGAGCATAACGGTTGGAACTCACACGTCTTGAGATGAAAAAAAAATGCAACCGGAACATTGGCTTTCAAAACCCAAATTTGTCTGTAAATAGCCACAAAGTTTTGTCCAAACAAAGTGTGATAATTGAAAAAAAAAAATAAAAAAAAAAGAAAAAGCCGCAAATATTTTTCGGTTATACAGTGGAGAACTTGATCCAGTGGCAAAAACGTACCATTTTGCATACGGGAAGTATCAGAAATGTGGGAAAATGTTCTCCTCTCCAAGTGAAAAAACTCCGGTTTCAAAAGCGCGAAGTTTTTTCACTTGGAGAAGGAAGTATTTTGCCACATTTTTGCTGCTTCCCGGATGCAAAATTTTACGTTTTTTGCCACTTCATCGGGTCCGTCACTGTGTCAACGTCGATAACTTTATGCCAATTCTTAGGGACTTTTCACGGAATCGTGATAGTGTGCAAAATTGTAACAGTTCCCCACCTAAAATCCTCCATTGTAAAACGTCTCAACATCCCTTATTAGGAAGGAGTCTAAAGAACGAAGACGAAAAAGTGAGTGGGGTTTCTATTCTAAGTAAGCCGGAAAAAATGTTTCCTAAATTTAATCAAGACACAAGATTTCGTGAAGACCGGGCCTTGAGAAACAATTCGGAGATGTTCCACGGTCCGAAAAAGACTTTTTCGAACGTCAAACCAATTGTGATGAAAAATGGAAGCCGGCCAAATGGCTTTCGAACACATTACTCTGTACGCGGATGGGCCAAAATTAATAAAACGTTTTGAAAAAAGCGTGTGATCTGCTGTGTCCAATTACACCTTTGAAAAAGTGCACACTATCAGTCTGTCGGGAAAAGAATGTGGACTTGTCGCGCCTTGAAATCGCCCATCATCGCCTTGCGGCACCTTGCGGAGGATGGAGATTTGGTGTGCGACCCCGATGAGGTTAGACACATTGCAGCGACGAATTCTGATTATTTTCCCGACAGGCCAATAGGTGGGACGTATAAAAAGGTTTTGCATAAACATGTCAAAGCTTTTAGCCCACCTATCAGGACGTCGGGAAAATAATGAGGACTCTGTCGCACCAAAATCAGATTGTTTTTCACTTCAGCGACGCGATCGGAGCAGCAACAATGCGCTCGTTATTTTACCGACAGAAGAGTTTTTGGGATTTTGTAGACCGCCGGTGATATTTCACACTATGGATGCTCTTCACACACAGGCTTACATGATTCATACATTGCAGAGTAACCATCACAAAAAAAAAGAAAGACTGAATTGCAATTTATACAGTATTCCGAAGATGACGAAATTTTTTTCCTTTTCATCGAACGTCTGGAATCCGGAAGCGTTTTTGCAATCTTTGGTTTGGTTCAATTTTGCTACCTCAATTAATCCGTATCATCGAAACCGTCCCCCCACCTTTAGAACAATGTTTATTTGTTTGTCCAAGCGTTACTCGCCGCAACCCTTCCGCCTTTTCAATTACGCAAAAACATTGCGAGCCTTAAGCTGATTAGGTGGAAAGTTAGACGTCTCAAAAGCATATGTATGTATGTACATAAATATTAGAACATTACAAGTATTTTTATTTCTCTTGGATACTGATCAGCCTCTTATTGTTAGAAAGAAATTTTGCTTGCAGATGTAGGACAAACTAGCATCGTTGTATGGTACCATAGCTCTCTAGTAGAGGTGGCAATCGGGCCGGGCCGGGCCGAATTTTGCGGCCCGGCCCGCGGGCCGAAGTGACCAGGCCGGCCCTGGGCTTTTTCAAATTTGCTCAGGCCCGGCCCGGCCCGGCCCGGTGAAAGCCCAGGCCGGCCCGGCCCGGCCCTGTTTGGCCCGATACTGCAAAAAGGTTGGATAAAATTTATGCACTCTCTACTGGAACTTTTTATGCCTTCCAGCGGGGTTTTACGTCTATATGAGTGGAATTAAAACGTCTAGTCGGCTGACTGGAACAGCCGAACAGGTACCTAAAACCTAGCCAAAAAGTTGGATTGTGTCGATTTTTTTTATCCTATAGAAAGTTAGCTATGTAAAAATATGGACGTTATGAGGCTACATGTTTAATCAAAAACTGCGTAGATGCGTTCATTTACCTCAAGGAACCAAATTACAGCGAAATGTTTAAGTTTATCATCAAAAATTCGAAGATTTGCCCGATCCTTGCATATTTGGGTGGGATTTTACATATACATAATCAGTGATTTTAAAGAGTTTGAAAAGGTGGTAAAACAGTATATAAGTCAAAAAGGTTTGATTTAATATCCATCCAACAATTCTGCTAAGCATTTGTGCTTTATTTTGCTGGTTCAGTATTATTTTTTTTCACTTATCCACCTTCCGGGCCGGGCCGGGCCGAGAGTCTCGGCCCGGCCGACGGGCCGAAGCGGTCAGGCCGGCCCTGGGCTTTTTCAAATCTGCTCAGGCCCGGCCCGGCCCGGCCCAATCACCGGGCCCGGCCGGGCCGGGCCGGGCCGGCCCAGCCCGATTGCCACCTCTACTCTCTAGAGTCTGTGTCAGTGAGATAAGAAAAATTTGGATCAGAGTAACGAAGGAAAACGGATTTGTGTTGTGAAATACGATGAAAATTGGAACAAATTTAGAGTGGTGCTTTCTAGATTCCTAACTCGCGCTCTGTAGGAACGACCTAGATTTTTAAGCCAACAGGTTGAAAAAAATGGCATTTTCTGCGTACTTTGGCATAAAAAGTTCCATGTTTAATTCTGCCGTCGAGGGTGACGTTTTCGTACAAAGTAGCCTTTTTCCGCATGCAATTGGCAAAAACATAGCCAAAAAATGGTTTATATCTGAAGCTCGCCTACTCAAGGTGCGTTCAAAACTTACACAAAATTTGAGCGTCCCAACGCTCAGATTTTTTGCACTTTCCCTGTAAAAATCAAAAATTTGAACCCTCCTCAAAATTTTTTTTTCGTAATTCTCGCCGCGGATTACGACAAATCGGAGGCGATTTTCGCAAATTCACTCATTAAGCTGCGGAAGCGGGTAAACTCCAGTAGTGCAGCGTCATAAGTAGTAATTGGGTTCCTTTTGATTTCTGCGTTCTGTTTTTTTGAGCTTGGTCTCTTAAAATAGCGGCAGATGCTTTATTTTGCGATTGCAGAGGTCACTTTGGAGTTTCAGAGCAATATTTTTTGAAACTCTGCACCATTTAGCGCCTTCGCCTAGTAGGGAGAATGCTGAAAGTGGGACGCTTAGATTGCGACGAAACTTGTTCCCAATTTAGAATAATTTTTTTGGCTAGTAGGGGGAAGTGGTCGAAGTTAGAAGCTTAGATTTTTACGAAACTTGGCAAAAGATTAGAATAATTTTGTGCACTCCTAGCTCGCGTTTTGCAGAAACGACTGAGATTTTGAGGCCGAAACTTGGTCAAAGCTCATCAAATTTTTGTCAAATTTTTACATAAAAAATTTCACGTCCATTCCTACCGTAGATGGTGATGTTTCCACAAAAAAATCATTTTTTCCACGTGATAACGGAACAGATGTCGCCAAAAAGCATTTTTTGTCCAACCGCTTTTTCTCCAACTTCATGATCACGGAATAAGGACAAAAAAGTCGATTAAAAACCGAAACTTCGCTTTCTTCATTGTCGACTTGCACAACGGTAACGAGCAGTCTGGTGACGAAATTTATATGTTCTTTAAGGAAATTGACTGCTCTACAATACATACACAGATTTTTTTAACCGTTACATCTTCTGGCTAACCGCACACGTGTAAAAACGTAATGGCCACCAGAGATTGCCACGTCTCCGGTGCCGGCTCTTGGCTCCGGCTCTGAGCGGCTCCGGCTCCGAAATTAAAAAAATTTCCTTTTTAAATTTTCCATGGGAGCCGGGAGCCGGAGATGCAAATTTGGCCTCGGCTCCGGCTCTGGGAGCTAAGAGCCAGAGCCGAAATTTTGACCGTGGCAATCTCCGATGGCCACTTTTTATTTTTTCAATTTTTTTTGATTGCCGATCGCCGGAGAAAAAAGTTCGGAATGCACAATGCATTTCGCCCCAAAAAAAAACACCATTTACACAGACCATTTTGGATTTTTTGCCTTGCGTCGCGCGCGATTCCCTTTTTCGCTACAAAAAATCCATTTTCATAGTGCGATATAACAGACCTTTTTACCGCGAGTATTGCTGCAACTCTTTTTAACAAGGTCCTCAGCTCTCCCACGTAGACCTTACAAAAGGTCCATCAAACAGAGAAGAGACCGTTTCTCCTCGCGGGTTTGACCGGCTTGAAACCCGAACTCGGAAAGCGGGGGGAAGTCGCTTGGACAATATGTTTGCGCTTCTTATTGTTCCCCATTGAACGATAAGCCTGTCCTTTATATTGCTGATACGAAACCTGATAATCGCTTCAGTTCCATTCGCTTCTCATTAGATGACCGCAACGTGGTCAGCATTTCGTGGCCGTAGGACCGAAAACAACGGCTTTTTGGAGGTTTTTTCATGTAACTTGTGCCGGTCAAAGGGCTCCAAAAACAGTTGGCAATAGTATATTTAGATTTTTTTTTGACCGCAAAGTCTCTTTTATCAGTGTGTCGGAAAAATAATTAGCTCTCTGCCGCTGAGAAAATCATGTCGTTGAATTGAAAAGCAATTTGATTTTCGCCGCAACACAATTCATTTTCTCGGCGGCGATGCGATTTTTGATGCCACAGAGCGCTCATTATTTTCCCGACAGACCGATATTGTTGTCAACGTTTGCTTATGAATTTTACGGCCGTCTCAGACAAGGTTTTCGCTTATAATTATCCCGCTTTACACCTTAAAAAAAGCAATTTTTGATCCTCTTATATAAATAGTTGTAGCCACACAAACATGCTATTACGGTGGTCGACGGTGCTACTCCTCTCGCTCTTCCTCCACACCGCCATCTCATCAACGAGTAAAAAATCGAAACGTCAAAACAACGAGCGCAGCGACAAGGTCCTACTACGCACCAAACGACAACACTGCACTTGCCTCAATGTTCGCATCGGCACCAGCGATCAACCACCGGTGGGGCCGGGCTTTGACGCACTTGCTAGCACCTACAAATGCACCTGCAACTCGGCCGGCAACCCCATGCAGCAGCAGCGAGAGTTGCAGCAGATCTTGCAGCAGGTGGAGCCGATGAGCCGGTGTTTGTGCGGACCGGGGAGTCAGTTTGCGAGGGAGCCGGCAATGGGACCATTGTACGAGCAACTGCCCGAACAGCAACAATGGGAATGCCATTGTCAACATGGCAATGAGGTAATTACAGACCCCGAGAAGCTGGGCCAGGCCGACCAACCCCTTATTTTTAGGGGTTGGTTTCTGCAAGGCACGGCCAATTTTGTGGCTCCGCGCAGCACCTGTAGGCAAAATACTAAGAAAAGCAAATTCGCTCAAGCAATGAAAATTCCTTGATATTGCAGCTAGACATTTTATCTTGCCAAGAAGGTCGGCCAGTTCCTAGTGAAAAACTCGACCAAACCGTTAAAATTTGTAATTTTTCATGCGCCGAAAGCTCTACTACGCGTCTCCAAAAACGCATGAACCGTTCGTTGCAATTCTTATTGTCGATTGAGCTACTCAGCTATTCAGTATCCTCAATTTTCCCTTTATTTTGCATCTTTTTACTATTTGTTGGCAAAAAAGGGATCCTAACGCCAAAAACCTAACCCAATTTTTTCAGCCCATCGGTCCAGCCCCTCAATTCTTCCCATGGAATCGACCAACCGCTTCTCAGCCGTCCCCACTCATTCCAACCAGAGCGCCGCAACTTGCTCCCACTTATCCTACATTCCCGCTACTTCCTCGCCAAGTGAGTTTAACTAATGTAACAGACATTAGAGCTAAAATTACAACAAATCTTTTTACTTCAGGACCAGCCAATTGCCCCTCATATTGCCCCTTCTGTGTCGCCCGCGCCGTTGCCAGTAAATACCCATGCGCCGGTGGCGCCATTGCCCGTGAATCGTGACTCCCGACCATACGACGCTCCTCCGCCGTATCCCGAACAACCCAACGGAATCAACACTCCAATCGCGCCAATCCGAAGACCAGAGCCCGCCCGGCCTCTGCCCATCGCTTCATGCCCTTGTATGGAGGTCACCGTGAATGTAATTCGCACTGATTCACGGGGAAATCGAGTCCCAATCCGAACTCCAATGTGTTTGTGTGAGCCTGTGGCGCCAGCCGCATCAATAGCTCCGGTTGCGCCACTTAAAGAGGCGCCAGTTCTGCAACCGATTGCGCCGGTAGCTCCGGCCTTGCCCAGTCCAGTTACGTCATATTCGGCGACAACAAATATGCTGCCGATTGTAGGGGCGCATCCTGGACAGAGTAAGAGAGTTATTGCTAAAAAGTTTAAGGGTTTCTAGTACGACGCTCAGATTTTCTTTAAACTTTGCACACATTTTAGCCATAGGCCATACAAAGGTTCATGAAAATTTTTGCTCGCGCTTTACAGGTATAGCCCAGATATTCGGCGATCTTTCCAACCCGGGAGAGTACGCTTATTGATAAAATTTCACAAGGTTTTTTTTTTTAATTTTCACTAATTAAAAATTCAAAGAAACTTTGAGTATCAATCTACTAGAATTTATTTATTGAACAGACATCTACGTCGTATTTTAAAAATCATATTGACCTTTTTTTGACTCTTCTCAAACCAACAAATCTTTCCATATCTTATATATATATATGCATTATTCCTTGGTGAATTCGTGAACTAATAACTTCAAAACTACCTTGTATTCTCCCGTTGACCCCCACTTTTCCAGCCCTATTTTACCCCGACGGTCATCTTGTCCCTCCAAACGCCCCTGTTCCCCTTGCGACGGCTTCTGCGCCTCTCCCCGTTCTTCCCGCAGCTCCCTTGTTAGTTAACGATGAACCGGTAGCACGTAAGTTTGGAGCATACTAGTCAATCCGCAAAGTCGCTGCAGTTTTTTCGGCAACGTTCACTGTGGAAAAAAATTCAGACGAGAGACGAAAAAGCTTATCGTCCGATGCAAAGGGCCACAAATTGCACATCGCAAGGCTCCAAAATCACTCCAGCGTCTTTATGAACGGACTGGTATAGAGAAATACTAGGCGGGCCAAAAAGTCTTGACATGTTTGCACAGTGCGCCGTCGTGCATGCAATTTGTCGCGCGGCGACAAGAAAAATTTACGGTGCAATGCGACACCGCACAGTGCAAAAAAGATTGTTTTGAAAAGGGTAAACAACGCACAGTGCGTTCTTCATTCGCACCCCGCCAAAGGTTTTATCGCGCGACACCTCGTCGCGACACCGAATTCATGCGCCCGCACGGTACGAAAACATGTCAAGACTTTTTGGCCCGCCTAGTATTAATATTTTTGACGATTTTTTGAAATATGCTAATTTTCGCACCAAAATTTCATTTTCTTTCAGCTCCCGAGCCCCCAATTGTCCCTTGTCTGATGATTTCCATCAACGGAATCCAAGGCAAATACTGTACCTGCACCGAGAATTACCGACAATGCTCGCCGACGCAGTGCTGCAACCATAAAACCTTTAGGTCGATGAAAGTAAGCAACTAAATATATAAGCAAATAATACTATGTGCCAAAATTTGCATCGCTTTTCAGGGCAATACCACAACTTCCGAAGCGCCCTCAGCCTCAACGCCGGCCCCAACGAACTCCACAAATGCCCCATCGGCGGTCGATTTGCTGATGGAATTCGTCGACAAATTCCGCCAACATTTGAACACCGACTCGAGCAAACAGAACTGAAAATTTACAATAATTTAAGACACATATATCTCAACTGTGAATACGAAATTATCATGAGCATTGTAATTATTGTAAAGAGCTACGATTTTTGTCTTGGAATAAACCAAAAATATCAGTTTCTCGGAAAAATAATGAGCGCAATGTCGCAGCGAAGATCGCATGGCAAAATGAGTTTCATCGCGGCAAATCAAATTGCTTTTCACTTCAGCGGCGTGGTTGGCGCAGCGACATTGCGCTCATTATTTTTCCGACAGACTGATAAGAGTTTGTGTGTATATATGTAGTAATAGAGGTACTGCAAGTGCCACTCTCAGATTTTGATGAAAATGGTCAAAACTTGCTAGGATTGCGAATTTTTTTGCAAAATTTGGTATGAAAAGTTATATGAAATTAAAGATAATGCTTCCACAAGAAAAGTCAATTTCTTTCACGTGAAACCGGCAAAAATGCGGAACTGAAATGTCCTATTCTCGAGGTGTGTGAAAGCTTGAAACAAATATGCGCGTCGCATTTTGAGTAGTTCCCCCGTATGTTGAAATTATTTCTCCGCTAAGCCCATAGACTTCAATGACGAATCTTTGTTCACACATGTACTAGCCCCGTCATAAAGTCCGTAGACTTTTTTTTTTGCTACACCGCGGGGTGTGCTCGCAGAGAAGTGCATGTAAATAGCTAGTGCAAAGACGAGCAGCCGCGGCGCACGCAACCAAACGACTATCCCTTTCAGCACTTCGTCTACCTAGTGGACCAAATGCTTTTGTACCGGTTGAATTCAAACAAAATGTCAAACATGAATTTTGGTTTTATTTACAGTGACGGATCCAGTGTCAAAAAGTTTGCATCCGGGAAGCATTAAAAAATGCAGCAAAATGCCTCCCTCTCCAACTGAAAAAACTCCGTTTTGAAGGGCCTTTGAACCGGGCTTTTGAAACAGGAATTTTTTCATTTTTCACTTGAAGAGGGAGGTATTTTACTGCATTTTTAATATGTCTTGGATGCAAAATGGTACGTTTTTTGCCACTGGATAAGGTTTCCTACTTTACAACCAAAAAATATTTTTTCGGCTTTTTTTTTATTTTATTTTTTGACAATTACGACACTTCGTTTGGACAAAACTTACAGGGGAAGTACTCCAAGTGCGACGCTCAGATTTTCTTTGAAATTTTGCACACACGTCCGGTATGGACAAAATATCAATTCTTGAAAGTTTAAGCTCGCGCTTTGCGGGCGCCGCCGAGATATCGAACGATTTTTGCCGCCGAGAGAGCACGCTAAACGTGGAGAGCGGTCAGAGAGAAAAACGCTTTTTGGCCATAACTTTGGCAGTTTCCTGCGGGAATAATTTCTACAAAAAAAATTGATTTTTTGTAGAAACATTATCCTTTACGGTTGAAATAGGCATGAAACATTTCGTGCCGAAATTTGGCAAAAGGTCCTAAATTTTCGCCGACTTTCAACCTAAAAATCTCGATTGTTTCTGCAAAGCGCGAGCTAGGATCCTCGCATATATCTTAAGAAAATTGTTTTAAATTTGTGCCAAATTTCATCAAAATCTGAGCGTCGCACTTGGAGTACTTCCCTTGTTAGTTGCGGTTTTCTACAGTAAAATTTGGGATCTTTGGTTTGAAAGCCAATGTTCCGGTTGCATTTTTTCCTGTTTCTAAACATTGCGTAACCTTTTTGGGCACTTCTCCTTCCAGTCTGAGATTGACGAATCTCATTTGAAATGCATAAATTTCCGCAAACCCACACACATTTTGCGTTCTTCCTTTGACAAAGGCGTTCCTTGGTATGTTTAAACATTTTTTTAAAAAATACTTTCATAGCTCTTGCTGCACATCATATAAAAAAATTGTTGAAAATTGTTTGCAGTAGACTCTAAAATATGAAAATAAGCTTTTATGAAAATAAAAAAATGCGATTTTGCTTTTTCTCTTATGCATTTTTGGTTTTGCTATATGGCAACTTGTTATACAAGGCCATATTTTCTGCAATCCGATGACAAATTTCAAGCGTTGCTAACGAATTCTCAAGCACTGAGAAGCCGTTTTTTCCGACTTATTTGGCTACTTACTTGGCTTGAGAGAATTGCTCTTGGAATATCCGGCGCACCCTCCCAAAGCGGCTTAATTTTCAGCGCTTTGCCTTTTCTCCGGCGAACTTCCCGGGTCTTCCAAAGCTCACGGACGCTGAAGGGAAAAGGTTGTTTACTCGGTATCTTCGGGGGCTATGGGTAAAATTGGGAACACACGGAGCATTTATTGGAAATCTCCGGATATGCTTTTGCTTTTATTTTGAAGAGCCCAGAGGGCAAGGTTGATGGCTATACATTTATATTTCTTGTTATCTTTGCACCGCCGAATTAACGGTGCAGAATGTCGTGCGGAAGCGCTGAAAATTCTCAGGACTGTTGCTGCGAATATATCAGTCCGTCGGGAAAATAATGTGGATTTGTCGCGCCTGGGAATCGCTCATTATCAATCCAAGTTCAAGTTCACTTTGAAGCTTGAACCTAAAAGTTTGACAAGTTCACTGCTGTGCTTGTTGAGCTCTAAATAACATAAAAAATAAGCTTTATTTTATTTTTTAGTATTTTCATAAAGTGCTTTTACATTTGTCATCTTTTGCACAGTGAATTTTGAACCTTTTCGCACGCTTGTTGCAGCGCACAGGATGTTTTGCTCTTGTGCGCCCAAAAGAATGCTCAAGAGTCGTTTGCACTGTGGAAACTGTTCTGCAAAACCGCGAAAAAAAAGTGAAAATAAGCACTGTGCGAAACGGGGTGTTTTTGTGCATTGAGACGCGACAAAATGTTCATGCACTTATGAAAAGAGTAATAGACATAAACAGCGTCCTCAGCAAGGGTGCGTCGATCGAAATTTTTTTCTCAATTGTGTTTGTGGCCCAAATCCTTTTTAAGAATTTTCGTTGATATTAATTTTTTTGAAATCATATCTCGCACAACAATACCCCTTTATATAACAGCGGCTAGATATTTTCTTAAAGTACTCCATGTGCGAGGCTCAGATTTTGATGAATCTTGGCACAAATTTCAATATTTTTTTTTCGCGCTTTGCAGAAACGACTTTTAGGAAAACCGGAAAAAATAGAACATTTTTTCGCAAACTTTTACACAAAGAATTTCACAGCAATTTCTACCTTAGAGATCAATAATTCTACAAAAAATCAATTTTTTTCGCATAGAACTGGAAAGACATGGGCGAAAAGTATTCTTCCCTCCCACCGCCCTTCATTTTTGGCGTAGTCTCTTGGCCGCAAAGCGTGTTGAATAAATCAACGGCAATGTTTCTTTTGTAAAGCAATATCTTTAAATTTTCAGCCTCCAGAATGAACCGCTACACAGTCGGCTTGCCATGGTTAATCTTGTTCACCTTCCTACAGTTGAGTTTTATTGTCATCGCTGGATATCTGTACTCAACAGTCAATTTTGACGTTGTTTTTCGAGCTCAGGTAAGGAAACACTTTTTATTGTTAAATATATTGTTCTTATACGCATAATATATATGTTTTTTGCCTTGCTTAAAAAATTTCCAGAACTTCGAGATTGAATGTGCATTCGTACTTATCACATCGGTCCTACTTTTGTTTAATTTTCATCAAGTATGCGCGTTACGCCGTTTTTCCATTGGGTTCTGGGAGAAGAGGACTGGAATTTTGATCATCACGCTATGTAAGCAGTGAACACACATGGCCCGGGGCAGGGACGGGTTACGGAAATTTCGAAAAGGGCCAGGCCGGGATGACTTTTATTGGAGCCGGGCCAGGATTACTTTTTTTGGCCACCGGCCCAGGCCGGCTTTTTTTATGCGGGCCGAGAAAACTTTTACTGGGATCGGTCCGTGCTGGCTCTTCCTGTGCCGGGCCGGGCTGCTTTTTTCACTTTTCTGGGACATGGGCGACTTTTTCTGGGCCGACCCGAGCTGAATTTTTCTAAGACGGAGCCGATTTTTTTTCTGGGATTGAGGCCGGCTTCTTCTGGGACCAGTTTCTGTGGTGCCAAGCCGAACTTTTGTGAGGCCAGCCCCACCGGGTCAATTTTACTATGGACATGAATCTTGCCTTTTTAATTTTACATCTTTTCAGCCGGGTTAATGGCCATCCTGTTCCTTGTCGTCTTCTTCGCGAGACTTCTACTCTTTCCGACCGACGTAATCAACACATTTGCGCTACTTGGAAGCTCCTCATATGGGGTGATTTGGCTGGGTGCAGTCATGCAATATTATATGGTAACTGCCGGATTCTTTCTTTTTGATGGAAGAATTTATTATATCTTTCTTTTTTCCAGATTTACGACTATGTTGACGCGATGGTGACCGCTCACAGTGATGTGGGAATTCCTTTAAGCAAAGAGGACGCCAGAGAACTTTGTCGCTTGAGAACCTATGAGTCCATGTTCATGAATGGAAAGTCAAAGCTCAGCCGGTGGATTGGAGTCAATTATTTTGCAGTAAGCCTTTTTGCCAAGTTTTTGTTTACAAGCGAAGTACCCAAAATGAGAACAACACGATAATCTGCGATAATCTTTATCATGGTGCAGTCTTTCCATTAATTTCGAATTCTCTTGTCTCTATTTGGAGATTAAAGGGCAATATTTTGTTTAACCTTATCGCAATTCTTGAGTTGCAGCTGCAGGGTGCTAAAGAAAATATTTTTATTTTTTGCACTGTGCAATATTTTTTTGCGTTTATTGCACCGTGCAAAAACAATACTTTTTTTGCGTCATGACCGCAGCGTGCAAAAAACTACGGAAGCCCTCTGTGGCTAATTTGTCAGACTTTACAGACTGGGCCTACCAGAAAGTGCGTGGACTTTTCTTCGCACAGTACATTTTTCGTCCTTTTGCACGTGCAATTTTGTGATTTTTTAATTGCACGGTGCAAAAGGTAAAATGCACTGTGCGGAAAATTTAAGAAAAAAGTCTGCGCACTTTATGCAACGAGTAGTAGAATATCAGTCTGTCGGGAAAATTATGTGGACTTTTGCCTTAAAATCGCCCGTCATCGCTTGCGACGGCTGGCGGCGGTCAGATATTTTTTTACGCGAGACATTTTCATCCACATTATTTTCCCGACAGACTGATATTTCCCAAAAAAGTTTAAAAATTTCTCTTTTCAGCAAGCCGAATACTACTTCCTAATGCGAGTGGTCGACGGCCTGGAACGCTCATATTATTCGACAGATTCCGGGAAACGGGAGCTTGTGGAAATATTGGAAGGCATCAAGCTGCGGCTGAAAGCGTTCAATCTCTCCGAGATGGACTGCTACAAATTTGAGAAACTGGCGAGGAAATTTCCCCACTTGATCAGCCCCTCGAGCGACCCGTACTACGAATACGACCGCAGGGTGATTGGCAATGGCTTTTGCACCAACAGCAAGTATGCGATATTTGGAACACAAACCTTTCAGAATGGAAGAGATTACACGATTATTTGAAGGAAATACAGAGGATAATTCTGTGCAATGTGTGCAAGAAATTATTGTACAATAGAAATTGCTGGTTATGTTAGGAATCCTGTTTATTTTCAATCAATAAATTATAGTTCACATAGAAATATCAGGAATTTTCATTGAGATGACTGCAGTTAAAAGTGGTTTTTATAGCCTTCAAATATTAAGGGATTAACAGAAATGGGATATTTACAACGAATCATCGGCCAAAGCGGAAGAGCCGTTTGAGGGCTCCCGGCTTCTTGGAGGGCTGGCCGTTTCTGAAAATCATCAATAAATTTTTAGAAAGACAAATAAAACCAAAAATTTTCAGCAAAATGGCAACGACAAAGTTGAAGATTGCTTATATCGCGATAAAATTTCCATGCACTTTATGAAAAAATGAGTTTGTCGGGAAAATAATGAGCCTCCCGTCGCATCGAAAATCGCATCGCCGCAGAGAAAATGAATTGTGTCGGCAAAATCAAATTGCTTTTCACTTCAGCGACGTGATTATCGAAGCGAAATTTGTTCATTATTTTTCCGACAGGCTGGTCCGTTCGCAAAGTTTTTTTTCGACCGCCGACCAAAAAAACTAGGCTGGCAAATCTGGTGAGTCGCCGCCCCAGCACATGAAAAATTCATACTTTGCACCGTGAATTTGAAATTTTGCACTGTGTAATCGAATGTCGCACCGGGAGCAACTTCGGTTTGTCGCATGCACAGTGCATAATGTTCGTAAAGCCCGCACTGTTCGAAAAAAATGCAAAAAGATAAATCCGCAGTCCGTCGAAAAAACATGTACCAGTCTGTCGGGAAAATAATGGGCACTATGTCGCATCGCCGATCGCGTCGCTGAAGTGAAAAGAAATCCGATTTTTACAATTCATTTTCTCAATGCGATTTTCGATGCGACAGAGTGATCATTATTTTCCCGACAAACTGATACCATGTTTTTCACAGAGCTACGACGTTCTTTTACTATGATATAATACTAAAAAATTAATTCTAAAAATTTTATTTTATAAATACTTTAAAAAATGACTCACTCCTCCGAATCCATACTGATACTCCGACTCTCCCCATTTATCGACCGCAAACTCTCCAGTCGCGGTGAAACCGGCGAGCCAGCCGGCGACGCGGTGCCCTCTCTGTTCCCTCGATCGCTGTCCTGCGTCGTGACGCTGATCGAGTCGCCATAACCGACGTCGAACGAGAGCCTTGGGACGGCGGATTTGGTGGACGTTAGTGTTGAACAGCTGCCATTTACATTTTCATTGGAGCTGTGACTATTTCGCTTTACTGTCGGAGCACTTGAATGGGAGGTTAGGCCTGAAAAAAATATAAAAATTATTTTTTTGTGAAATTCTCTTCAAAAATCGCCAAAAATTCAAATTACTCACTCGAAGTCAAACTGCTCTTCTTCGGAATACTCATCCTTCCATCCGGCAACACTTCGACCGTACTCCGACCCTGCTGCAGGTATTTATGCACTTCCGACCGGGAGATCCAATCATTTTCGGTCCCGAAAAGCGGTCGGATTTGGACGAAGACCAACAAGGACGAGATCTCCAACGGCTCCGAGGACTGGTTCAACAATGGGACCGAGCGAAAGCCCGGCCGCAAACAATCCACGGGAAAGACGGCTTGGCCAATGAAAGGGTCGGTTTTTGGGCCGACAAAATCACCGTCTTCGACGAGGAATCGGATCAGCGCCAGTTCCGGGCGGTACACGTCGAACTCAAAGGTCTCGTTCCAGAAGGGATTCAGACCGTTGGAGGCTGAAAGAAATGGGTTTTTGAGGGAAAAATATAATTTACTGGGAAATTTGGATGTTTTGGTGAAATATTGGAGTCTCGGGCAAATTGGTCATTTTGGGCAAATTGGGATTTTTTTCAAGTCGAAAAATAATGTTTTTGAAGCACAATATGGTGTCTTGGGCAAAATGAGATTTTGTGGACAAATTGGTCAATTTGGGCAAATTGGGATTCCTGCGTCGACAGGGAATTTCAGGCCAAAAAATAATGTTTTTGAGGCAAACTAGGGCTGACTGAGCAAAATGAGACTTTTTTGGCAACTTGGAAATTTTGGACAGCTGCGGAATTTTTGGGCAAATAGCTCTTTTCCGGGCAAGACAAAAAAAATTAGGCGGTACTGCGATATTTGGGCAGTTAAGCAATACTTAAAAATTTTTGAGCAAGATAAATTTTTTCGTATAAAATGTGCCCCACTTACTTATCGTATTCGTACAATCCGTCCTCGTATCCGTCGGCAATCCACTCATTTCAATGTGAACAAACGGTGAGCAAATGCCCTTGTTGTAATCTTTCCGACTCAAATGCCTTCCGGCAATAACCGTCAATTTCAGCGTTATCGGATACGTTCCTTCTCTTTCGGTGTCATTTCGAAGGTCCGGACGAAAGGTTTCGTCTTGAAGATACGATGGCTTCAAGACGTAGCCACATCGGCCATTCGCCATGAATTTGCCTTCGTTCATGTTCATCGCGCGATCGCCGGTCTGGTAGTTTAATGCGACCATATGACAGCCGGAGGACCACATTGGAACGGGGTTGAAATTGGTGGAGGTGAGACGAGAGGCCTGAAAGATTTTGGGTGAGTTGGGATTTTTTTGGGCAAAACGGGCATTTTGGGCAAGATGGGAATGCTGGGCAAGATGGATTTTTTGAATGAGATAAAGTCTTGAGTTTTTATGGTAAAATGAGATTTTATGGGCAAAACGGGCATTTTGGGCAAGATGGGAATGTTGGGCAAGAATTTTTTGAGCAAAATAAGGCTTTTAGATTAGATAATAAATTTTTAGCATCTTTTATGGGACTTTTTGGGCAAAATGGGCACTTTGGGCAAGATGGAAAAGTTGAGCCAGGTAAATTTTTGAGCAAATTAAGGTTCTAGTTAATGGGTTCTAGGCAAAATGGAGTTTTTTGGGCAAAATGGGAATTTTGGGCAAGGTGAATTTTTGAGCAGATTAAGGTTTTTACCTACTCAGTTTGTGGTAAAATGGAATTTTTTTGATCAATTTTTTGCGAGCGAAGATGCAATTTTCAAACCCAAAATCATCAAAAAGACCAACCCACCTGCGGATAAACCCTCGACAACTGTCGCGCATTAAACAACGGCAATCCCTTCTCCAGCAACTTCTCGTGTTTATTCTCACTGAACGAGCACATCTCGAAAAAGGTGGAGCGTGGATCTTGCAGCGTAAAGTCGGGGTTGAACGGAACCGCTTGGCAATACACCACCAATGCAGACAATTCACTGGCAATCCGGACTTGCTTCTCCTTCGAACGGATTAAACTCATTTTATCGTTCACGGATCTTGTCATCGAATTTATCGCGCTGATCCAGTCCTCCATATCTTCGCGTTCGTCGGCCGCAACAAGAACTTCTTTCGTCTTCCAATGGGAGGTGGGCTGGGAGACTTTGAACGAGAATGGTCGGCTTTCTGATGACTGAAAAGCGGGTTTTAAGATACGATGGGGATTTTAAAGCCTTCATTTTAACTAATTTGCCATTTTTATGTAATTTCCGCAGTGTATTTACTAATTTCCAGACTTTTCCTTGAAATTCAGGGTCTTCGTGGTGGGACCCAAAAATTCGAAAAACGGGATTTTTATATCACAAGAACATTGATAGACTTCTACAAACCGGTTGCAAACAAAAAATTAGCATAGGGAAATCGCTAAAATTAGCATAGGGAAATCGCTAAAAAATGATCTGTGAACCGTCCAAGAATTTTTTTTTTTGAAAAAACAGAATTTAAAATACCATAGGAGAAAAATGCTAATTTTTTTCATCCTACAACTATTTAAACACATTACCAAGCGTTCGAGATAATTTTGAGACATTCCCCTGATTTTCAGGCTTTTCGTGGTGGGACCCAAAAACTCAAAAAATTAAAGAATCTTCACAGAAAACCCAATCAAGATTTAATATAGCATATATTCTGTAAAAATGCCTCAACTCACCTTGTCAACAACAGCTCCAGCCAACACAATGGTCACATAACTCATTTCCGCCGCCGACTCCCCTTCCAGCTCTTTCACACAATCCGGAGGAAACCAGCCAACCCTCTTGTCCAAACGACCCTTCCAAAGATCGGGCTCTTTGCGAATAATCGACAACCGACTGCCCACTTGGAAACTGAGATCATCACTGCCAATGCCTTCGAAATCTTTGACCGCGACGGCTTCGATCTAAAGATATTATTTTTTAGTGTTTTATACTTTGAAAAAAGCCTTTTGATGACGTCTAAAAAGTTGATTGAAACTATTTTTTGCTTTTAAAAACTAATTTCTGCAAAAAATACCGTTTTTCAAAAAGTCAATAATTTTTTGACACTTCGTCAAAAATAAAGACGAAGTGTCAAAAATAATTTTCTTGTATTTTTTACTTGACTAGCTCAAATGTCAGCGAAAAATTGGTTTTTGTGCATTTTCAAAAAATCAATAACTTTTGTGACATTTCGTCAAAAATTGCGACGAAATGTCAAAATGCAAGTAAATGGTCTCAAGACATTTTTGTTCCAGAATTTAGCAAGTTTAGACTATATTAAAGCCATTTCCCAACAATCTTAGCAACTTTTACATCGCTAAATTTCAAAAAAATCTCGGTTTCCCACTCACTTCTTGCTCCAAGTCCTTCAGCTCCATATAGCATCCAACTTGTGCCGGGAACTCGCTGATATACTCTCCAACATTTTGCTCGTTCACCGGGAACTTCAAGCATATTCCTCGGACAAAGTCGTGGGTTGAATAATAATCAACAACTTGATTCAAGTTCTCAAAAACAGTCTGATTTACGACGAAAATTCGACCGTCCCGTTTCAGTCGGTAATGCCAAAATTCTCCGTCCACCTTGAGCGAGAGGACGAAGACGTTTTGGTCGGTTGAACTGTAGCGAATGAGGAAGGCGCCGTCTTCGGGGACCGTGTTCAGCAGCTCCTCGGCCCGCTTTTTGTCGGCGGATGGGGAGAACCAGCTGAAGTAGGATTGATTATAAGTAAAAATTGTTGAGGTAAGGCTAGGTCTAAATTTCAAAAAGGCCATAGAAAATTTAAGTTTTTGACATTGTAAGATATAGCAACAAGTTGTTGAGTTAACAAGGGAAGTACTCCAACTGCGACGCTCAGATTTTCTTTAAAGTTTGCACACATACATATGAACTATAGACCAGACATCAATATCTGAAAATTATAGTTCGCGCTTTCCACGTCCAGTCGAGATATATCAATCTGCCAGGAAATTTTTTTGATCTTATTTCTATCTCAAAAGCTGCTAAACTTACGGTTGATTCAGATGCGGTTGTGGTTGTGGGCAAGGAATACTCAAATACGATCTGAAAGCCGGGGTGTCGAGTGTGTGTTTCGTGTAATAACTGATCAATTCATAGAGGGTATCCTTCTTGTTGGACTCCAAAAAGAAGAACTTCTTTTCGCCATCCACCATCTTGGTCTTGATTCGACAATGATGCACTTTGCCGGCATGAATAAACGACAGCGTATAGTCACCGATAAAGGTCCCACTCTCCCGCACCAAATACACCACATTGCCAGCGGGGTCTTTGTGTTCGAGGAGGCGTTCCTTGGCCTCATCGCGGCCCACCTTCCCGTGAAACCACTCCTCCGTCACATGCATCTCTTCGGGCCGCACACCAAACCCTGAGGGGGTGTTTTCGGCCCCCATGCTTTCGTCGTCGCCCGTCTGCGACGTACTATCCGAGTCAGCGCGCTGCTCCTCCACGTACGGCTCCATCACGTAGCAAAGACGATCCGGGAACAGGACGAACACATGCTTCTCCCATGCCTTTGAATTCTCATCGTACAGCGACAACACACCGCGTTTGACGCACTCCTTGGAGAGGAGGTCCGTTTCCATGTCCTCCTCCAAGGAGGGCGCCAAAGTGATGGTGTCACCTTCGAGTTGAAGCTTCTTGTGCTTCAATATGATCTTGTGCCGCAGGGCAGAAGGCGAGGGAAGTCGAGTCTCGTCTTTACTAACTGGCTGAGTTAACAGCAGATCGCCGAGAACTTCCTGAAAGACAATTAATGAAGTGTTAGACGGCAAAATTCAAAATTAAGTTTACGGAAATTCGACCAGTCGATTTTTTTGAAATTTTAATCATGAACTGTAAATGTGCCGAGAATCAATCACTGTAAATTTTAGCTTTTTTATTGCGGCCGCAGCTGAGATATTCAACACGTTTTGCGAGAGAGTACGTAAAATGAGAGTCAACCAACCGAAATTTCCTTGGCCATAAGCCTTTGCGCCGGGACCGAACAATTGTCCTCGATGGACAAAATCACCGGATAATCGGAGGTCTGAAAAGCGTAGTGTTTGATGGTCAACAGCACATCGCGAAGGTTGAGTTTTGTGGTCATGGTGTAGCCGTGGTAGATGACAATCTCGCTGAACTCCCCCGACGACTTCTTTTGACCGTCCCAGCAGTCCACTAAAAAAGTGAGAACAGTTGAAGGCGCGGCAATAAAAAAAAGGGGGTAAAATATGGCGCACGAGGAGGTAAAATACCCGAGCAATGTGTCTGTTACACTTACGTTCAACACAACGACAGCCCATGAGCAAGGCATGAGCGTAGGCGTCGAGGGAGCTCTCGGATTTGAGTTGATCACCGGTTAAGTATCTAAAAGAAAAGATGTTTTTATTTTATATCAGTCTGTCTGAAAAATAATGAGCACTCTGTCGCCGCGAAAGTCGCATCGCAGCCAAGAAAAAACGATTTGTGCCGCAAAAAAATCTAGTTTTTTTTTGACTTCAGAGACCCGATCGGCGCAGCGAAATTGTGCTCATTATTTTCCCGACAGACTGGTAATTTTTTTGCAAGATAGATTCGGACCGAGAGAATTTGAAAAGGGGCCAAGGCCGAGCCGAATTCTTGGGGGCCGGGCTGCGATTTTCGGCCCGGCTCGGCGCCAGAGCCATTTCTAATTCAGAGGAAAAAGGTTCAAAAAAGGGTGTGTGAAAAATTAGTCTCTCTGAAAAAGGGTGTCGGGAAAATAATGTGGATTTTTTGCGCTTTAAAATCGCCGATCATTGCATTATCATCATCAGTCCGTCGGGAAAATGCTAACAAGCACTCTGTCGCATCAAAAATCGCATCGCCGCCGAGAAAAATGATGATTTGTACCGCGGAAAAATCAAATTTCTTTTCATTTCAGCAATACGATCGCCGCAGCGAAATTGTGCTCATTATTTTCCCGACAAATTGACACTAACATTAATTTCCCCCAAAAAAACTCACGTATTATGTGAAGAAGCGATCCAATAGTTGGTCAGGGGCTGGGTCATGTCATGCACAACGTTATGATTAATCGGGTCAAAAATTGTATTTTCCCGCGAAAACAAAAAATCAACAAATTCTTCGGTGGTCAAGAAAGGCTCCGGAATATCGCGGCAAAGATCCACTTCTCGCAGATATGAGCGGAGAAAATCGACTGCGGTGTCTTTGGAAAAGCCGATTTCGTCCTGAAAATTGGGGTTTTTGGGGGAAAAGTTAAAAATTGGTTTTTAGGATTTTTTTGAGCCTTGAAATTAAAAAAAATTTTTGATTTTTTGATACAAAATAATAAAAATACTATTTTTTTTATGAAAATATTGAAATTTTTGTAATTTTTTGAACTGAAAACATAAAAATCATTTATTTACCTAAAAAAATCTTTATGATTTTTTCTTGATTTTTGAAAACGGCATTTTCTGACGAAAAATTTTAAAAATTGTTTTTTATGGGGTTTCCCGTTTCTTATCGCGGTTTTTTGGGATTTTTTTGATTAAAAATAAAAAATAAAAAACTTTTTTGACAAATAAAAATTGAAAATTTTGCAGTTTTTTTTGGCTTCAAAACATAAAAAAATTAATTTACTGTTAAATTCCGTGATTTTTTTTGATTTTTTACATAAAGTTTTTTATTCACATTTTTATCAAAAAATTCTGGAATTTTTTTATTAGAAAAAAAACTTACATGTTGGTATTCCTGAACAAAATTGAAGAAGTTATCAACAGTAACTCTTTGATTTTCATCGGATAAAAATTGAAAGTATTTTTGAAAAATGAAATTCAAATTCTGCAGGCGATTATGGGCGAGGACGAAGGCTTCAAAGCCCATTTCTCCCTGAAAAAAAATTTAAATAGAAAAAAATAAAATTAGAACATAAAAAAAAATTTTTAATAAATAAATACCTCTGTAATCTCCTGAAGTTGTTTTGATTGCACTTTACATTGTAAAGTCGTTTGCACAAAAGGTTTCATATGTCGAATTGTAATTCTGAAAAAAAACAAAACCAAATTACGGTCTTTTTAATGACAACGAGGAAGTCACAAGTCAGATTTCGACCCAATCAAATATTTTTTCAGTTCAAAGATATAACCCTTTACCATCTGACAAAAGTAATATTAATAAAAAATATCTCGGTTTTAGGGTCGTAAAAAGTTCAAAAATATCGCCAAAAAATCTTTAAATGGATTTTGCACCGTGCAGCCACTAACTAAAAAATCTGCACGGTGCAAATATAAAATAACAAAGACTGATGTAAACAGTCCGTCCGGAAAGTCGCCGGGCTGATTTTGGCGACATGCACTGTGCGAAAACAAAAGTTAACTTTGCACTGTGCAATTTCTAACTTTTTGCACGGTGAAACAGGCTTTTTTGGGATGTCGCTTGCATCCTGCTTTTTTGTGTACGGGGCATGTCGTCTAAATCATCCCAGCGACTTTTCATACGGACTAGCAGGCGGGTATCGTTATGGGGAAGTTCACTGCGTGACACAGACTGCTTTTTTTTAGAAAGACAACTTTGCACTGTGCGTGGTTGCCGCGCACAGTTCATTTCGCCTTGACGTCGTTTGTGACAATGCGATATGAAGCGAGAAGGTATTTCCACGATGCAGACACGCCAAAAACTTTAAATAATTATTTTCTCAACCATCAGTGTGTCGGGAAAATAACGAGCACAATGTCGCTCCGCCAATCGCGTTGCTGAAGTGAGAAAAAATTTGAGTTCGCCTCGACATCATTCATTTTCATTCAACACCATTCAATACGATTTTCCATGCGACAGAGTGCTCGTTATTTCCCCCAACAGACTGTCAGTACCCTATTCCTTCAGAGATCAACTAATTTGAGTCCAAAAACAGTCTTCGAAAAGCCCTTAGGGGCCTTTTAAACTATGCGATCACATGCCTCCCACTTTTTAATCTTGATTTGTTCTGCAAGGAACAACCTTGGTTCCGGGTTGAACTCTCCGCTTACGTATTTGTATCCATATTCACAATACTGTAAAACTGTTTGCGAAGCCAACGCTCCATAATTAGGAAATGAGAGGCCTCCATCCATTCCATTCGAAGGTGTTGCAGTCCTTGGCACCAGTGCTTGCACGCTTCGGCACTGTCGACTGGAAAGGGACGAGGTGAAAGGTGAAACAAGGGAATGGTTTTTTATTTATTACTAATCATCTTTTTCGGGTCAACGACAGTTCGGGTCAACTCAAAATCGTTCGATACGGGGCGTAGGACAGACGGAGCGTCAAAAAAGTTTGTGCCTACGAGGCCTGGCAAAGCCGTTGGATGGCCGGCGGACGCTCGGCGAAGGCCCCGCGGAGACTTGCAATGTGCCCACTTTTTCTAATTTTAGCTACCAATAACGTTAGTTTTCTTTACCTTGAGATATTGTGAGATATAAAAGAGCAAAATTTGCGGCAATAAACGATGATCAGTGACTTTTATCTAGTATTATTGATGTGAGTACATGTAAAATACTTCGATGTAAGTTATAAGCCATTCTAGAACCCGATCAATCTTCTTATTTCTACTAAATAAGCCTTCTCCTAGCCTCTCCATGCATGCAACGACGAACTGACACTATCCATAGTATCGTTGACCCAAACTGTCGCTGACCCGAAAAATCGCAGCGCCGATTTTCGCTGCGACAGAACGCTCATTATTTTCCCGACAAACTGATACTACGCTCTTTCAAAAATGCGTAGGTTTTTCACTTACAAAGTAAAATCCAATGATTCAGCACAAACCCATGGCCATAGCTCACAATCAGAATCCAGTCGGACTGGAATCGCTGCAACTCCCGGTCTTTCCTCCATTTGTCGTGAATTTTCATTTTGTGAATCTTGAAGTCGAGCGTCTGCACATCTTTGATCAGCATTATATCGAGCATTTGTGGCTTGGACATGCAGCAAGTCTTGTTTGGAGCTTTGTCATCGTATTTTGTGAGTATGATTTGACGGGTCTCGCGGTTGAACCATAGCTTTTTGTACGATGGATCCCATTTTTTGAGGAGAAGAAGTTTGCAGACCTGAAAAGAGGAGGCCAAGATGATGGATAAAAAATGAGGTTTTTTTGGGTAATTGACTGGTCGACTTTTTTCAAATTTTATGCAGTGGCACTCTTAAAATTTTAGTTGTTTTTGCATAAGCATGGCCGAGATGTCCGACAATCCCTTTTATGCGAGAGAGCACGTAAAATGAGGAGAGTCTGCCAAATCAAAAAAGTCTTATGACACCGCATTTTAGGAGCTTTTTTGCTTTCATTTGGGTTACCGATAGTGGTAAAATTGAAGAGGATTTCAACTTGTCGGTTCGTAAAGTCGCTAGAATGATTTTTGCGGCATGCACTGTGAAAAAACAAAAGTTCACCTTGCACCGTGCAATTTGTTCGTTTTTGCACTGTGCAATAGGGGTTTTGGATTGTCGCTTCTACCTGACTTTTTTGCACAGTGTATGTTGCCGAAATCACTTCAACAACATTCCAAATGGACTATCAGCCTGTCGGGAAAATAATGAGCACTCTGTCGCATCGAAAATCGCTTTGCCGTAAAGAAAATGAATTGTGTGTCTCGACATAATAAAATTGCTTTTCACTCGTGCGCATTATTTTCCCGACAGCCTGATAGCCCCAACACCCTCCACAAACCTACTCTATGCCCTTTTTCCATCGAATTCACCACCTTCTCCATGTCGAATTCACTCGCTCTCAGCGACCAAAACCTCCCGCTTCCATAGCTGCCCGTCGCCGAGCGCCAATTCCGATTGTTCCGCACATGATGCACCCGTTGCGCGGCTCGCAACGACGAGGACGCCGAGGACGAGGTGCTGAGGCCGCTGTCCTTGGAGGAGCCGGAGAACGTGTGCCCACTCATGAACAGACTGCTCAGCGGCTGGCCCGCCGAACTCGCGTGCACGGAGGCGCCGGAGTGGTAGGTGTGCTGGGTGGGGTGCTGCTGGTAGAAGATGTGGCCGTTTACCTTTTGCGACGTTGCAAACAACCCACGACGCTTCTGCGCATTGGGACCTGGTTCCTGAAAGACGGATTTTTTGAAAATCTCATTTTTTTTTGGTTAAAATAAAAAGATATAGCAAATAATGTTAAAACGCTTTACACCAAACTGCAGCGGTGAACGACAGCCCGGGTCAACATAAAATCGATCGATACAATTCCCAGGACCGACGGGTACCCAAAAAAAGAGGTAGTAGAAGGTGCCTACGAGACCTGTGAAAACCGTTGAATGCTAGGCGGATGTTTGCCAAAGGCCAGGCGTAGGTTTTGCGGAGGCTTACAGTAACACCACTTTCACTAATTTTATCTATTGCTAATCCTAGTTTTTTTGATCCCGAGTTGTTTTAGCACAGTGAGGACTAAGACTTGCTCCAAAAACACAAAGATCCAAGCTTTATCTGTGCATTATTATTGCAGTAGTACATGCAAAATGCCTCAAAAAAGGTGATAAGCTATGCTAGGACCTGATCAATCTACCCAAAAATATTTTCGACCTGAGTTGTCGTTGAACAAAAAGTCGTAGCGTCAAATCCAGTACAAACAAATCCTCTTCATAACTGAACCTTTTGAAGTCCCTCAGTATAGTCCTTCAAAAGATACCAACTTATCCAATCTTCAAAAGATACTAACTCACCCATTTATTCGTATACATAAATTTTTCTCCTACAATTAGCCAATAGCCCAAAATTCCAAATCCAAACTTCCCCAACTTCCCCTTGTTTTTATACCAAGCCCCCTCTCAGATCATACGACAATACGACATTTACTATCCCCTCCTACACACATCCCACCCGTTCGTTCAAAAAGTTACCCACGTTTCGACCCGCTTTTCCCGGAATTTGAGCTGTTTTCCGCTTAAAATTAAACTTTCATGAGCTAGAATGTAGCCTAGTGGTCGCCACCCACAACCCGAAACCCGAAAACTTTTGAAAAAAAAAATGCAGCAAAAAAATTAATTTCCAAATTAGGCTTATAAAGGCCAGGAGACAGCCCAGAGGCATCAAAAGGCTAAATAAAAAAATTCTTATTTTCGTTGTGCCAACATTTGTTACAATTTGGGTTTTACGACCAGCAAACAAAGAGGGTAAAAGGGCAAAAACCAAGAGCTTCTTGGGTTACAAAAAAATTAAAAGGGCAAGGTAATTAGAAAGGAAAATTAAAGTAGTATTGGTCGCGCCACAAAGACCGTTGATTTTTTTCGGCGACGTTGCGGGGTGAGCTTGCAGAAAAGTGCATGTTGCTAGTGCAAAAACGGGAAGTCGCAGCGGCGCGTAGGAAAAAAGGGATGAAAAATTCTATGGAATTTATGGCGTGACTAGTATCCGTCAGTCGGGAAAATAATGTGGATTTGCCGCGCCTTGAAATCGCCCATCGTTGCTTTGCGACGGCTGGCCGCGGCAAGGAAAGGTTGGCCCGGCCCGTTTCAAATTTCCCGGCTTCTGTCTACCAGTGTATCCTATACATATCCTAATATTTATGTATAACAAACATTGTAACTAACTATGCAGCTAACAGCTCCAAAAAAAACTGAAAACAAAAAAAATGGCAGAGAATTTAACCCTGCTTTATTTTGGCTACCGTACAGTACTTTTATAAAAAAAGTCCTTCATTTTTTCTAACAGTGTCGCAAAAATAGTCCTCAAGACTTTTAACGGTTAATTTAACATTCTTTTCTATCAGGCTGTTAGGAAAATGAAGTGAATTTTTCGCGCCTTGGAATGGCCCATCAACGCTTTGCGACGGCTGGCCGCAGCTGGAAATTCGATGCGCGACTACGCCTTTTTTTGACGTGGCATTTTGCTGCGACGATCCAACACTATTTTCCCGACAGACTGAATTCTTAAAGCTATAATGTAATTTATATCTTTTCGCAGCTGTGCTACTCCGCCCGCCCCACGGGCCAAAAAATGGTCAGTCCAGACGGCCCAAATTTTGTGCTAGTATGAGGCTAGAGCCGCGTCTAGCCTCAAACTACCAAAAAACGACGAACAGAATACAAAGACAATCGGAAAAGCGAGAGAAATCGCATATCAACAACAATTCCCGAACGAGAAACTTTTTGATTCCCAGCAAAAAAAAGTCTAACCCTTTGCCCTCATAAAACCCACAAACCTTTCCGAGCAATAACACGTTATGTTATCGAAACACCTTTTCGAATCTAATACCCTCGAAAAATACAGAAATGAGGCTCAAAAAAAAGACGGCAAATGGAACGAAATTGGAGGGAACTTTGGAAGAAGATGGCTACAAGTGCGACTCTCGGATTTTTCTCAACTTCGCACACATGTCGGGAATATACCGCATATCATTTGCTGAAGGCTGTAGCTCGCGCTTTACACGTGCAGCCGAGATATTCAGCGGTCTTCGCGGCCGAGAGAATAGTCGAAAATGAGAAGAGTCGCTAGAGAAAATAAAAAACAGCTTTTAGCCCATATCTATGCCGTTTTCGTGCGGAGAAAACCGATTTTTTATGGGAAAATTATCCTCTACGATAGAAATAGGCAAGAAAAAATGTTAAAATTTGTAGGCGAAATGCGGAGAGCGATCAGGGGAAAACACTTTTTTGGCCATATATGTATTTGCCAGTTTTGTGAGGAAAAAACTTGATCTTTTCGTGGCAAAATTACCCTCGACGGTGCTGTATAATGAATATGCAACTTCTAATGCTAAAATTCGCAAAAAAATTCTTCCGTTTTTCCGAACTTTCACTCTAAAAATATTGTACTTTTTTACAAGGTGCAGGCTTGGAATTTTATATTCATACAGTGGCTGCAGTGATTTTTTAAAAAAAATTGACAACTACTGCGCAAAGAAATTCAGGGTGCGAGCGAGAGCTCAAAAAAGCCTATTGCTTGGTGGTGCAAAAAGCAAGAAATTGCACAGTGCAAAGTGAGCTTTGTTTCTCACAGTGCATGTCGCCAAAATCACCCTAGCAACTTTCAAAACGGTCTAGTATGCATTAGAAAATAGTAGTTTATATTTGTGCCAAGTTTCAGCAACATCTGAGTATCGCATTTGATGCAACTCTTTTGTCAAAAAAATATGAAAAAAATAGATCAAAAACACTTCAGAAACCCGTAATTTCCTCTAAAAAATCGTTTGAAAAATATGGATATCAGATTTCACATAAATTTTCCTAATAACCGACAGTCAAAATGGCCCTGAACACAACGAAGAACAGGGTTTTATCGGCTTAAAACGAGCAAAAATTGATGGAAACGGGAGAAATCGGACGAGAAAACTCTCTTTTTCAGCTTCCTTTTTCCCCGTCGCTTTTTTTCAGCGTCGCGCGAATTACTCATACGCCCCGAAGGGGAGCGCTCGATTTTTATGATTTACCTTCGCGATTCGGTGAGCGCTTTTTCGGGAGCCCGAAAAAAGCGCAAACCGTTTTTTGAAACAAAAATGAAAGTGCCCCAATAAAACCACCTCTTGGCCATATTTTAGCCTTTGCTCCTGCAAAGCGAAAACGACGCTGTGGCGTTATAATTGTTGCCTACTGACAGATTGAAAACAAAACCCGCGGAATAATGCATTGGAAATGGAGTTTCGGTGCATTCGAAAAAGGGGAATGAAATGTTGCAGGGTTTGTAGGCTAGAAGGCAGAGTAAATTGACTGACAGCAAAAATGGGTTTCAAAAAGGTTCGGAGCGAGCCTCCGGTCCGGCTCGTTTTGAATTTCCTTTGGCCTAGACAGTGCACGGATTTTGGCCCGGCCGGGCCCGAAATTCCAGTCTGTCGGGAAAATAATGAGCGCTCTGTCGCATCGAAAATCGCATCGCCGCCGAGAAAATGAATTGTGTAGCGGCAAAATGAAATTTGCTTACACTTTTTGACCTCTGCGAGGAGATTGGGACAGCGACGCGATGCTCATTATTTCCCCGACAGACTGATATTTCTGGTCTCAACACCTTCAACTAGCCAAAAAAGAACAAGAAAATATCCTTTCAGTTTTCCACAATGCCTACTGCAACAGTATCAGTCTGTCGGGAAAATAATGTGGATTTGTCGCGGAGCAAATCCCCATTCGCAACTAGCCGTCGCAAAACGATGATGAGCGATGCCAAGACGCGACAAATCCACATTATTCTCCCGACAGACCGGTATTAGTATTTTAATAAAGTGCATGGACATTTTGTCGCGTCCCGCACCGTGCTCGAAAAACTCCAATTTTGCACTGTGCATTTCACTTTCTTTTTGGTTTTCGCACCGTGCATCCAAATATCGCTGCGACATTATATGTAATTTGCACAGTGCAATCGGTTTTTTTTTTTTTTTTTTTGAGATGTGCACTGTGCGAAAAGAAAAAATTCACCGTGCGGTGGCGAGAAACGTGGGAGTTCCGAATACACAGAAGAGAAGAATTGTCCATGCACTTTACGTAACTACTAATAGTATTCACAAAGTTGAAATTGCGCTCTGATAAGGCGCGAATTGAAAAAAAGTGGAAAAAATTGAGTCTCATAAAACCCAAAATTATTATTTTAAAAATAGAGGCCGAAATTGATACGGGATTCGAAGAAAGCAAACAGAAAAGGGCATTCAAATGTTTTTTTTGTGGGTTTACGGGTTATTACGGCAATAAAACAACTAGCGCGCTTGACGGATGTGGACTTCCTGAAACATAAGCAACATTTATTAAGGCGAAAATTGCGTTGACTTCTGCACGGTTATTGGTAAAAGAAGAGAGAGAGAGAGGAATTATCAGTGTAAACAGTGATAAATTTGTGAGAATTCCCTTGTGTTTTTTCATAAGCCTTTTTTTGAAAATGCAATGATAGTATGTATGGGATTAATATGTATAATATAGTATGTTTTCCGGAGCAAAGATTGACTCTCCTACACAGAGTTGAAGAAATTATTGTGAGCAAAAGTTTAGACTTCAAGGAGAAGAGGAACTATGACGAGATGGTAAAAAAAATCCCCGATTCTTATCGACATAGATAATCTTTAACGTATTGATATTTTTTATTCTACTTTTTTATGTATTTACAGTTTATTTTACATCTAATTAGAAGTTCAACTTCGACACCCGGATTCTTTTTAAAATTTGCACGCGCTTTGGACAGAAGCCACATCCTAGTCCTTCCGGAAAGTCGCCGGACTGATTTTTGGCGTCTGCACTTTGAGAAAACAAAGGTTTTTTTTTGTATTGTGCGATTTCCTGCCATGCAATAGGCTTTTTCCGAGTGTCGCTGACTATTTTGTCATAGTGAAAAAATCAGTCCGGAAGGACCAGTACCAATCCCTTAAAACGCGTTTTGCCGCACTTTGGAGCTTATGTTAGCCTAACAGAGGGCGGACATTGTTAAAATCGGCATCTCAGAATTGAACGAAAATTGGTCAACTTAATCACTGATAGGCACAAAACATTTGCTTTCTTTGTTTTTGCCCAAAATTACCGTATGACGGCATACTGTAACATCATTTTTAAAAAAGATATGCCCTAATCGAGAAAACGAAGCGCTATTTCAGCGCAAATTGAGTTCAGGTATATGTTTTCGACCATGTACAACATTTTTGTAATTGTCACCGAAAACTAAAAATTACATCTAAGCTATGTTACACTTGAGACAACATACCATTTCGGGTATAAAAAATGCAGTTCGGACGAGGCGCAGATTTTGAAACCGGAATACTAAAGTTCAAGCCTCGTCTAACAAACCATAAAAATTTCAGAAAGATCAAATATATAGTTTTTGAGATATCGGACATTCAATGTCTCATGTGCAAGATCACCTTGACCCGGAAAAAATCTGGCATTCTTAGGTTTTTGGCTAGGCACAGATTTTGAAAGTTTCCAATACATTCTTTATGACATTTATAGGATGATACAGGAAGTTTCAGAGGAAAAAAATGAATAGTTTTTGAGAAATCGACCAAAATACCTTGTTTTAGGTCATCAGATGCCCGAAAAAATCTGGCATTCTTAGGTTTTTGGCTAGGCGCAGATTTTGAAAGTTTCCAATACATTTTTATGACATTTTAGGATGATATAGGAAGTTTCAGAGGAAAAAAGTGAATAGTTTTTGAGAAATCGACCAAAATACCTTGTTTTAGGTCATCAGATGCCCGAAAAAATCTGGCATTCTTAGGTTTTTGGCTAGGCACAGATTTTGAAAGTTTCCAATACATTCTTTATGACATTTTAGGAATGATACAGAAAGTTTCAGAGGAAAAAAGATGAATAGTTTTTGAGAAATCGACCAAAATACCTTGTTTTAGGTCATCAGATGCCCGAAAAAATCTGGCATTCTTAGGTTTTTGGCTAGGCGCAGATTTTGAAAGTTTCCAATACATTTTTATGACATTTTAGGATGATACAGGAAGTTTCAGAGGAAAAAAGTGAATAGTTTTTGAGAAATCGACCAAAATACCTTGTTTTAGGTCATCAGATGCCCGAAAAAATCTGGCATTCTTAGGGTTTTAGCTAGGCGCAGATTTTGAAAGTTTCCAATACATTCTTTTGACATTTATAGGATGATACAGGAAGTTTCAGAGGAAAAAAGATGAATAGTTTTTGAGAAATCGACCAAAATACCTTGTTTTAGGTCATCAGATGCCCGAAAAAATCTGGCATTCTTAGGTTTTTGGCTAGGCGCAGATTTTGAAAGTTTCCAATACATTCTTTATGACATTTATAGGATGATACAGGAAGTTTCAGAGGAAAAAAGATGAATAGTTTTTGAGAAATCGACCAAAATACCTTGTTTTAGGTCATCAGATGCCCGAAAAAATCTGGCATTCTTAGGTTTTTGGCTAGGCGCAGATTTTGAAAGTTTCCAATACATTTTTATGACATTTTAGGATGATACAGGAAGTTTCAGAGGAAAAAAGTGAATAGTTTTTGAGAAATCGACCAAAATACCTTGTTTTAGGTCATCAGATGCCCGAAAAAATCTGGCATTCTTAGGTTTTTGGCTAGGCGCAGATTTGTTTCCAATACATTTTTATGACATTTTAGGATGATACAGGAAGTTTCAGAGGAAAAAAGTGAATGGTTTTTGAGAAATTCACCAAAATACCTTGTTTTAGGTCATCAGATGCCCGAAAAAATCTGGTATTGTTAGGGTTTGGCTAGACACAGATTTTAAAAGTTTCCAATACATTCTTTTGACATTTTAGGATGATACAAGAAGTTGCAGAGGAAAAAGTTGAATAGTTTTTGAGAAATCGACCAAGATACCTTGTTTTAGGTGATCAGATGCCCGAAAAAATCTAGCATTCTTAGGTTTTTGGCTAGGCACAGATTTTAAAAGTTTCCAATACATTCTTTTGACTTTATAGGATGATACAGGAAGTTTCAGAGGAATAAAGTGAATGCTTTTTGAGAAATGGAGCAAAATACCTTGCTTTAGGTCATCAGATGCCCGAAAAAATCTGGCATTCTTAGGTTTTTGGCTAGGCGCAGATTTTGAAACTTTCCAATACATTTTTATGACATTTTAGGATGATACAGGAAGTTTCAGAGGAAAAAAGTGAATAGTTTTTGAGAAATTGACCAAAATACCTTGTTTTAGGTCATCAGATGCCCGAAAAAATCTAGCATTCTTAGGTTTTTGGCTAGTCACAGATTTTAAAAGTTTCCAATACATTCTTTATGACATTTTAGGATGATACAAGAAGTTGCAGAGGAAAAAGTTGAATAGTTTTTGAGAAATCGACCAAAATACCTTGTTTTACGTCATCCGGTGACCGAAAAAATCTGGCATTCTTAGGGTTTTAGCTAGTCGCAGATTTGTTTCCAATACATTCTTTTGACATTTTAGGATGATACAGGAAGTTTCAGAGGAAAAAAGTGAATAGTTTTTGAGAAATCGACCAAAATACCTTGCTTTAGGTCATCAGATGCCCGAAAAAATCTGGCATTCTTAGGTTTTTGGCTAGGCGCAGATTTTGAAAGCTTTCCAATACATTCTTTTAACATCTTAGGATGATACAGGAAGTTGCAGAGGAAAAAAGTGAATGGTCTTTGAGAAATGGAGCAAAATACCTTGCTTTAGGTCATCAGATGCCCGAAAAAATCTGGTATTGTTAGGTTTTGACTAGGCACAGATTTTAAAAGTTTCCAATACATTCTTTTGACTTTATAGGATGATACAGGAAGTTTCAGAGGAAAAAAGAGAATAGTTTTTGAGAAATCGACCAAGATACCTTGTTTTAGGTGATCAGATGCCCGAAAAAATCTAGCATTCTTAGGTTTTTGGCTAGGCGCAGATTTGTTTCCAATACATTTTTATGACATTTTAGGATGATACAGGAAGTTTCAGAGGAAAAAATGAATAGTTTTTGAGATATCGACCATGGTGAACCTGTTATAGGTCAAGTTGCTGGAAAATTCGACCAAGGCATCTCTTTTTTTTCCGAGATATATGTGTGTGTTACAGTTTTTTTTCCAAATTGTCACAAATAAATTCGAGCTCTCTGCAAAACTTTTGTCAAATGTACGCCGATGGCTACGATTCTGTGTTCTGATGACCTAAAACAAGGTATTTTGGTCGATTTCTCAAAAACTATTCATTTTTTTCCTCTGAAACATTCTATATCCTCCTAAGATGTCATAAAAAAGTATTGGAAAGTTTCAAAATCTGCGCCTAGCCAAAAACCTAAGAATGCCAGATTTTTTCGGGCATCTGATGACCTAAAACAAGGTATTTTGGTCGATTTCTCAAAAACTATTCATTTTTTTCCTCTGTAACTTCCTGTATCATCCTAAAATCTCATAAAAAAGTATTGGAAACTTTCAAAATCTGCGCCTAGCCAAAAACCTAAGAATGCCAGATTTTTTCGGGCATCTGATGATCTAAAACAAGGTATTTTGGTCGATTTCTCAAAAACTATTCATTTTTTTCCTCTGAAACTTTCTATATCTTCCTAAAATGTCATAAAAATGTATTGGAAACTTTCAAAATCTGCGCCTAGCCAAAAACCTAAGAATGCCAGATTTTTTCGGGCATCTGATGACCTAAAACAAGGTATTTTGGTCGATTTCTCAAAAACTATTCATTTTTTTCCTCTGTAACTCCCTGTATCATCCTAAAATCTCATAAAAAAGTATTGGAAACTTTCAAAATCTGCGCCTAGCCAAAAACCTAAGAATGCCAGATTTTTTCGGGCATCTGATGACCTAAAACAAGGTATTTTGGTCGATTTCTCAAAAACTATTCATTTTTTTCCTCTGAAACTTTCTATATCCTCCTAAAATGTCATAAAAATGTATTGGAAACTTTCAAAATCTGCGCCTAGCCAAAAACCTAAGAATGCCAGATTTTTTCGGGCATCTGATGACCTAAAACAAGGTATTTTGGTCGATTTCTCAAAAACTATTCATTTTTTTCCTCTGTAACTTCCTGTATCATCCTAAAATCTCATAAAAAAGTATTGGAAACTTTCAAAATCTGCGCCTGGCCAAAAACCTAAGAATGCCAGATTTTTTCCGGGTCAAGGTGATCTTGCACATGAGACATTGAATGTCCGATATCTCAAAAACTATATATTTGATCTTTCTGAAATTTTTATGGTTTGTTAGACGAGGCTTGAACTTTAGTATTCCGGTTTCAAAATCTGCGCCTCGTCCGAACTGCATTTTTTATACCCGAAATGGTATGTTGTCTCAAGTGTAACATAGCTTAGATGTAATTTTTAGTTTTCGGTGACAATTACAAAAATGTTGTACATGGTCGAAAACATATACCTGAACTCAATTTGCGCTGAAATAGCGCTTCGTTTTCTCGATTAGGGCATATCTTTTTTTAAAAATGATGTTACAGTATGCCGTCATACGGTAATTTTGGGCAAAAACAAAGAAAGCGAATGTTTTGTGCCTATCAGTGGTTAAGTTGACCAATTTTCGTTCAATTCTGAGACACTGATTTTAACAATGTCCGGGCCAAACTACGATTTGTAATAAAATGCGTTTTAAAGACTTAGCTCGGGCTTTTCAGGTGCATCCGAGATATCCAGCAATCTTTACGGCCGATGGAGCTGAAAAAACGCGGAGAGCGGTCAGAGCTGAACCCGCTTTTTGGCCATGTCCTTGCCAGTCTTGGTCGGAAGAAATTACTTTCAAATATACGGTCGAAAATTGTTTTTCTCTATACTGCCGCTCTCCGCATTTCGCGTACTTTCTCGGTCGCAAAGATGGTTCAATATCTCATGAAATTCCACAGCCATAAATAGCCCTAAATTGCAATTATGCGTTCTCAAAAATTTTGATTATTATATGATATAAATAAACTGATAACGTTTCCGTGTTGTGAATGGGCGTTTGTTGATGAAAAACCTACCTAAAAAAAAATCGCTTTGATGCAAAAGCAAAGAGACAACTGAAGTGACGTGATGATTACAGCAAAGTGTCCGTAACGGCTCAGCTGTTCTCTTATCAAGACCAATCTTATGGATTTGGAAGTGAAATTAGTAGGTTAATAAAAGCAACCGAGGCTTCTAACTTATTGTTTTACATATGTACTACAGTGATACGTGTATGTTAATAAAATACCCTGAAATAGGTGAAAAACCTTCCTAGGGCCCGATTAATCTTATCATTTAAATGAAGATAAAATCCTTACATCGACGGAGTACTTGCGATTCATCGACGTGTAATGTTCTACACTCCAAATCCACCAGCGGGGATGGACAGCGTTATGGAGTAAAGCCTAAAAAATAAAAGGGTTTACAAGGTAGTCTTTAAAGGTTGAAAAGGCAGCGCACGTCAAAAATAAATTGAGATCTCAAAGTAATACGAATTGGTCGAACGGTTTTTGTGGCCGACAGAGTAAGTAAATACGGTATTTGGAGGCCTAGCACAGGGAAGGCACAAAAGAAAGATTACTGCAGGTGTCTACGAAGCCTGGAAAAACCGTTGGATCCTCGGCGAGTATTTGGCGGAGACTTTGAAATGACTTGGCAAAGACTTTCAATATCGACGCTTTCTCTAATTTTAGCCACTGCTAACCCCTGTTTTCTTGACCCTGAGCTATTTTAACATAAAAAAAACATCAAAACGTGCTCCAAAAAACGAAGATCCGTGAGCGTTGTCTGGATAATATTACAGTGGTACATGAACATAAAATACCTCAAAAATAGCGCTAAACTAATCTTCGACCTGCTCTAGGTAACATGTCGTAGCGCCTGCAGCAAGACTTTTTGAGAAAAAAATACGACATTGTTGCAAATAAATTAACTTTTCCATGCTTATGCAATGTTAGAACATCGATCAAAAATAAATAAAAAACAACCATCTCACCAAAAAAAATCATGTCGTGTACTGCGGAGGAGGAGCCGCTATCTCCGCTCTCATTATAAAAATGAATTGCGTCAATTTCGAAAATTTGGTTTGAGAAGATCATTCCCGATCAGTGGCAAAAAATGATTCCCAGCGGAATCGAATCAAAATCTAAATTTTTCGTGCGACTTTTTGAGCGAAAGACTTAATGGACGCTCCAAAGCCGATCCCAATCAATCGGTTTCAAACAGACGTTTTTTCGATTGTTTTTATGCGAGAAGACGGTTGATAAGACTGATTGATTTGCTGCAAGAAAATAATTTGAATGGGGGAGAAAAAGGTGGGATTCAAAAAAGAAAGGTTTTTTTGCATAAAAACTGGAAGTGTCGCAGGGGTAAATATTGCATATTAAATATTACGAGGCCTTCCGGAGAGTCGCTGGGGTGATTTTCGCGGCAAGCACTGTGCGAAAACAGGTTTTTCACTGTGCAATGACTTTTTTCGCACAGTGCAAACGCAAAAAATCAGTCCGGTGACTTTACGAACGGAGTAGTTTTGCATAATGTGTATAAATGTTAGATTTTCTTCACAGTGCTCGAAGTGCGACGCTCCGATTTTGAAAAAACTGGGCAGTAAATTGAGACTACTGGTTCTAAAGAGACATGCGAAACTACCAGATTGCGCTCTACAGAAACTAACCTGAAAGATGTGCCACAACGGCAACAGTAGGCTTATTTCTAATGAATTAGGCCTGTCTAACGACGAAACTGTTTACCAAAATTTTCGTAAACTGGATGGACATTTTCTCCGGAGCCGAGTTTGACCGGGAAATTATTTTAGAGGCCGTTAATGACAGTTTTGGACTGCAGTGAGCCGAGAAGGCCTGAATCCCCTAGAAAACCCCTAAACACACCTTCTGCAGGAGAAATGATAAAAAGTTTTCCGTTTTCGAGAAGTTTAGTCATCAAACTTTCATAATTTGAAGCTCATTATCTACATATCAAGTCATTTATAAAAAAAGGGTGCGAATAATAAAAGTTCGCTCAATTTTCTTTTCCGATTTAGAAAAAGCATTAGCGTCCAATTTTTAAAATGCCTGTAGGATCAGGGTCAGGTGGGATGGCTTATCTTTTAGGCGTGGGGTTTTTGTAGGGCCGACACCAAAATTCCCTTGAACAGAACTTGACTGATAAAGAAGGCCCTGCAAGAACGAGATGATTTTTCGATTGGTATGTAGCGGAAGTATTAACTGGAAATTTCTTGAAACCCAAAATACATTTTTTTGACGACGGAGGGGAAAAAAGTTTCAAAAGGGGGGTGTAGGACGCCCAAATTTTCTTTAAAATATTTTGAGCTCCCATCGCAGCATGGTAACACGCTAATTACTAAAGATTTTAGCTTGTGCTTTGTAGACGCAGCTGAGAAACTCAACAATCTTTACGGCTTTTTTTAGTTTCGCGTAGAAGAAAGGGTGTTTTTTTGATACTAGTCTGTTTGCAGAGTCGCTGAGTTGATCTTCGCGTTTGCACTGTGCAGAAAAAGTCAGTGCGAGCGACAGCCCAAAAAAGCCTATGGCACGATGCAAAAAGCAAGAAATCGCAAGTGCAAAGCAAACTTTTGTTTTCGCGCGGTGCATGTCGCCGAAATCCCCCTTAAAACCCAAATAAGCGCTTTCTATAACGAATAATTTTTTCTTTCTTCCAACTTATCTTACAAAGGTATGGGTATATATACATGTGCTAGTCGTTCCAGAAAGTACGTAGATTATTCTCGGCATTTTTTCGCACCGCATGGTGCTTGTTGCGTGACGCGAACCTTTTCGTTTTGCACGGTGCAATTTCATTTTCCGGTTCAAAAATTTGCGCCGGCTCCGGCAGAAAAGCCTGCGTCGCTGCGATACTGCACTTGCACGGCGCACGGCAACCTGAAGTGTTTCCTGGCTCCTTTCGACACTTCGCCCATTTTGTATCGGTTGAAATCAAACGAAATGTCACAAAACAATTTTTCGTGGGTTTTTCCGACCGAAAAATATTTTTCTCGGAATTATTTTATTTCTTTTGTCAATTTTGGCACTACGTTTGGACGAAACTCAAAAGTGGGCGGGAAACATTTTTCTTCTATTTCGGGTTGCCGTGCGGCGCGGCCTACTACGAAAAGTTTACGCACTTTCTGGAACGACTAGTAGGTGTTCCCAAATTATACAAAACGTGATTTCCCTGCTTGAACAGCTCTCCTTGGAAATGTCGCTCACCATAAATTTGAAGCACTGTCAGGGTCACAAGCAGTATCTTTCTCACAGCGCAATGACAATTATTCACAACTCTCCAGACAGACATCAAAACTCAAATTCTAATTAAACCTCACTCATCAACGAATAAGGAAAACTCATTGTTTTTGCGACAGGCAAACAAAAACAGATTATTAAAGCCGGACACGCGCCTTTTTTTATTGTACCACTCAATGTCATCAGCACAAAAATGAACAAAAAAAGTCTGCCAAACCCGAGAAAACTCCTCGAATCCAATTGAGGGGAAAACGACGACTCTTGCCCTCAGGCGTAATGTTCTGATAAGATTTCACGGCTTCTAAATATAACCTTTCGCTCAAGCCTGTTTCTTGAAACTTTCGGACAATAAAAGTCCTTATCATTCGATGAAAAAATGCTTGGTGCTTCTCCCCTTAGGGCTTTCGTCAGGCTTATGAAGTGGAGAAAAGGAGGTGTGTGAAGGTAAAATACAAGAAAATTACTGAGTCATTCTTTGTCCTGAAGACGGAAGATTCTTTAAAGACATGAAGTTTATTACTGTCATCGGCCCCACGGCTTGCTGAATATTAGGTTGGACGGAATGTCCGGTTTTTTACTGCTTCTATAGATCAACGACAGTCAATGTCTGAGAAGGCTTACATTAGTTAATACTATTAGAATTTTCATAAAGTACGTGGACTTCTGCACCGTGCCTATTTCAAAAATTTTTGGCATTTTCTATCAATCTGTCGAGAAAATAGTGAGCACAATGTCGCTGCGATCGCTTCGCTGAAGTGAAAAGCAATTTGATTTTGTTGCAATTTGATTCATTTTCTCGGAAACCATGCCATTTTCGATGCAACAGAGTGCTAGGCTTCCTCGACAGGCTGATACTAGTCGCGCCATAAAATCCTGACACATGCACCTTGCATTTTTGTTCTTGTTTTGCACCCCCGTTTTTGCACTAGCGAAATGCACTTTCGTACAAGCTCGCTCTAATTTTCTCGCGTCCCAGGACTTTATGGCGCGAGTAGTATCTGACATTAATCCTCGTTGGACTTCTCGTTTCAAAAATGACAGAAGAAAATCTGTGTGAGATGGACTATAAATCCGTTGATAACCAACGGACGGATGATCTACCGGCCACTACGATCTTCAAGCATCTGGGAGCTTGCTACAAGAGTAATCCATCAAAAGCACAAAGGGCTGCTGAAACGGCATTCAAACTCTTTGTTGCAGCCGAGACTTCAAAATTTGTTTCCTCGACATTTATAGCCTTGTTTCTCGATGTCAGGAATCTACCAACTTCTATGTTTTACTTTGATTATTAAAGCTTTTACCATGCCGGCAACGGGAGTACCCAGTGTAACGCTCAGAAAGGTGCATGAACATTTGTCCCGCACCGTGCGCATGAAGCACCTCATTTTGCACCGTACATTTGTATATTTTTTTTTAACCACTGTGCTTTCAAATATCATAGCGGCGCAAGCTTTTCCTAGCTGCGTCGGCGCTTTTTGCTTTGCAAAAGTCGCGACGACGAAGCTGAAAAACCCTACGCCGCGGCGATGTTTCAATTCCACGTTGCAAAAGGTCAACTGCACAGTGCGGAAAGCTTGCGACAAAAAGTCTATGCACTTTATAAAAAACGCTATTTAACATGTAGGGTAAGCTGGATCCACAAACTTTTCCCTCCGCATCCGCAAAGAATGGCCGCGAAACGAAAACGGGGCGGGACTTCACGTGAAACACAACGAAAGGCGGGGTCCATTTCCCCGCAAACAACCGCCTCGCCCTCCTTGGCCCCACTCTCTTCTGGCCCTGCAATTCGGGCAGATGATTCAGCCGCCCGCTTCAGGAGATTTCTGTTTCGCTCTATGAACTGACCAATATTCCACTTTAATCATCATAAAGCTGCCTTTATTTACAGATACTTTTTTTGTATTGTAATTTTTTTGATGTGTTAAAACGAAATTTTTTGAGGATTACTGGACTTTTCAGAGTGTTCATAGACTTTTGTTGCCTTTTATTGGGAACGCACGGTGCATTTTGACTTTTTCCCCTGGTTTTCGCTGTACCGTGCATTTTGTTGTTTTTCGCACAGTGCAGACTTGAAAAAGCGGTTTGCAGAAACCGCAGCAACATAGCTGGGAAAGCTTTGCGTCGCGGCGATATTTGCGGTGCAAAAAATAACAGTGCACGGTGCAAATTGGGCTTTGCACCGTGCATTTTACATAGCGACAAAAAGTCTACGAACTTTATGAAAATACTTGGAAAGCGTATAACACAGTAATATTTTATTTTCCGTCGCAATTTGAAGGAAGTTTTTGATAGATTTAGGATCTTTTCCTTGAGTTTTGTGACTTTTTGATTTAATTTTCACAAGATATTTCTCATAAGGGTGGTATTATGATGATATTGTGAACAAGCTGAAGACAGCGCATTTCAGAAAGGGCCAAGAGTTTTCGATCGAAGTTTGGGGAAATTTTTTAAATTTTTTCGAAAAGTTTCATAATCGTTGTTCTTACCGTCAATGGTATCAAAGATATAGGCAAAAAGTGTTTTTTCCCTCTGCTCTCCGTCTTCCTCGTACTCTCTCGGCCGCAAAGACCGTTCAATATCTTGGCTGTCTCTGCAAAGCGCGAGCTAAAATTTTCAGAAATTGAAAATGTGGCCTATGCCCAAAATGTCTGGAAAATTTGAAGAAAATCTGAGCGTGGCACTTGATGTACTTCCCCTGTAAATAAAAATAAAAAAAAAGCTTTTTATTGTTCCAATAATATTTGCAGTTCTTTTTGCCGCTTCCATCCAAACTTGTGTTCATTTAGTGTCGTCATCCGTCGGCACGCAATGGTCCTTAAATTGCGAAAACCTTTTCTTGTATTAATATCGGAAATGGAGGGGGCTAAATTGGACAAGACGATCTTTGAAGGTTGATTTTAATTGGGCGGAGAGTTAATTAGTGAAAATCTAGATGCGAAAAAATGTGTTATCAGTCTGTCGGGAAAATAACGTTGATCTTCGCAGCAATGTGTTTTGCCTTGTCGAAAAAAGGGCGTCGCGGGCAGAATCCTAGCCGTCGCAAAGTGATGATATGTCCAAGGCGAGCCGACCCCGTTATTTTTCCGACACAGCGATAAAAAATTCTAACAAGGAAAGTACTTCTATGGGGTATGGAGTTGCAGGTCGTGACTTATTTGTAAAAATTAGCTGCCTAATTTTGGTTTGTAAGGGTGAAAAAATCCTCTGAACTTTTCTCGCAACACCATGGAATTTTCTACACTGGAACTACTAATTAAGGTGTAGTATAAATTAAATTTGATATTTTTGGGCTTGTCAAGACACCAGAGTTTACATTAGCTCAAAGACAAGCATCTGATTTGGTAAAAATTTGGTCAAAAAGGCACTTGCATGGTGTTTCGAGAAAAGTTACGAGGGTTTTTTCACCCTTACAAATCAAAATTAGGCAGCTAATTTTTACATATTCTGAATCAGAAAAATTTTGCGAATTTTTTGGTATATGCCACGACCTGTAACTCCTTACCCCATAGAAGTACTTTCCTTGTAAAAAGTTCAAAAAACGATTTTTCTGGGATATTCAATTACAGGGTAAAATACGCAATACATTGACGATATGAAATTTGTTGTTTTACTGTCAAAGCCCAGATTGTTAGGGTTTTGTTGCATGCCGGTTGCTGTTAGCATTGTAATGCTCCAAAAAGCAATTCTTGAGGTGACTAAGTTTGTCCGTTTTAGCCCTAAAATGTTAGCCGAAGTTTGATGACCAAAAATTTTTGAAAAAATCAAAAAACATTTTTTTTATTTTCCGCCTAAGAAGCTCGACTTTTTAAGCGAAAAACGTGCTAAAAAAATTTCTTTTTCCAAAAAATTTTATTTTTAATTTTCTCCCCAATAAATAAATAGAAAGTTCCAAACGTTCCATTCCCCTCAATTTCCCACTAAAAGCCCTTCTCCAAATTCGTAAATTCGAAACATTTCTTTTTTTGTCATGCAATTTAAAACACCTTTTCTCGGATCAGCCCTCCCATTTGCCTCCTCCCGTTCTTTTCCGGAGTTAGCTGCCCCATTAACTCATTTGATTTCCTGTCGCAAAAAAAGTGCAATGTAAACAAAAAATTTGAGATTTTTTTATTTATTTATTTATGGGAAGATGGATTTTTTTCTGATTTTTCTTGGTGAAAAAAAAATTAAATATTTTTTTACAATTTTTGAAATAAATTTACTTTTTTTATTTTTTTCAGGCAAAATTTTGATTTTTCTTTCTATTTATGGAAGAAATCTAATTTTTTTATTGATTTTTTTGGTGAAAAAAATGAAAATATTTTTTTATTCTTTTAATTTTATTTTTTTTAATAAAAAATATTTGCGATCTTTTATTTATTTATGGAAAAACGGATTTTTTCGATTTTTTTGGTGAAAAAATAAAAATATATTTTCTAAAAAGGTCTTACAATTTTTTATTTTTCAGAGATTTTTTTCCAATATTTTTTGTTGGCGTCAGGTGGTGGTTGATAACACAGTGGCGATAAGTACTACTTTTTACCAAAATTTACAACACCTTCCGCTTGTAAACGAGAAACGATTTTTGAGGCACCGAAAGGAGTTTTGGAGGGGAATAAGGGGCTTTACTTTGAAACTTATATAAAAACATAAGATTTGATTGGGAAATTCTAAGAAAACTTGAACGAAACTTTTATGAGGATGTTTGACAAGGTATTCATAACATTTTTACCTCGCTTTTTACAGGATTTATAAGGATTTTTGGTCTAAAATGTAAAAAAAAAATTTTTGATTTTTTAACGCAAAATTGAAAATAAAAAATGTAGAATTTTTTTCAGCAAGTCGAAACAAAAACTAGACTTTTTTTTTTTTGATTTTTTGGTAAAAAAATAGAATTTGATAATAAAATCTGGTGTAAACTACACATTTTCTCAAAAAAGTCTCTTTTCGTCAAAGAAATCGCTTTAAATTTCACTGGTTTTTTCCTGCCGACTCTTCTACATTATGCACAATAAAGTTTCAAAAAATTCTATGTGTTTTTCAAAAAAATTTAAAAAAATTTTAGCCTGCAGTCTGCAGATTTTTACATTTTTTATTTTTTTCACCTTCTTTATCTTCAATTTTTTTGTGTCAGTCTGTCGGGAAAGTAATGAGCACTCTGTCGCTCCGAAAATCGCTAGCAAATGAAGTGTGTCGCGGCTAAATCAAATTGCTTTTCACTTCAGCGAGTCGGCGCAGCGACATTGTGCTCATTATTTTCCCGACAGACTGATAAATTGAAATTAGATTTTTCTTCGAATTCTTTTCTATTTTTACCAAGTCTTCTGACTCATTGCACGCTCATTTTTTCGCACTTTTTTCTGAATTTCAAATTTTTTCTTGTCATTTGACAAAAATTTGAAAAAAATAAACAAAAACGCCCCTATCTTTTGTCGGAACAAAAGTCAACCGCATCCGAATTCCTTTTGTAAAATTTCCGACGCCACTGTTTCAGAAATGCTGACATTTTTGGAGGGCCAGCTACTGACTATCGAAAAGCCATTTTCGGAAAAAATGGGGGTTTCATCTTTTCGTAACTTAACTTTTATTATGGGAGAAATCGAAGACTTATCAGTGTGTCGGGAAAATAATGTGGATTTTTCGCGCTTTCAAATCGCTGATTATCGCGTTGCGAGAACAAATTCGGCTGCCGAATTTTTCCGCGACACCGACGAGACGATACATGTTGCTGCGACAAATCCACGTTATTTTCCTGACAGACCGACAGCTGAAAGAGAAGTACTCCAAGTGCGACGCTCAAATTTTTCTTCAAGTTTTGCACACGACTTGGGAATAGGCCCCATATCAATTCCTGAAAATTTTAGCTCGCGCTTAGCAGGGGCAGCCGAGATATTCAACGGTCTTTGCGCCGAGAGAGTACGCGAAATGATACCCACTTTTCGGTAGTATCTTTGTCAGTTCGGCGTGGAAAGATCAACTTCGACCTTTTGAAGAAACATTACGCTCTATGGTATAAAAGGGCTGTATAGGAAAATTTTGATAAGCTTTAAACAAAATCTGAGCGTTGCGCATGGAGTAGTTTTCAGAAAAAATTACCTTTTATGGAGACGCAATTTATCCACCTCTACGGCAGATGTGGGTATGTAATAATCTTCATGCCAAAATTCGCAAAAAATCACACATTTTTTTCCAATTTTCGACCAAACACCCGTCATTTGGATGTAGTCATAGTCACTGTCCTCAAGGACTACTCCTCTTTTGGCCATACCCATAAAAATTTTTATTTAGTTATCAGTCTGTCGAGAAAATAATGAGCACAATGTAGCTGAGCCGATCGTGTCGCTAAAGTATTTAAAAAGCAATTTTTGATTTTGTCTTTTTTTGATGCGACAGAGAGCTCATGATTTTCCCGACAGGCAGATATCCTTTCCCTTGCTCTCTAGGCCGTTTGTTTATTCAAACATGACATCAAAATTTGAGTCAATTCGAGACAAAACGCTAATATGCATGTAAATAATATCAGCCTGTCGGGAAAATAGTGACGAAACTACTTTCAACTATGTTTTTTCTTCTTTTTTCGTCATCATTTTTCTAAAAAAATCCAATTTTTTCGTGGCAAAATACACCTGATCGTCATTGTGTATGTATAAACTTTTCCCCCTTCTTCAGAATGCGATGGCCATTATATTTGGCTTGTATTTTATGCAGTCTACATAAAATCGCCGCCAGATACCAATGGAAACGCACCGTGCAGCCGAAGAAATTGGACGAAATAAAGATTCTCGACTTCGGAGAATCGCTTCGGTTTCAGGCCAATGAAAGTTGGGCCCATCGAAGGACGGAGGTCCTGTGGATGGGTCGGAGAGATTGTGTGGAAGCGCGGTTTCGAGTGGAGGGGAAACGCACACGGTAAGTCTTTACGGAGGAGTTTTTGTTGGGATTTAGGCAGCCCAAGATGCGAAAAATTCGTTCTAACAAGGAAAAACATTGCTATACCCCAAGTGCGACGCTCAGATTTTGATGAAACTTGTTTTCTTCTCTCTCCTCTCTCTGCATTTCGCGCTCTCTTTGGTCGGAAATGATTGCTGAATATCTCAGATCACCCTTGAAAGCGCGAGCTTAAATTTGGATAGTTCATATGTGGCCTATGCCCAAAATATGTGGCCTATGCCCAAAATATGTGGCCTATGCCCAAAATATGTGGCCTATGCCCAAAGTTGTGCGCAAATTTTGAAGCAAATCTGAGCGCCGGACTTGGGACACCCATGTTAGTCATCAAAATCCTGCAAATTTGATGACTAATGAGCGAAAAGAAGGTGGGATTGCGGGTAATATGATATTCTTGGGGTAATAACTTCGTGGTTAAAAAGAAAATAAAAGATCATGGTTTGCTTGCGCAAGTCAAATCTCTCTTCAGTTCGCTCTCCCATTTCTCTCGAGAGATTTGCCGGATTTACCACAGGTGAAATTTAAAAATTTGGTCATAAATGAGAAGCAAAGAGGCGAGGAATTTTGCTGCGACAAATCCACATTATTTTCCCGACAGACTGACATTAGGATTTCGTTTTGAAGGCAGCATGAAATCAGTCAAATTACAGTCAAAATCTCAGAGCAATAAATTGATAGGCACGGAAACATAATTCATTATAGAAGGGTTTGGTCCGACGAGACTTTACTTGGCCAAGCGACGAGTCGTGAAACCTCGAAAAATGTTTGTTACAGACAGGTTTCGACACATGAGAGTTCGGTGCCGTAGGTGCCTCATTTTTTGTTATCAGTTTGTCGAGAAAATAATGAACCCTCTGTTGAATAGAAAATCACATCGCTGCCGAGAAAATGTATTTTTGCGGGCGAAATCAAATAACTTTTCACTTCAACGACGCCACCGGCGCGGCGACATTTTGCTCATTATTTACCCGACAGACAGATAACTATATAAAAATTTTTACGGGAGGTTCACCATGGTCTAAAATGACTCTAAGAATCTTTAAAAATGCACGCTATAGAGAGGTTTTTTGTGTGGTAATCCCTCGCGCGGTGTTTTCATCAAAAAAGCTCATTTATTTTTGTATCAAAAAAGTATGTATGTCAAAAATCAGCTCGTATCCTCTCCTCTCATTCCCCCGAGACAACAAACATCAAGCGCACTTTACACATTCTTCCTCCCTAAACATGTGATTCATACAACAACCATTTTTAGCCGGGCTTTTAAAAATATCTTTTGGAATTTGATTATCTTGTCCCAAAGAGAATTTTTTTGAAGCCGATCCGAGAGTTTGTTTTTCCGTTTCCGCTGGGAATTCAATTTCGATAATTTTCATATGTTTCGGAAACCGGGAAAGGCCATAGGCCGCGGCCGGGGAGATTTTTTTAAAGGATTATTTTTTGAAAAAAAAATATGAAATGGCTTTGAAAAAAAACGTTAAAAATTTACAAAAATTCAGTCTGTCGGGAAAGTAATGAGGAGAATTTCGTTCCGCTGGTAGCGTCGCTGAAGTGACAAGCAATTTGATTTTGTCGCAACACAATTCATTTTATCGGCGGCGATGCGATTTTCGATGCGACAAAGTGGTCATTATTTTCCCGACAAACTGATAGTAAGATTTTTCAACACTATTTTCCCGACAGACAGATCTAGCCTCTTTGGAGGCCCATTTTTTATATCTTTTTTCTGATTTTAAAAAAATAATTCTCTAAAACACGTTCCTTCTGCTCAAGAATCAACTAATTAGCTCAATTCCAATTATTATCAAGAAATTTCGCCCTCTCAAAATTGTTGAATAAAAAAATGAAAAAGTAACAACAAAAAAGGCTCTGCTCTGAATGGGCACTTCAAAAGTCTCGAAACAAAAAAAAGAAAAAGATGAGAATGCCTAACGAAGATGCTCGGAGGGATTCGTCGTCCTTTCAACTTGCTTTGAAACCACTTTACTTTTTACCTGGCAAAAAGTAATAAAACCCTTTGAAGAAAAGTGAAGCTACCTAAAAATAAAAAAAAACTGTAAAAAATTTTAATCCGTCTGTCGGGAAAATAATGAGCACTTTTTCGCAGCGAAAATCGCATCGCCGCCGAGAAAATGAATTGTGTCGCGACAAAATCAAATTGCTTTTCACTTCAGCGACGTGGCCGGCGAGAGCGAGATGGTGCTTATTATTTTCCCGGCGGGCTGGTAGAACGCAATTTTTAGAGAGTATTAGTTTTGTATGCAATAAAAAAATTGTCCTTTTTGTCAACCTCCGATCTACAAATCTGGCTGGTTTCTGCTAAGCGCAGGCTAGAAATGTCATATATAAGTCTTAATTAATCTAAATTTGTGGCAAGTTTCATCAAGATACATATAGTTGTACTTTAATAAAATTTCAAGCAACTGCCCGGTAAACCTTTTTTTGTCATTCTCTTTGACCCTCAGAAGCCTTCAACTACCACGCCGTTTCCAAAATGCGTAGACTTTTCGTCGCAAAGCTTTTTGCACAATGCAAAAAGTGGCAAAATTCACCATGCGCCGCCAAAAAAGTCTCTGCACTTTATGGAACGACTACTATTTCTCTATTGTATTCAAACACTATCTCTTTTTGTTGGCTTCTCCCCTCTTTGCAATGCACTACAGGCCAAAAGAAGCCCCGAAATTGGATAAATGCGAACGGTGCTCCGAATGACATAATAGGCAGACAAAAGGGCGCTACGGAATTTCCGGCTCTTATTTTATCTTTGTCCTTCCGCTGTAGCGTTTTTTCGGAATTTTAATCAGCTGAAAAGGGGAAGTCGGTCTAATCGGCGACAAAAAACTTCCAATTGTCTGATGTCAGTGTGGTCAGAAGTGGAAATAAAAGGAATACTGTAGGATCCGGAACAGCGCTGAAAACGAATTTCTAGACAAAAGAAAGTGAATTTCGAAGGGATATGAATAGAAACTGGGGATAAGAAAGAGAAAGGATGAGTAATTTCGGGGAGATTACTGAAAATTTTGAACAAAGCTTTTGAAGAAACATGACGTTCTAATGCAGAAATATAGAAAAATTTCACATTCAGACTTTTTCGTAGGGCAGGTGTATGCCACTAAAAAAGGTTGTAAGAAGCCTGACAGAGCCGTTGGATGGACGGCGGACGATCGGCGAAGGCTCGGTGGAGACTTGGCGAAGATTTGCCACTCTTTCTAACTTTAGCTATTACTAACGTTAGTTTTCTTCACCCTCAGTTATTGAAGGAGAAGAAACGTTGACCCGAACGGCCGCTGACAGGAAAAGTTATAGCGCGGAAAACTTTTAATCGAAATTCGGAAGTTGCACTTGGAGTACCTCTTCCGAAAAAATATGCTTAAAATTTGTGCAAAACTTGAAGAAAATCTGGCGTTATACTCGGAGAAAATGCTTCTCGCTCGGCTGTCAATCTGTCGGCAAAGTAATGCGGATTTGTCGCAGCAAGATGTTTCGCCGATTCTCTCAAATCCAAACGTTTTTTAACAAAAAGAAATCTACATATTTTCTCTCAAAAAATCCCACTTTCAGCCTACGAGTCTACACCTGTCATATGGCCGAAGGAGGAATGTGCTCGATGGATAGGTATTTCTCCGAAAAGGGCGCCCATTTCTGCCATCAATTCCATCCCTGGTATCATGCCGCCCAACCGTACACCCTCCACGTGCAGGTGGAGCGACGTCCGCGCCGCTTCAAGGACATCGAAACGGAACGGCGCTTCCGAAGACGGAGATTCGGAAGAGCGGCGACGAGGAATGTCGCCGAATTCGAGTTTGTGGCGAGGAAAAGTTGCCAAGAGACGTGCAAACGGGATCCGGACGATGACACGGGATTTACAACGCAACTGCCGCAGTTTGTAAGTCTAATTTTTTGGCGAAAATTTTTTGATTTTTTTGGGGAAAACGTGGTTTAGGCGTTTCGAGGTGCTAATTTCAAAAAACGTGTTCATTTTTTTGAACCTTAGCAGAGGGTGACCTAGGCCAAGGTGGTTGCCCAAAATTACCCTAAAAAATCTCAATGCTTGATTATAACGGCCAATACACTTTCTTTAGGTTAGGTCGTCATCAAACTCACACCTAAATAGCCCTATCAGTCTGTCGGGCAAATAATGAGCATCCTGTCGCAGTGCAGATAGCGTCGCTGATTTTCCCGCGACACAATTCATTTTCTCAGCGCCGACGCGATTTTCCATGCGACAGAGTTCTCATTATTTTCCCGACAGACAGATAGATAGCTTGACCTTGCATAATGAGGGCAAAAAATCGCCAGAGACCAAAAAATTTTGTTTGTTATAGGGAGTCTTGCATAAAGTCTGGCCTAAAATTCAAAAAAAAAGTTTAGTTTGGCCTAAAATTCAGCGTTGAGGCCTCCGAAAATGTTCGTTATAGACAGATTTTTGTTGTACTAGTACGGTGAGGGACCTGATCCAGTAGCAGAAAACGTACCATCTTGCATCCGGGAAGTATCAAAAATGTAGCAAAATGCTTCCCTCTCTAACAATAAGTGAAAAAACTCCGATTTCAAAAGCGCGGCCGCTCTTTTTGTGAGGGAAAGGGCGCGCCCATCAAAACGAAGTTTTTGCACTTAGAGAGTGAAGCATTTTGCCACATTTTTGTTGCTTCCCGAATGCAAAATGGTACGTTTTTTGCCACTGGATCAGGTCTCTCACTGTAGTTCCAAAAGGTGCGCAGACTTTTTGCCGCAGGTTTTCCGCACTGTGCAGTTGACCTTTTGCACTGTGCAATTCAAAAATAGCCACAATGTAAGCTTTTTACAACTATGCACAGTGCAAAAGAACCGCAAAAAAATTTACGCACTTTATGGAACGATTAGTATATACGAGGGTGGTGCAGATGTCTCATTGACTTTCAACATGTCATCAAAAGCCTTTCAAGTTGCATTTCCCCCCAAAAACGAAAGATTATCCATGCCCTCTCCGCCATTTCCCATGCCCTTTTTCCGACCTGTCACCGTTGTCATCGCCGTCCATCCGACGGCTTGGCAAACGTTTTATCGCGCGCCAAACCCACGGAAATCCCGCGGAAAAAACTTTTCGGAGACTATCGCATTTCACAAGCACTATAATACTTTGTTTTTGTTGACAAAACTTTTTGATTCATCTGCTATTTGTGGACACGTTGGAGGGCTCATAAAACGAACAAAAATTTTTTTATTGTTTGAATAAGCGATTATAAGGGGTTTTTTGAGCGGCGTAGAAAAGTTTGCGGTATGAAAAAGTTCACAATTCGGGGATTTCGGAGGATTAAAATGGCTAATTAATAAAAAAAATTGAAGAATTGAGGTCAAGGATTACGTTTTGGAGGCTTAATTCAAGTGCGTTCATGGACAATTGAAAAAAAAAATTAATTTTTTGTCTTTGAGAGCTCAGAAAATAATGAAATTCACGAAATTTTTGGGATTATTTTGCAAGTAAAAAAGGGAAGAGACAACAAAACATTGGAGATTGAAAATGAAATCGGCAAAAATGCACGTCAAAGCAACATTTTGATCTAGAAAGCATAAAAAGCTTGTGTGATGACTAAAAAAGTGCCCAAAAGTCTCCGCCGAATACACTACTTTCCGCGTCGGCAGAACAAATGATTTTCTGAGGCAAAAAACTGCACATATTCTTCTTTATCATGCAAAAAGAATTTTTCGGATATCTTCACTGAGCGCCAAGAAATCGACAAAAACTTTCCGTCGCATTACTCGGAACACTCTGTAATAGAGCATATAAAAACAGCATTAGCTAAAGGTTGATAAATCAAATCTCAAATCCTGAAAGTGTTATATTATCTCGCGATTTTCAGAGGTAGATTTTCAACGATCTCTGCGGCCGAGAGAGTACGCGAACTGCGGAGAGCGGTCAGAGAAGAAACACTTTTCGCCGTAAATTTGCCAATTTCGCATAGAAACAATTGCTGTTTTTGTGGAAAAAATACGCTCTACAGTAGAATATAAAGAATTTTCTTTCAGGAATGAGCCAATCTTCCACTAGGACATCCAAACCGACATCAATTATATTCTCCTTCCCAAAAAAAGTTCAACTTGAAATCCCAAATTTCCAGTCTTTCCAATTTCGAAATTTCTTGTAATACCCTTTCTTTCTAGGTCTATATCACTTGTTTTCAGTTGTAAATCCCCTTCCTAAACGAGGTATATTGTTGTAATCGCCAAAAATCCTCAAATTTGAGGGTTATTTTTCGAATTTTCCCCATTTTTTCACTTTCATCACACTTCTTTCTGCAAATTATTGTATTTACAAATCCATCTACTGTCTAATCAACACGTTTTATCGCCCCAAACGAGTGTCCAGCTCGTATGAAGACCAAAATTTTGTGATTTTAGGCCAGGAGTCATACGCTCTGGACATTCCTTTGTCATTCCATGAATTTAGACGCCCATAGAAGCTGAGAATTATCACCGTTGAAACTGCCATACTGTCCACCAACCCTCACTGTCAGCTTCATGCAATGTGAACATATTAATCAAGTCTTACACTACTTTTTTACTACTTTTTAACGGTTTTTTGAGTAAATCTGGTTTTTCTTTCGGATGCTGGGCATAACAAAGAAAATAAAATTGTCCTACAGTGTTTTGAACCGCTATTTTTCCCATCAAATCTGGCTGTTGGCCAAAAGCGACATTTTATACGATGAAAGATGTCTAAAACAATATGAATTTGTGTTTCCCTTAGAATATATGTCTTTTGACAGTTTACAATGTAAATTAGAATGCTCTAAAAAACAATTTAAAGTCAAGGTCTCACAACCAGAACCAATATTTGTCAAATCCTACGATTTATACGATGAAAGGTGTCTAAATCAACACAAATCTTCCCTTTTTACTAACGATGGCGGCCCAGAAACCATAGCTGGTACAAAAACACTTACAATACTCCTTTTGCAATACTAACTGGATCAAATTTCCTTCTACTTCCCTCATTTACAACCATTGGGAAACACTTGACCCAAACAAACATTTTGTGTCAAGTCTTCCTCAACACAGAAAAATATTTTTTTTGCAAAAATTATCAAGTTTTATCTTCTGCTTGATGGAAACACAGCCCAACATGAACGGCGAATGCTCGAAGGAACCTGAAAATGATGTTGAGGCCGAGGTTGAGGTCATTTCCGAAGTTTTGAGTGCCATGTTATATTATGAACGACACGCGGCTGCGAAATTCCGGCGACAAGCCAAAGCTTTGAAGTAAGTTGATTTGATTATTGTTTTTGGTGTTTAGATTGACGAGTCGGATAGAATGAAGGTTGTTATGTAGTTTGCCAGCGAAAAGTTTCGAATTTTTTTTTTGATCTGGATGGTACAACAAAAATTGAGTTTTTTCCTCGGAAGATGGTAAAATAGCTGTAAGCCAGTATGATATAGCTGTGTGTTGGTCTGGCGCTCCGCTGCGTTCTATTTTGGCCCTGTCGAAGTTGTTTCAACCTGGTTTAATATCTAAATTTTACTTTTATCCATGAAAATAATATTGTTTTTGAAAATTTTGGCCCGAAAACTTTTCTTTCTAGTGTATTTGGTAGAAATTTAGTTGACGTTAGTTGTCAGGTTCCTATTAGAGTACAACTGATCAGCAGTGGACAAGCTGTAGCATATTTCCTCTCAAAACTTTGATTTGATACCTAAAATAATTAAAAATTCTAAAATATTTGACAAAATCCCTCTTTTAGGAGTCTAGACGATGCCGACCGCAAAGCTCTCACCCCAACACTCTCCTCGCACTTCAGGGAGGCGTTGCGTTGCGCCGCGGAGAATCAGAAATTCTTGGATCAGATAATAAACTGTGGACGAGTGATCTTCGACGACAATTCCAATTATATCAAAGCCATGGACGGTCTGAATCATGGGAAAGTCCCATCCGAGCATTACATGAGCAAAGCGCGGAGCACATTGAGGCAAATTGTGCGGGATTGGAGCGAAGAAGGGAGGCCGGAGCGTGAATCTTGTTATAATCGAGTACTAGAGGCGATGAGGGAAATTTACCCTGAAAAACATGAGCGATACGATGTGAAGAGCTTGGTTTGTGGATCCGGTTTGGCTAGGCTGAATTGGGAGCTGTTGAAGGATGGGTTTTCGGTGACTGGAAACGAATTCTCTTATTTTATGATTTTGGCATCCAATTTTATGCTAAATGCGTGTAAAGAGGTGAGTATTTTTGCTTTTTTGTGTCTTTGACTTTTAGGTAATGGCAGAATAAGCCTTGTTGAAGGTCTGGCAGCTGTTTCGATGCTTGATTTTGCAAAAAAAAAATATTTTTTTCCCGAAAATGATGAAAATTTTAAATTCTTACCTAAAATGATATTAAAATACGAAGTTGGTTATTTCAAATTTAATTTTTTCTTGTCAGATTGCTTTTTTTATGAGAACAAGTCCATCTTTTCATCAAAATCCCTTTTTTCGACATCATCTATATTATCCATGACCTCCTTTCAGAAGGAGCAATTCACAATCTACCCCTACCTCCTCGACTTTTCCAATTGCTGGTCGTATTCGGATGCCCTTAGGCCGGTAAAGATCCCCGACATCGACCCCTCTTCACAATTGGACAACACTTCCCGGCCAAACTCTTTTTCCATGTGCGCCGGCGATTTTGTAACCGCCTTTGAGGGTTACGAGCAAATTTTCGACACCGTAATCACTGTGTTTTTCATCGACACAGCCGTGAACCCATTCAAGTACATCCAGACCATCAAACGGTTGCTGAAACCGGGCGGAAGATGGATCAATTTCGGCCCATTGACCTATCACTTCGAGGACAGCGAGGAGGATTCGATCGAATTGCCTTTTGACCTGCTGCTCGAACAGATCAAACGGTACGGATTTGAGATGGAAATAGTGGAAGAGAATAGGGATAAACCAAGCTACTACACGAAGAACCCATGGTCAATGCTCGGCTACCAATATTTATGCGGGTTTTTCCAGGCCCGCCTACCTGTTGCCATGGAGAAGAAAGAAGATGAGAAAATAGTGGAAAATAATGATGTGACAAAGAAGAGAACCTCAGAGCAGATGAATTAGGATGTGAGCTTGTGGATCAACGTTTTTGGCCATGTTTTTTCGCCTGAAATTTTCGTATAACACCTGTTTTTGAAACATTTTTGGATTTTTGATGATTTTTGGAGGAAAATCAAAAAATTTTTAGGAAAATTGAGGTTTTCTGATAAAATTTTGATGCTGTAATTGTCAGAGAGTATTTCAAACTGAGAATTTAGGGTGGTAGCCGCTTCATTCACCTTGTTTTAGTTATCTTTTTTATCAAAATCGTCAAGAATTCAAAAAATTTTGAAAATTTTTGAATCTTGCTGGATTTCTTCAAGGTCATGGTCCATATGGAAATTACAAACCATTTAAAATTACATATTCTTTATTTTGCTTCTAAATTCTGTGAATTTTCTTGTTAATTTTGTCAATTTCCGTCACTCTTTTGATCAGGTGCATGAATAATATAAATATATCAAAGTTTATGTGAAACTCGTCTTTGAATTGCTTGCTTATTGTCTTTAAAAATTGCTGAGAGTAAAATACGATGGGATTTTGCCAATGGATTACTGTAATTTTTAAGATTTGGGTTGATTTCCCAAAAAATATAAATATTTTTGAATTTTTTGAAATTTTTTGTTGGTTTTGATGATTTTAATGGTTAGTATGTTGTTGTATTGAAGTGCCACAGTGAATATGAGGTTTTAAAAACCCTTTTCAGGTTGTATGTTCCGCCGGAGCGATGAATTGGTCTCGAATTATCAGATCAAAGGCACTGCCTTGGACTGCTCAAACAACGGTGAAGCCCTCGCCGTAGCCGGGTGAGATTTTTAAAATACGCCGAACACTGTTGTCGCTGTCTAAAATACATTTTTTAAGCTCGAAAATGCATCGTCTTCCATCTCATTCCGACTTATATTATCCATGCTCAATCTGATGTCTAAATCAATATAAATCTCCGGTCTGAACAAGAGAACTCGTCTTGAAATTGATGTCCAAGCGATTTGTCTGGTGTCTTATTGAATTTTCAACGGAAAATTTTTGAATTTTCAGCGGATTTATGGTGAATTTGGTGAGTCTTCATGGAAGTGGAGTAGCCCATCTCAGAGAAAAATGCCCCTGCGGAATCGCAAAAATGGTCCGATTCCATCATAAATACACCTTCTTCTGTGTCGCGGTAGGATTTGCATTTGTTTTGATGACTTTTAAGAGAGAGAATTGACGAAAATTATATTATAGTAGAGGTTGCTTTGATATCTTCGAAAAATCAGAGCTTGTTTTGGAAAAATTGTTTGTAAAATACAAATTGAACTCGTATTTTACCATAATGTTCGAAAAAAGCTTTTTTGAATTTGAAAAAATTGAAGAAATGAGGATTTTTCACCAAGAGAAACATTTGACTCAAATTACCCCTAAATGGGTCAAGTGTTTCCCTCGTCGGCAAATGTTGCGGAAATTACCAGAGTGCGGTAAAAATGGTATTCCACGTGCTCTAGCGGTGTAATCATCCATATATTATGGTAAAGTAGCTGATTTCAGACGCCAAGTTCCCTCGATTTCTTCCATGACACCCAGTGTTTCAACCGAATTTCGCAGAACGGAAAAGTCTCAGACTTTGATTTCAACGTGCTAAACGATAACTTGGTGGTGTCGTCGACCACCAATTCTGTCTCAATCTTCGATTTGCGCGAGTCAAGACGGCCAAAAATTACAATGTCCACGATTTTCGGCGCTCAGCAGGCAAAATTCAGCAAATTCGACGAATTCCAAGTGATTAGTGCGCATGGTTGTGATTTGAGGTTCTGGGACATTCGAGTAAGCAGTTGTTTTTATGGTTTTTTGAAGTTTTTCGGACATTTTGAGAGGTTCCTTGATTTTCAGGGTCTTCGTGGTGGGACCCAAAATTCTTGTAATTTTGCGAATTTCCCTAATTCAACCTCCAGGCTGCATTACAGCCATCAATTTCAGTGTTTTTTTGTCGTTTTGAATGATTTCCCTGAAATTCAGGGTCTTCGTGGTGTGACCCAAAAATTGTCGCAAATAATGAAAATAAAAATATTTCGTATTTCAGAACTGCTCAGCGCCCCGACGACAGATTATGGCGCATGAAAATCGCATCGTCTCGTTGGTTATGAACCCCACAAAACCGAATGTTATGATTACCTCGGCGTTGGAGGATACATTCAAAGTTTGGAACAGATACGATGAAATTGACACCTCCCAAGTGGTTTTGCTCTCCCACAACAGGGTGGGAAAGGTTATTTATTCGGTGAGATTTGGATGTTGGATAGTCAGGGAAAGACTTGACTCATTTGGGGTGCGTTCGGGTCATGTTTTTCTCTCATTGAAATTGGTCATGATTTTGATTGGAAATGAAATTTAAGTCATTTTTTGCGTTTTCGGCGTATTTTAAAACATGTTTAATTCGATTTTTGAGATGCTTTTGAGCTGTTTTGAGCAAAGGGAAGACTTGGCCCATTTTATAATGGGCTGGGTCAAGTGTTTCTCTCTGTGAAAATTGTTGTGTTGAATATAAAAATCGTTTTTATGAATGTAGAAAGGCGGAAGGCGTATTTTAAAACTTTTCTTTTTTCAATCATAAAGCATACGTTTTATATTATCCATCTCCATTTTTAGCCCTCCGGTGACGAATTTATTTCAATGTCGATCCCGGACACTGTCGGCGACCCGAATACGGTCAAAATGTGGAGAGCCCCGACCTTTGAGAACCCGCAGGAGCTTCGCAAAGGCCTCAAAGACACGTATGCGGACGCTTGTTGGCATAAAGGAGCAACTGGCCCATTCAAATATTTGTTCACATTGGGAAGAAATAGTCGATTATTGAGGAACCCAATCATTGGAAATGGATTGGTAAGAAGTTTGAAGGGATTTTAAAATTCGGTGTGGGGGCTTTTTTGTGGAAAAATTAGATTTTTTAGAAAAAAAAAATAAAAAAATTTCACGATTTTTTGTTTGAAAATTTTTGTCCATAGTAGTAGTAAGGTGTACAATATCTTAGCAAAAAATCAGTTTTTTCCGAGAAGAATGCGGAAAGTTATGGACAAAAAAATTTGGTCCAAAAATCATCATTTTGGGACCGTCTTGCAAATTTTTTTTTGAATAACTTAGTCCCTGTTGCCAAGAGGGGAGTCGAATTTTCAGGGATTGAATTGTAGACTATTGAGAAGATATAGGCAAAATTTGAAGGCAAACGAGCGGTTATTGTTGTTGCAGTCGCTTTTTTTGATGAAAAAATCTGATTTTTTCTCAAAAATCCGATTTTTTCAAAAAATTTTTTTGCAAGACCTGTTTTTTATAATATAAAAAGAACGTAGAACATCTGTTTGTCCTTTTTGACACTTTTTTTAATTTTTAAAATACGTCAGCCGACATAATGTAATCGTTTTTTCCAGAACAATGAGCCCAATGAGATGCCGGTCCCGATTGTGCAGTCCGCCGAAGACCGCAAACGCGACAAACAGCTTCTCGGCACCTCCGAAATGCGACAGAAAGCCCATTCCACCGACGACGACTCGATGAGCCACCGCACTCCCAGCTGGACCCTCTTCACGGACGAATGGAGTGGATGGGTCAGAGCCCCAAACCAGGACGGCGGAGACTTGCTGAGCGAATTGGCGGCCTTGAGAAAAGTTGTGGCACTTGGCTTAACTACTAGTGAGGTAAGAGGCAAATTTTGGAGCGGGAAATTTGGAAGAAAATAGCGATTTTTTGTGGAAAACTGGGATTTTTTGGTGATTTTTGAAGGTTGTGACGAATTTTTTGATTTTAGAAGGTGATAGGTGATTGGAAATGGAATTTTATGGAAGCCAAAGTGTTATGAAATTTATTAGAGGCACTTGTGTTGGCGTTTTTTTTTTTTGAAAAAATTGAGGTTTTTGACAGTTTTTCGAGGAAAACATTGCATTTTTTGATGATTTTTGAATTTTTTTGGAAATTTGTTGATTTTTTTGGGTGATAAGTGATGGGAAATAGAATCTTATGAAAGGTAGAGAGGTGTGAGATTTATTAGAGATAGCTATGTCGGCGTTTTGCGGGAAAAAATTGGGAGTTTTGACAGTTCTTTGTGGAAAAATAGGATTTTTTGATGATTTTCGAAGTTTTTGGGGAATTTTCTTGATTTTTTAGGGTGATAGTTGATTGGAAATGGAATTTTATGAAAGCTAAGATGTTATGAAAATATTAGAGATACTTATTTAGGTGTTTTGAGGGAAAAATTGAGACTTTTGACAGTTTTTTGAGGAAAAATTGGGATTTTTGATGATTTTTGATTTTTTTGGGAAATTTTTTGATTTTAACGGCAAAATTAAATGAGAAAATCGATTATGATCGACATTAGACTAGATTTTTTGACTTTGAAAAGCAATTATTTGCATTTCCAATAAAAATATTACTTATTTTTCAAAGAAAACTGCAAAAAAATCATCTTTTTCTTCATAAAACCTCAATAAAATCAATTTTCGAACTTCTTACCGCACTCTATCAACTTTATTTTCTCTTCAGGTGAATTTCCAACGAGCTGCGATCGGCTTCAACTACTCGCATCGAGGCCGTTGCAAACGAATCACAATCGAAATGCGATTCCACAAACAATTCCTGGAGAATGGCTGGATTTACATGGAAGTCGTCCAAAAAGACTCCCCATTGGACGCGCAATCCGCCAGACAGTTGCTTCTTCTGATCCAAGAAGAAAGCCGAAATCAAACTCAAGCCGGAGGCCAGTCAACTGTCATGGCCAGAGTGCTGCAAAATTTACCGGTTTTGGTGGAGAAATTGGGGGTAAGTTGGGGAAAATAAATCTTTGGGAGCTTTTGTTTTTTTTTTGAAGTTTACGGAATTTTTTTACTGTTTGAAAAAAAAAATTTTTTTGCACTGCGAAAAATTTGAAAATATTTTCTTGCACTGTGCAAAAAATTAGAAAGAAAATTTGCACTGTGCGAAAAGTGCCGCAAAAATGTACGTTCTACGGGACAAAATAAAAAAAAAAATTTCTCTCACTGCACTGTGCGGTAACGAAGAGAAAATTTTTCTTTGTGCACAGTGCAAGGTTTTTTGCACAGGAAATAAAAAAAACATTTTTTTGATTTTACTTTATTTTTTTTGACTTCAAAATAACTTGATTTTTTCGTTGAAATTTTTTGATTTTTTTACGGAAATTTTTAATTTTTTTCCCAATTTTTTGCGATTTTTTTTTTGTTAATTTTTTGCAATTTTTCAAAAAAAAATTGTCTTCCAGGTCTTCACAGACTCAATGGACATCCCTTCCTCCAAGACCACCATCAACAGTACGGATTCGTCGATGACGGAGGACACCGCCAGTCATACCGTGGAGCCGGCCGACCTGAATCGAATGTTTCCCATAAGTTACGGGCTCACCGCATACGATGTTTTGGTCCCATCGCCGCGGCTGTGCGGCGGACGCTTCAATTTGAATGGGATTTTGTGCACGTTTGGGAAGTTGCTGGTCATCCCGGTGGAAGGAGTCACCCCCGAAATAACCTTCCCCAAATCTACGGAAAAGCCCAAACTGGAGGCGAAAAAAGTCACAATGAAACGACTGTCCGAGGGCAGGAATTTGAGCGACAAATCGAGGCCCAGCCGGAATCAGGCCACCCCCAAAATCCCAAGCCTTTTGAGGCCAAATCCGGAGGGAAAAATGGTCTATCCGAAGACATTGCTGGAGTATTATCAGTGCGGTAAGAGGGTTTTGGGACGGAAAAAAGGTGTAGAGCGGGGTAAATATACGTTTGGATGGGTTTGGAGAGGAAATAAGCAGGTTTTTTGCGAAAAATCAAGAGATTTGCCTAGTGTAATATAAAAAGGGGTATTTTTATAAAAGCGGTAGGGTTTTATAATTGAAGAATTGAATCTAGTAAAATACGCGGAGCGAGTCTTTGAACATTTTTAGAGGGAAAATTTTTTTTAAATCCCAAAATTTGCCTAGTGTAATATAAAAAAAGAAATTGAAAGAGTTCGATAAAGGTGTTTGTAGACAATAAAAAATGCGGACTCAACGTTTTTGACCCCTTTCAGTAACCCCAGAGCATGTCGGATATCTCTATCAAATCGCGGAAAGAGCGGCCTCGGCCAGAAGAGTTGGTGGAATCGCCGAATCCAGCGATCGGTTGTCGTTTTCAACGGCCTCTCCGTTGAATGCATACAGTCATAATTTGGTGGAAACGGCAAGGAGTGGGAAAAGCGGATCCAATCGGGTTATTGGGGTGAGTTTTTTTTAAATTTTTTTTTTGATTTTCATTTTTTTTTATTTTCTGGTTTAATAGTTTCTATGATTTTTTTATTTTTTAAATTTTATTTTATTTTTTTCTTGATTTTTTTCTTTGATTTTGATAGTTTTTTCTAGATTTTCTTAGAATTTTTTGATTTATTTTTTTTTTATTTTTTCAAATTTTTTTTATTTAATTTTTTTCTTTATTTTTTTGATTTTTTTACTTCGTTTTTTTTGATTTTTAGTAGGTTTAATTTTTTCATTTTTTTTTTGAGTTTCTCGAAAACCCCTACAATAATATCCCTTTTTCTCTTCAGTCCTCCCCGGTATCATCCCTCGGAATGCTGGCCCAAAGAAACGCCAGTATTCACTCGAATCAAGCGACCTTTTCCACACCCCGCCGAAGAGTCAGCTCAATGTCGGCGGGCGTCGTAAACGAAGACTCAAATCCATTATTGGAACCGCAATTTTCGACAAATGTTTTGGTCATCGACGGGAGTTTTTATGAAGGATTGTCGAAGGAATTGGCTGCCAAATATAAGTAAGGATTTTTTGATTTTTTTTTTATTTTTTTTTTGAAATTTTTTCTGCGCACAGTGCAATAATTTTTTTAAAAAATTGCCGCACAGTGCGAAATGAAAATAAAATTTTTTTTTAATTGATTTGCAAAAAAAAATTTTTTTTGTTTGATTTATCTTATTTCTCGTATTTTACCCGGTATTTCCAGACTTATTGGCGGATCGGCCTCCGAAATTTGCTACGCGAATCTTTGGGCCGTTGTCAAGGAATTCCCGGACCGACCCGACCTCATCAGTCTCTGGCAAATCCTCTACGAATTTATGTGCGCCAGCGAGGAAAAGTAAGGATTTTCAAATACGAATAATTTTTTTTTTATTTTTTGCACGGTGCAAACATAAATATTTAGTTTTTGATTGCACTGTGCAGCGAAAAAGTTTAGACTGCACAGTGCGGAAGAAAAATTTTTTTGCACAGTGCAATTGTCGCTGGATTTTTGAGATTTTGCACGGTACAGTACTGCACGGTGCAATAAAGAATTTTTTGATTGCACGGTGCAACGAAAAAGCTTATGTCTTGCACTGTGCGAAAATAAATATTTTGTTTTTGATTGCACTGTGCAGCGAAAAAGTCTAGGCTGCACGGTGCGGAAGAAAAATGTTTTTTTGCACAGTGCAGTTGTCGCTGGGTTTTTGAGATCTCTGCACGGTGCAAAAAAATTTTTTTTGATTGCACAGTGCGGCAAAAAAAAGAGTTGTGTTTTGCACTGTGCAAAAAAAAATATTTTTTGCACCGTGCATTGGAAAATGAGTCTGTAATGAAAGTTCTGATTTTTTCAGAGAAATCCAAGCCTATCTTCGCAATGAAATTGAGACCGATTTTATTGGCGCAGAAATCATTCCATTCGACTCTTCACGACTAAATTTTGTCGAAAACGAACTTTACAATCGACATCGTCTTCAGTTGTGCGCTTTGGAATTCATGACACCTGACCCGTATGCCAGCAGAATTGGCGCTCATCCGTGTGGAAAGGATTTTTTGGCATGGTTGTAAGTTTTTTTGATTTCTTTTAGAAAAAAAATTGCACTGTGCAAAAAATTTCGAAAAAGTTTTGTACTGTGATTTTTTTTTTCTTTTTAAAAAATTTTTTTTGGAATTTCAATTTTTTCAGTGTTGAATTTTACTACCAGCGCTACGATGTGCAAACCGCGGCCATGATTACTTGTATTCTCAACGAATCCAATCGAAGAAACGGTCGATTAATGCAACTGGAACGACCGGAACGTCCAAAATCCAAAAGAGGAAACTTTAATGAGCGGAGTAGCGTGAGTAAAATACGTCATGTCTGGTTATTTGATTTTCAGGGCCGCCGCTCGTCTCCGGATGGTCGAGAAAGGGTTTTTCGACGCTTGGAGAAAATAAAATATTTGGCCGCCAAATTTTGCCCGTTATTTGTCACTGCGGATGAGTAAGTTTTTACCATTTAGTTTTTATTTTTTATATATTTAGGAGCGTGGGAGAAATGTGCACAGTGCAAAAAACTTCATTTTAGAAATTTTTTTTTGCACGGTGCAAAAATTTGTCAAATTGAAATTTTACCCTTATTTACTGTGGTTTAAATTTTGATCTGTGGTAATTTAGAGTCGACTAAAATTTGTGTTAGAATGGCATGCTTTGTTTTTTGAATTTTTTTTTTTTTTGGCACAGTGCGAACAATTTCTCGAATCTTCGCACTGTGCGGAAAATTTCGAAATTCGAATTTTTTTCTTGAGGAGTTCGGAGATAGATTTCACGCTTGTTTACTCGATTTTATGCTATATTTTGAGTTTTCAAATTTATTGTTTCCGCACAGTGCGAACGATTTTTTTAAATTTTGCACTGTGCAATCGATTCGATCGTAAAAGATTTTCTAAAATACATAGAGGAGAATTTTTTGCATTTTTTACGAATTTTCTGCCCAAAAATAATATATTTTTTCAGTCCCGACCCCATGGATCTCGAGACAATGCGAGATTATTTTATTAGAGACCATAAACATCGAACCATCGCCAAATCGCATATCGAAAGCGAACCGAAAAAGGAGCCGATCTACGATTACAAAGAGAATCGAAGTGCCGACGAACTGAGGAGTTCGTATGACCCTACTACTGAGAGTAATGTAGAAGATAACAAAGAAAAAAAGAGTGAAATTTTGAGAATGCCGACGGTCATGAGGCTGGAAGGGATGGAAGAAGACGAAAATGAGATCGCGTAAGGAATTCAGAATTAAGTTAGCTTGATCTCAAAAAAATTCAAAGTGGATTTGACTGGATATTTAATTTTACATTCGAATTTTGGCATTTTTTCTCCAATTGTTTTATATTTCTTCACTGGAAATAATTAAAGTGAACGTATTTTACCTAAAAATGATTTTTGTTTGAATTTCAGCGCTTCGGAAGCGTGGCTGGAAGAGAAGTTCGATAAAATACGCCAAGAATACAGTGTTTTCCTCTGCCGATGGGGCCTTTTGAACCAACGTACAGAACTGAATAAATTCGCGTTGAAGCCGGAAGAGCCGTTGTTAATTAAACGTAAGTTTTTTGGAGTGAATATAAAAATTCGAAATTTTTTTGGGTCCCACCACGAAAACCCTCAATTCAAGGCTAACCCTAAAAAGGGCAAAAAAACAATGGATAAAAGAATTACAAAAGTAATTCAGCATAAAAGCGTTTTATTTTAATATAATTTTTGAGAAATGTTCGTATTTTAGAAGTGATGAAATGCTCAAAATGCGATCGAATTTGCGATGATTCCCCCATTTGTCCGGATTGTGAACTGCCCGCTTTGTGGTGCATCATTTGCGACGAACCTTGTGAAGGCCATGTGGCCATTTGCTCGGTCTGCGGCCACGGGGGACATCCAACGCATCTGAACGAATGGTTCAAGAGTTTTGATCAGTGTGCTGCACTATGCGGGTGTCGCTGTAGCTTGTAGTATTTTTTTATTTTTAACACTTTTTACAAATTGTACTAACGTTTTTTATAGCAATAGTAGTCTTAGATAGTATTTTTTAGCGATTACCTTTTACTAACTATGTTTTTTTATCGACCAGATTGTAAATATTGTATATAACACCACCCTCATTTACTAAATTGTACATTTTTGTTATTTAATAACAGTTATTGTTGGAAAAGAAATAAAGAGAAAAAGTTGACTTCAAAGGACCTATTTGTTGGATTGATCAAGGAAATAGGCCAACTTTGAAAATAGGATGCAGTCATAATCGAACACTCTTACCGGGTTTTACCTTCATCGAAGGGCGCATTTTTTACTGTCATGTTTCAACACGAAATACCGTAAGCTGAAGGCCGTATTACGTAATACAGAAAAATCGAAAAAATCTGCTCTTCCATTTGATTCACGCAGAAAAAGGAAAGCAGAAAAATGGCTTGAATAATTGTTTGAAAGAGAGAAGGTTCATTCATTCATTGTTTACTGCTCAACAGAGGCTTCTACCCTTCATTAGCCCAAGTTATAAAATGTGCCTTCTCTGCCGATGCTGCTTGCCCTCCTATGAGGAAGCCATGGAGGATTCGTTTCCTCTATACGACGAGGAATTTACATTTTTGCCCCCTCCGTATTATCCCGCGCCGCGATTTGAGCCTCAACTGCCCGGAATCGCCGAGGACTCCAGCGAAGAAGTGGATGAGGCTCCGCCATTTTTTGACGATGTTACATCCCCAGAAATGATTTATAATCCCTATGATCATGGGGAGGATTATAGCACTTCTGAAGATCGATGGGAGCAATTGGAGAGACTTGCGCAAACGGTGGATTGGTCGAAATTTGAAGAAGGTGAGTAATCTCAATTGTTTTTCCTATATTTTGCTTGACTTTTGTTCTCTTTTTGGTTTTTATACCGATTTTTGCAGAAGAAGCCAGAAGGAACCAATAGCGAGGTAGTGTCCCGAATTTTGTCGTAAATGTTTTATTGAAAATTTAATAATTTTTGTGTATTTTATTTTATCGGATAATAAATTTAAACTAGAAAACTGCTGTATGTTTCACTTGTAGACTCAACTTTTACTTTGTCGGGATTTATTTTGGTTTGGCCAGCTATCCTCATTATATGTTATCTTTCGAAAAAGTATTGTCACTTAAGGTTGTTCCTTACAGTAAGATTTCGAGTGTATTGATATATGGTTGACTCATAAGATCGATCAAATTTTCTTTAAATTTGGCATTTATTTTTTCCAATGGAGATGTTGCAAACAATTTGCAATAAATTTTTACTTTTTTGTTACTTCTTTTTCATTTTTTCATCTTTCTTCTCTTGCTTAACTTCTTTCTTTTCCTCTTCTTTGGGGAGTTTTGGTGCTTTCACAGGAGCCAGGACTGGTTCAGGCAGCGGATCATCGGTGAAATATTCGTCTTCCAAAAGTGGTGGCTTATAAGCTTGACGGATTTTCGCTCGGTATCTCATAATATTACGGTAGGAGTAGAAGAGTCGAACAGATAACCAAATTGACACCAGGAAGAGAATGGCTTGAACTGGCAATTGAATAGCCTGAAAGTAAAGAGATTAAAAGAGTAAATCTTAACGTTGCAGTAGAGGTACTATACTTGTTAGTATGTCGGCTAAAATTTTCATTTTTCCGGAACATACCCATCGATTGGCAATGGCGAATGGGGCATCAAATTGCACGTCCTGGAAAGTTGTGTCTGGTGGATTCGTCTGAGACTCCTAAAATAAATGCAGTTTCTCGTTGCAGTCCGCAAATTTCAACTTACACTCATTGTTGTCCAAACGACTGCGAAAACTGGAAACTTTTTTTTAGAAATGAGTAAAATTCAAATTCTTGAAAATTCGTTGTATTGAATATGCAAATTTCTGCCGAGAGAAATTACGAGACTACTAACGATAAGTCGAGTGTTTTCGTCTTCAAAACAAATGGATTTTGAGGTCTTTTCAACTTTTTTGGTACTTGAAACACAATGCCAAAAAGGAAATCAAAATTTGAAAAATCGAGATGGCTCATTTGTTTTTAATGCTGTGCAAGTTCAATCTTAATGCCTTCCTTTTCATTATGGACTTATTTTGGTCTTCTTCGGTACTTGCAACAAAATGCCAACATTTTAAAAAAAGAGCGCGAAACTGAAATTTAAAATTTGATTACAATTGGTATTTTTTTTTGGCTTACAGGGGAAGTACCCCAAGTGCGACGCTCAGATTTTGATGAAACTTGGCACAAATTTAGAATGATTTTTTCTAAAATATATGCGAGAATCCTAGCTCGCGCTTTGCAGAAACAACCGAGATTTTTAGATCGAAAGTGGGCGAAAATTTGACACTTTTTGCCGAATTTCGGCACGAAAAGTTGCGTGCCTGTTTCTACCATGGAGGGTAATGTTTCCACATAAAATCAATTTTTTCCGCACGAAACAAGAAAAGTTATGGCCAAAAAGTGCTTTTCTCTCTGTCCGCTCTCCGTGCTTAGCGTACTCTCTCGGCGGCAAAGATCGTTCAATATCTCGGCGGCGCCTGAAAAGCGCGAACTAAAACTTCCAGGAATTGTTATTTAGTTCATGCCCGACGTGTGCTCAAAATTTAAAGAAAATCGGAGCGTCGCACTTGGGGTACTTCCCTTGTTAGAAGACAGTCTGACTGGCTTGGTAGACAGTCAAGACCTCTTTAAAAAATGTTGGCAGTTACCGATCATTTGCAACATAACGCCAAAGTTTTAGAAAACGGCGTGCAATTCAAAATTCAAATACGAAATATTTCAAAATACCGCATTTATTACTCAAAAATGATCAAATTACTTCTGAGGGCCTTTGATTTGCAGTTTTTCCTTCCATTCCTCATCGATGGGTCCATCAGCCGCGACATTGTAATACTCCTTCTCATCCAAGATTGGTGGCCGTCCCTTTGCTAGACGTTTGGCTCGATACTTTTTGATCTTGATCAGCGCCAGGAAAATGCGAAGAGAACAGGCGACAAAAGTCAGGAACAAAATTCCTTGAACGGGCACTTGGGCTCTCTAAAAATTGAATTTTGCGTGATGTTTTACATGGGAATTACGTTGAAGTAGATTTAAAAAAAAACGGGTAAAAGGTCGGAAAATTGGTTTAGAATGGTTTATAGACCTTGATCTGTAGCAAAAAGACTTTCGAGAGAAAAAAATCACTGATGTTTTTAAAGAAAAATTGGCATAAAAAAGATCAAAAAAAAAAAAACAGAAAAAAAAAAAAACAGAAAAAAAAGTTTTTTGGGTCAAACACGAAAAAATAAAGTGACATAGAGCATGAGCATACAAGCTGATTGACATTTTTACCCCAACATACCAAAGATGGCTCAAAAATGATGATTGATCCAGCGACAAAATGGGGTTGAGCCTGAAATAAAAAGAGGATGAAATTTGATTCAAAATGAATGGTAGACTGACCACAGACTCTCTAGAATTATTTCCACCATTTTGGTCGGCCATTTCGAACAGAAAAAATAAAAAATAATAATTTTCCCAAAAAAATTTGGAAATTCAAAAATTCAAATTTTGCAAATTTATGCAAATTTTTTTTTTCAAATGAACTTTTCAAAATTATTTTTTGAGTGATTTTTTTCAAAATAAAATCGAGTTTCTCTCGAAATTTTCATTTGTTATCCTTCGGGCCTCCGTTCGTCGGTCGACTTGATATCTTTGGCCAAATTTCGTCGAATTCGTGGCCAAGGCTAGTCAACTTGTCGTCCAGACTGTGCGTTGTGGGCCTAGAAGATAACTCAAGCCCGGATTTGGAGTGCAATTTGGATTTTTGCAACTTCTTGAGAACCAGAAGTTCTGCTTGGAAAGAAGGATTTGGTCAATTTTTTTGGTCGATTTTGGAAAAAGTAGGCGGTGTACGGTAAGTAGGCTTATATCACGTTGTAAAGGAAGCCATGAGCTACAGGAAAACTTTTAGTTTTTGTCGATGTGACTGTTTTTCAAGAAGTTATGGCTATTTCTTCAGCTGGGCCAAGTGCAACATTCAAGCACAATATGGCTTACCGTCAAAACAGTCTGAATGACATTTGGATGGGTTCCGACTTTAAAGGCCCATGGGAAAACAATCAGAATGCATTGGGAAAGCCGGAACAGTGGAGAGAAGCGGCCGAGTCGGACGATGATGAGAAATCCTGTCTTCATCTGCCTCATTTCATGGCTGTGGAGCTGGACGAGCCTTGCTATCGTCACAGAGAGTGAGTTTTGGCGGACAATTGGATTGATTTTGTTCTTTATTAAGTGAAAATTGCTTCCAGCTTGATTACAGGGCCAAAATTTATGATAGAACAGAATGCCAAGAATTTCCAGATTTGGCGAGGAAATTCAAATTTGAATTTTCAAGCCCTTGGATTTGGTCAAAAACCCCCAAAAAAGGTTTTATACCTTCAAAAATCTTTGTTTTGAAAGCATACACGATTGCTTTCAGCTATCCCAGCACCCGCTCTTTCCATCGCGCTCCTCGAGTTCAATGCACCGGCGATCAGCCCTCCTTCTACGAGCCGCAGGCGGTTAAAGCTCCTCCTCCGACGTTGCCGCCGTTTCTGAGCGGCGACGCCCACAATATTTGGACCCCGGAGGGACCGTTGATGACGTCGACGCCAAGAGTTTCGGCATTTACCCAGTTCCCGGGACAAGACAGCTACAGTAGTTTTGCCGAGTACAGTAGTGCCCAGCGGGCTGATCGTAACAACTCTTTTTTTGATGGATATGGTGAGTAGGAGCTTCAGAGGTTCTGCGATATCCATCGGGGCGGAATTTTTATTTTTGAGGTATGGCAGGCCGCGCCCAACATTTTTTTTTGTAAATGGCAGGCTGCGCACTAGTATTGATATATTTTGAGTTGTAGTTGAATTTTATTTGTTTTTTGAGACAATATATACCTTGATAAAGTCATTTCTTGTTCTGTTTCTTACGAAATTGACAATTTTAGCGTTGGCGAGCTGCGTCCTGACTTCACTGTACTAATTGTGACCTTGTGACCTCTGGGCGTATGAAGATTTTTGTGTGGATTTTAGGCATATAAGAAGCCCAAAAAACACGAAATAGAGAAAAAATAATATTTTTTTGTCCGCAAGCTGCGCCCTAGGCTTTTTCTGGATTGTTATTTTTGTCAAATTTTCTCAAAGTTTCTGTTCAGGAACCTTCCAACAATCCTCTCAACGCGATTTCAACCCCATCCCCGGCCCTCGCTATGCCCCATACCTGATGCCATCCAACCCGACATCCAACATGAACACCTCCAACACCATCGAGCCGAGCCCGGCGAATCGCCGTAAAATGGTGTACATTGAGAAGTTTGGAGGGTTTGGCGGCAATTGCGGAGAGTTTACGGAGCCATCGGGTGTTTGTGTCAACCCCAGAACCAACGATATTGTCATTGCCGACACGAATAATCATCGTGTTCAGGTGAGGAAAAGTAGTCGGAAAATGGTTCGTATTTTAGATATTCGATCAGCATGGCAATTTCAAGTTTATGTTTGGAAAGTGCGGCAGATGGGATGGGCAGTTTATGTATCCGAACAGGTGAGAAATTTGATTTTTTTGCCGGGTTTTGGCATTCTGCAACAGACAGTTTTGGCAATGAAAATTGATTTCTGAGCTTATGGGGGTTTTCGGAATTCATATTTTGGTCTATTTTAGCTTGTCGCAGCGCTTGAAAATTCAAACTTAATTTTTCCCGCCAAAATTTTCAATTCCTTGGCATTATGTTTTAGCGGCCATAAGAGGCTTTTTTTTTGCCTAGTACTCTGCCATAGACGTTTTTGACGCTCAAGAATTCTACTCACGTTTCAAAAATTAAAATTTTGAGTTTCCCGCCAAAATTTTAAATTCTTTGGCATTCTGTTTCAGCTGCCAAAAGAGGCTTGTTTTTTGCCTAGTACTCTGTCATAGACGTTGTTGACCCTCAAGCATCCTGGTTAGAATAATATTAACGTTTAAAAAATTCTAATCCCCCCCCCCCCCCCCAAAAGCCTGTAAATGAAGAAAAAGCGCATTTTCAGAGTCGCCATTGACCCCATAACCGAGTCCTACGTGATCAGCGAGCGTGCGCCCACCCATCAGATTCAGATCTACGACTCGCACGGTCGATTCCTCCGCCGCTTCGGCTTTGACCTCCTCTGCAATCCGCGCGGTCTGTGCGTGGACCGCGAAAGTCGAGTGGTGGTGGTGGAGTGCAAAGTGATGCGAATTGTGATCTATGACATCCATGGCCGGCTGTTGAACCTGATTAATTGCGGGAATTACCTGAATTTTCCGAACAATGTCTGTGTCAGTGTGGACCACGAAATTTTTATCAGCGATAATGGAGATCATTGTGTGAAGGTGAGTTGGGTATATCAAAGGAGTATTGGGCAATAAGATTTGAATTTCAATTTTTCCGCCAAAAGTGTTGAAATTTTGGCATTCTGTTGCAACTATTTTTTTAGGTTAAAAACGCGGTAAATTACTTTTCAAAATATTTTTTAGGTTTTCAACTACTCTGGGACTTTTCTCCGTCGCATCGGCGGCCCAGGTTTGACCAATTATCCCATTGCGGTCGCCATAAACCGCCAAAATCAGGTCGTCGTGGTCGACAACCACAACAATTTCAACGTTACCGTCTTCTCCTTGGATGGCGAGTTGCTGGAGGCGTTTGAGAGCAAGGTGAAGCACGCCCAATGCCTGGATGCCGCGTTGACGGGAGATAATGCGGTTATAATGTGCTCGAAGGACTTTCGGGCCTATGTTTATCGTTATGGCCAGAGTTTGATGACAGAAAAGTTGGGGAACTGTCTTGTTTGTGGTGCAAAGAATGGCTGTGGACATCAGGTATGTTTTTAAGTGCTTTGTAGAGTTTAGGAGACTAAGCAGGGCGCAGCTCGAGGATTGAAATTTCCCGGATTTGGTAATAAAACGTAGGGCGCGGGTTGGCAGGAAGTGGTAAATTGTAAAGAAGGTGTTAAAAAGCAAGAATATTTTGTTTTCTACCTATTGATATGTATATTTGGCGGTTCAAGGCCAACTTTGAATAAAAGCCTGGCGCAGCTCGCGTTTTGAAATCCTTGCGGTACGATGCTGAATTTTGTGTTATTTAGCTTTGTTGTTTCACAGGCAATATACACGTACCTTTTCATCTACCTGTACTTTTTATTTTCCATCAAGTCAGGGCGCAGCTCGCCAAAAATGATATTTAAAGAAGCGACGGAAAAGTGATGATGGTTTCTCTGTGTCGCAAAGAATTTATACCTACCATTTTCAGCCAATCCAACCCGGTCCCGGCCCCAACGAGATGAGCAATTTGACGCAAGCCATGTATAACATGAACATGCAACCGGAACCGAAGAACATCCAAAGATTGGAGATCAAAGCCACCGCCGAAGAAGAATCGGAAAAACTGCGCCGTTTTTTTATTGAAATCACCATCCCCGAGAACTGAGAGGACTTGGTTTGGATGGTTTTTTGAAATAATTTGCCAAGTGATCTAATGTAGATAGTTGTTTGTAAAATAAATGAAATTCTGTGCAGTAAATATGATGGGTATGTGGTATAGCGGCTTTTAAACGTCTTTAGCGAAATATTTTTGCCAATACCGCTGCTTTTTGGTGTTTTGAGGGTGAATTTGAAAGAGTAGACGAAATGTCACAAAAATTATTGGAGATTTAAAACGTTTCATATGGCCCAAAAAAGTTAAGAGACGGTATCAGGAAGCATGACAGAAGTTGTAGAGTGATTTTTGAAAGGTGGACGAAATGTCACAAAAAATATTGGATTTTTTAAAGTTGGATTTTTCACCAATTATAGTGTAAAAATTATCCCGATTTACTAAATATTGCTTAGGATCCATTTTTTACCTCAAAATTTGACAAAAAATCCAATAAATTTTGCGACATTTCGTCAACTTTTGCAAATTTTACGCCTTTTACTGTAGAAGGCCTTCTCATAACATTTGGATATCTTGGAGACCTTCTTTAGGCTTGAAATTACTCTTAATAAGCGAAATAGCAATTTATTATAACAGTTTACACATATGAAAATATAAAATTCAACTCAAAATACGATACAACACAGAGCTAGCGCCGAAAAATTGAAGACTATGTACAAAATGCGAAAACAAACTTTTAAAGGCCAAAACAATGCGTTATATTCTTCATGATGAATGAGTGGACGCCGTGGAAGTGCTTTGCTTATCGACCACAATGAACTCGCGGTTCACCATGCGATTGTCGGGCGTCCGCTGGACCACGCTGACTTCGGTCACAACCTTGTGCGCGCCCACTTTTTTCGGTTCGTCCCGCAAGTACCAATAGTCACGGTAGATCACGTAGAAGGCGTACGTGGAGAAGAGCAACGAGAGGACTGTAAACACGAGGTTCATGATGAGAAGGGAGAGCCGGTTGTTGTAGTAGTGCTCATCTTCAACGGGAGCCGACTCTTCGCTCAGCTGAAGCAATGAGATGATCTGCAGGACCGCGAAGACGGCGTAGACGATTATGGCAATTATCTGAAAAAAGTTGCGGGCTTAGTTTGGGAGAGAAATTTGGAGCAGAGCAAAAGGAGAGAAGAGTCGGATGGAGCGGAGCAAAACGAAGACTTTTCGAAAAAATGGTTGATGTTGAAAGGGCATATGTTCTGAAGACCCCTGTAGATTCATTACAAAAGGTATTGGCACTTTAAGACACACACCGGAGCGGAGCAAAAAAAAGTTGGGTGGAGCGGAGCTAGATGGGGCATTTTTGAGGATAATGGAAAAGCTAGAAAGCATTCATGGTATGAAAATCCTTGTAGACTCATTGAATAAAATCTTCGAGCAATTTCCACGACAAACTCCGGAGTGGAGCAAAATATCGAAAATTTGGATCGAGCGGAGCAAAACGGAGCTTTTCGCAAAGAATATAAAATATATAATTAAGACATGTCATGAAAATCCCTGTAGATTAATTGCAGAATGTTTTGGAACAACTGCTAAAACAAACTCCGGAGCGGAGCAAAACGGAGCGCTTTCAAAAAGATCAAAAAAGTTATAAAGAATACATGCCGTGACAAGTTCAGCAAAGAAAATTTCAGAGTAACTGTAAGGCTTCCCAGCAAAAAACTGTCCGGAGAGATTTCCGGAGCGGAGCAAAAAATTAAACTTACTCCAACAACAAGAATTGGCAAGAAGAGTTTGTGTATCCTGAGGCGGTTTCCAACGAGCAGTAAGAAGTAACAAAATGCGTGGATTGCGGCCCCAATCCCCAACAAAATGAGTCCATCCATGAAGGTGCATATCGCTGTGATCACCGCCAGCACAAAGCCGATCACACCGATGACGAAACAGCCTTTCTGAAAAGAGCCGAATTACCATGACATTTTCATCTTCGGGTACAATGAAAACCGTCTATAACAAATTTAATTTTTGACCCCTTAAGAATGGGTGCCAGAGGCTTCGTTGTGTCAACATTTCCACCCTCAGGGTTCTAGGAATTCAATTTTTGCAAAGAAAAACAATGACAAATTACATAAATAATACGACTTCCTCTTCCCTATTTGCCGATAAAGGTAATGCAATACAGCCAAAAGAGAGAAGGAAATCAACATTTGAAGGCGTTCGGGAAATAATTTAGTTTCCTAAAGGGAGAAAAGGTAGATTTTGGTGAAGTCAATCTGTTAAATTCATCCACTGCTTTCAAAGTTATGGAAGTTTGTTTTCAAAAAAATGGTAAAAAACGCCTGTATAAGCTTGTGATTACTATTCAAGTCACTTATACACCTGGAAACTTAATCCGCAACATCTAATCGTCAAGCCCATCGTTTGGTTCTCCAGTTGTAAGCAAATTTTGGCTGATTTCACAACATGTCCGCAGAATCTCCGTGGTTTTTCAAGCTGTCCGCAAAGTGGGTGCCCGCAAGTGTGGGCACGCCAAAAGGGTGTAATGCACAATGCGGAAAGGTTGCGAAAAAACGTCTACGCACTTTATGGAACGACTAGTTAAAAGGAAAATTTACTGTGTGTTTACGAAAAAGGCAAAAGGCTCTGTGTGTCGCGGCAGAAGGCGAGAAAATCTGCGCATTTTTTGAAAAAGCGGACTAAAAAATCATGCTCTAAACTTGCACCAAGTGGCATCAAAATTTTTTCATAACATTTCGAAAATTTCCCTTGCAAATTCCAAACAAAAATCAACTTACATGAACATGTCTCATGCAGCAGCATCTGTAGTATTCGTCGCTGTGAACAAAGCCCATCTTTTCGGGCCGAGTTTTGTAGCTGAAATTGGGGAGTAATTCGAAATACGGCAGGATATTACTGGTGTAATACACACACTCCAATTCACGGTCAACAATCTCGAACATTTTGCAGGTGGAAAAGTGGTATTTACAAAATTTTTAAGGGAAATTTTGGGGTTCTGTTCGGCGAAAAAAGATGAATTTCGGTAGCAAAAATCAGAGGGGAACGCTAATAAAATGGCGACGGTTAATTGAGGGGGTTCAAAAAAAGGTTAGAAAAATGAAAACAGTTGAATGTTGGAGCAGTGCGGTTGTAATGGAGAAGTTGTAAATAAAATGGGGAGAAATTGACAAGCGAACTGCCTCAAGTGGGCATGGCTTTCGAGAGCAAAAGTCGCGGACCGGAGGGGCCCGGCCTAGACAGGGCCCGGAAAAAGCAGCTACAATCCTGAGTCCCGAAGCGAAAATTGGATTTGCCAATGAAAATAACCGAGAGAACACAGGCCGAGGCACATCTATTTTTTGGAGAATTTTTTGTTTTTTTTGATAGCTTCTGAATACAGTATTTATCTATTTACATGGCAATAGACAATCTATTTACATAGTAGTAGATAAAAACATTGTCGTAAGGCATCAGATTTGGAGAGACTTTTTTTGTTGCCGGAGCAAATTTTGAACCAGGCCGGTCGTGGAGCCATGTCTTTTCACCCCGTTTGGAACCTTTTTGCGCATGGTACAATAGATGTTGAGCCTGTTATCAGTTTGTCGGGAAAATAATGAGAATTCTTTTGCATCGAAAATCGCATCGCCGCCTTGTTTCGCGGAAAAATCAAATTGATTTTCACTTCTGCGAATCGGCGCAGCGACATTTTTTCTGATTATGATAGTGTATTGGGAGACTGCTTTTCGCGACGATATGCTGATGCTAAAATCTGAGGAAAAGGTGAAATACAAAAGGGGGGGGGGTTTTCGCCTACTGACAAAAAGTCTACTAACTTTGTAGAACGCACGAAAGGCGCGCGTCGTTTGGCGCTTTTGCAATAGGATCTCGTTTTATATTTTTTCAATTTCATTGCCCAGATTCCTCGGATAAGGTACCCCATCTGTAAAACATAAGTAACCGTAAAATGTGACAAATAAATCTCTTCTAATCTATTATTACATAACAACTAGTGCTTCTGAAAAAAGGTAATGAGAGTCTCAGAAAACCCCAAAAAACAGCTTCCGTTAATCAGCCGTTCACGTCGAATACACGGAGCGTTTCATTTATTCCATTCTTGTTTCAATAAAAAAACGGAGGGGAAAATGAAAAAAATGATTAACGAACGGAAAGCGGGAGGGGAATTTGCGCGGATTATTTTTTCGGATCAGCGCCCCCCGACCCGCAAAAACCACAAAAAAATAATCGCTCGGCGAGCGGGCGTGAAATTGCAATAAATGAACGGATTTAAACACTGTGGTAGCGGTGACAAACCCACCGGCAATAACGAGGTTAATGGGCTCTTCGTGGCTTACAATGGGGATTTTGGGGCAATCGAGATGGAAAATACCATAAAAAAGTGTTGTTAGTGGGGTAAAATAGTGGAAATAACAAATTGAGCTATTATAGGTCTGTCGGGAAAATAATGCGCACATTCTCACTGGTCTGATCGCGTCACTGAAGTGAAAAAAAAATTTGATTTGGCCGCGACACAATTCACTTTTTTTTGGCCGCGATGCGATTTTCGGTGCAAAAGAGGGCTCATTATTTTCCCGACAAACCTTAATATCACAATCGTGCTTGCATAGAAATAGCTAAAAATTCTAGTGCTTGATATGTGGTCTGTCGTAATTGTCTAGTCAAAATTTCAAGAAAATCGACCAGTTGTATATAACCAATAAATCTCATTTTTTTGTCGTGCAAAAATTGATCTGTCGGGAAAATAATGATCATAACGTCTCAAAAAATTGCGCAGCGCAAAACAAACTTTTTTTTGCGCAGCGGATGTCGCTAAAATCTGTCCAACGATTTTCGGACGGACGGACTAGCTTCAGTCTGTCGGGAAAATAATAAGGACAATGTCACTGCGGTGCTGAAGTGAAAGGCAATTTGATCCACACAATCGGTTTTTTGCGATGCGACTTCGAATGCCATAAGTGTCTTTAAATTAAAGATTTGAAGAAAATCGACCAGTCGCTTAACCAAGAAATCTCAGTTTTTGTCCTATATCAGGCATTTCAGTCTGTCGGGGAAATAATGAGCACAGTGCTTTATTTCATCAGCAGCGATGACATATTTAGTGCGACATTATGCTCATTATTTTCCCGACAGACTGATAGTATGGGTTGTATTTTCCGTTTTTTTCAGGTCCGCAGACTCCTTTCCCTCAAAGAATGTGACGCCAGAAAGGGTCTAAAATTACATTTGATCCCGAAATCATATAGTTCAAGTTGTCTAAACCCCCAAAAAATCTATTTCATTCACGGCCCCTTCGAACGGATTCGCCAAGTTTTTCGCAAAACAAACAAAACCCTCATAACCCCTCTTGTAACTCACACTGCCCTTGACAAACAATGACTATTGTAACTGCGGAAAAAGGAGTTACTTTTGGATGAGTAAGAAGGCAGATTTCGAAAAAATATTTCGATAAAAATCACACTTTGTATCAAGTGCAAGGTAAATATGGGTAAGATTTTGCAATTTTTTGGCAAAACAGTAAAGAAAGTCTAATAAAAACGAGGTTTTATGTGGTAAAAGAGTGCATTCGGAATGCGTTTTATCGAGCGAAACAATGAGTAAAGTTGGGTTAATTCAAATTTTGGGCAATTAATCAACACAGTCGGGAGCGGTGACGAAACATAAAGGAAGTATGTAAATCGCTCAATTTTTGTAAAGTAAAGTGACTAGAGCAATTTGGATGAGATCAGAATGGGTAAAGTGAATTTTAATATACGAAATATGGAGCCAGAAAGAAGATGTTTTTAGTCGAAAGGTGAAAAAATAAAAAACGCGACACCTTTTCGCTAAGTTCGGCATGAAAAGTTTCTTGCGTATTTCCACCATAGAGGGTAATGTTTCCACAAAAAATCAAATTTTTCCACACGAAACTGACAAAGATATGGCCAAAAAAAGCGTTTTTCTCTCTTTCCCTGCTCTGCGCAAAATCAGAGAGATGATATTTTTCGGATTCATTTTTGTCAGTTTTGTGAAGAAAAAGTCGCATTTGTGGAGACATTGCTCTCTGCGGTACAAACCGGCATGGAACTTTTCATGCCAAAATTCACAAACAAGTGTCGATTTCTCCTAGAAGTTAACACAAAAAGAAGTATTTTTGTAGTCTTGACGAAACTTTACTAGCACTACAGTGGGGGTCCAGTGACTAAAAAGCATATCATTTTGCATCCGGAAAGTATCAAAAAATGTAGCAAAATACCTCCTTCTCCAACCCTTCAAAACGATGTTCCTTCACTTGGAGAGGGAGACATTTTGCAACATTTTTTTGACACTTCCCGGATGCAAAATGGCACGTTTTTTGCCATTGGATCAGATATGTCACTGTAGCCGTTCGGGAAAATCCGCTGGAGTGATTTTTGCGACATGCACTGTGCGATAAGAAAAGTTTTCTTTGCACTGTGCAATAGGCTTTTTTCGACTGTGGCCTGCAACTAAATTTTTTTCGCACAGTGCGGCAGCCAAAAATCAGTCCGCCAAGTCTCCGGAAGGTCTAATATTGCCCCTACAGCAAACTTTTCCAACCTAACAACAAGCTCATTTCCCTGCCCTCAAAACACCTGCTTTCCCCGAACCGCGCCAGGTCATGAGCTCGCTAGCGCCGATACGATCTATAATTGTCAAAAAAAAACGAACCGTCTCCTCGCCCAGACGGAAAATCCAAAACAAAAACAGAGTGTGTCGCCGCTTCTCTCGCTAACACCCCCATTGCGCGAGAAATTTTATATTTCTCCGGTTACAACACGCCTACTGCCCCCGGAGGAGGTTAAACAGTCGAATGAGGAAAGGGTTTGAACGGAAACTGCACTGTGCAAAAAACATTGCTTAGGTCGGGCTTTTGTAAAGAGCATTCGAACGCTATCGGTTTGTCGGGAAAGTAATGCGGATTTGTCGAAGAAAAATGTCTCACCTCGATGCAACAAATCTCCAACTAGCCGTTGCAAAGCGATGATGGTTGCTTTTCAAGGCGCAACAAATCCACATTATTTTCCCGACAGAGTGATGGAGGGCCGAAAATTGTCGACATGTTTTTGCACGGTGACTTAGAAGTCCAAGGTACTGTAAATTTTCACAGTGCGATTCTTAGGCGTGGTTGCAAAAAAAAGTGCCTTTGGACAGTGCATTTTTTGGGCAACGAGAAGTCCCACACAATATAAGAGTTTGACTGTAATTTTTTCGAACAAAAATAGAACAAACTTTCCGTCTGAAAACCACAACTCGAAAACAAACTTACCATTGAATAAAAGTTTACTGCACTTTAAATAGAAGTGCCTACTGAGTCATTTCGACTCAAAAAAATTAAAAAGGAACTGTTCTGTTCCGTGTTCCGGAGGGGAATTAAAAATTCAGCTAGTGAGATCAAACTACAATAAAATAAAGCTGTCAAAGTGCTAGCTCAAAATTGCAGCCGTAGTAGAGATACATACTAAAACGATAGGGTATATGAAGTGAGGTGAGCGGACATATAATAGAAAAATGTTTTTTGCCAATATCTTTGCCAGTCTCGCGTGGAAAAAAAATGATTTTTTTGTGTAAGCGTTACTATCTACGGTAGAAATTGCTATCCAGGGTCATAGCTAGGGAAGAGAGTAGAGAAAGAAAGTGCCCTCCCCCTCATTGCAATAAAAAATGGCACGGGGAACAAGGTAATTTTCGTAAACTTTTTTTATACAGTGAAGTTTTTACAGGCCCCGAAAATACAGCTATCGCTCAAAGCGTTAGCTTTTGCCATAGAAACAGCCACGCTTTGCTTGGGCAGCCGAGATCTTCGACGACTTTAATTCAACGATCTTCCCGGTAAGCACGCGGGAAAGAGTACGTAAAATGCCGAGGGCGGTTATAGAAAAAACACTTTTTGGCCCTATCATTGCCAATTCCGTGATGAAAAAATATTTTTTTATGGAGATATTACCGTTTACATACATTACAAATATGTATGAAACTTTTTAAATTTTTTTTTCGGCCATATTTTTGCCAGTTTCGCACGAAACAACGTTAAATTCGACATGCACTATGCAGAAAAAGTCAGTGCGAGCGACAGCCCAAAAAAGCCTATCGCACGGTGCAAAAAGCAAGAAATTGCACAGTGCAAAGAAAACTCTTGCCTTTGCACAGTGCATGTCGTTAAAATCACTCCAGCGACTTGCGAATGGACTAGTAAGTATGACAACCAAAAGATCACCTCCTCCACCTCCCCACTCCACCTGTTTTTCATTAATTTCGTCCCTCGCTCATTGAAAATGGCGCCATTTTTTCTGGATCCCCCCAAAAAACAAGACAAATCTCTTCGCTTCTGACCTTCGGAATGCTGTAAAGCGCGGCCGCGAGAGCAAATGAAATGTTGTTTAGGCGATTCTTTCGCCACTCTACTTCACCGTTGAAATACATAAAAATTCCCGTTGCGCGTTCTTTTTGACGAGGAAAACAAAAAATGATAGAGGGCTGAAAAATACGTACATAAAAGTTTGAAGTTAAAAATATTATAGTTGAATGTTTGGCAATTTCTTGCCGAAAACGCTTGATTTTTGGCCTTAAAACTTTTATGAAACATGGCAAAAATTTAGAACAGAGTTTGATAATAGAACTGGAAAATTTTTAGCCCGTTGTTTGCAGAGAAAAATCGAGATTTTTTGAGTCAAAATGGAAGGACTTTAAAATTTTTTAGTCTTTTTGGCTTAAAAATTTTAGCCTTTATTAAATACAAGGTGTATGTATAATATTTCCATCAAAAAAATATTGTTTCCGGCAGTAATTCAAAGAGTTAGGAGACCAAAAAATTTGTAAATTGCATCCCGTTTCAAAGCTTTTTCGGCCCTGCCCCATAGGAGTAAATCTGGTACGACTGGGCGTGCCAGTGTATTCTGGTGTAAAAATAAGTGGTAAGAACTAGCGAAAAACTAAAAAAATTAATAAAAAACCATAAAAAGCAACTGCTAAATAAACTAATTCGCCGCGCTGGGCCGAAGGTGAAAGCCCGCTTCAGCTTGTTGCAAATTAAATTTGACTTGGCGGAAGAGAGAGATCCCTAGGCTGACAGGCTGGCATAGCTGTTGGCTCGCATTTTCGGCCAGGCCCGCACAGAAGATTGAGCTCTTCAGCGGCCCGAAAAAAAACAGGAAAAAATAGGATTCTGGAACTTACAGATAGCTAGAGGGGTGGGGAGGGAGAGGGTTACCTCCAAGCCGGGGTCGAAGGAAAAAGAATGGGAAAGGGGGATTACTGTAATTTCTTTGACACAATGATTCATGTCTAGTGTCAAACATAGAAACAGAATCCAAAGTTACCCGAAAAGGAATGGCATTTATTTGATATCAGTCTGTCGGGAAAATAATGTGGACCTGCCGCAGCAAAATTTTTGGCCTTGTCGTAGTCGCGCACCAAATCTCCAGCCGCGGGGAGCCGTCGCAAAGCGATGACGGGCGACAAATCCACATTATTTTCCAGACAGACTAATACCCATAAAGACATTTTAAGCCAAGTGTAAATCAGTCAGAGTCCCTGAACGTCGCACTTCTACCACTTCCTTTTTTATTAAACTCCCAAAACTTTATATCGAAACGGAAAACCCCCTTCTCTAATCGGAATCAATTTACGAACCCGAAAGTTACAACTTCCCCGTTGTAATATAATAGAAATCGAAGGTAATTTATAAATAATTAATATGTTTTCGGATACTTTTTTCCCATAAAAATCAATCGAAAATGGAGAGGAATTCCTCCAGATGACTTGGCTGTCATCTGATCGTCGCGTTGGATTCACAAGTGCAAATAAAAGGAGCAAAAAGTTGAAGGGGAGCAGGGGCATAACCACAAATTTATGGGCCGAAAAGAGATTGAGAAACTGGTAATTAATAAAAAAAAGAGTTGGAAAGATGTGATGAGCCTGAGTTGAAAGAATGTGAGTGTAAATGGGAAAAATTTTGTTTACATTTATTTGTTGAAAGTTGAAAAACAATGAAATATCAGTCTGTCGGGAAAATAATGCGCACAGTGTCGCGGTGCCAATCGCGGTGTCAAAAACGACATGATTTTTGGCGACACAATTCATTTGCTTCATGTCCTAATTTCCCCGACAGATTGTTAGTGAAGGCTCTGTGTAACAAAACGCACAAGAAAACCTGCCTATAACAAACAATTTCAAAGATGCATTTCAAAAGTCTATTTTAGGCCATTTGACTGTGTAATATCAGTCTGTCTAAGATAATGAGCACAATGTCAATACGCCGATCGTGTCGCTGAAGTGAAAGCGATGTGATTTTCCGCGACACAATTCGTTTTCTCGCGGAGACTTTCAATGCGTTAAAGTGCTCATTATTTTTCCGACAACCTGAAACAAAGGATTTAGAATGATGAAATAGATCCTCGGTTCTTCGTCAACACGATCAGACACCGGGTCTCCTAATACGTCGTCCTAGACAACCAAAAATTACCAATGACCTCTTTATTCTCCCAAATAAGACAATACACAAGCTGGCCAATACACACGATAGATTCCAATTGTCCACACGCTCTGACGACCAACCGCTCGCTCAGGCTGCTACTTCCAAACTACGGTCTTCCGGGACGCAGCGGCCGGCAGAATGCTGTTGCGGCGGTCGCGGCCTCACTGATGTCATTAGAGGTTGTGTAAGATGATGTGTACAAACTTTCAGCTGACCTTTTGAATGGCAACCAGCTTTGGACTAACAAGGGAAGCACTACAAGTGCGACTTTCCGATTTTTATGAAACTTCGCAGAAACGAGAATTTTTTGTTTTCCAGGTGCACTGTACAACTAGGTTCACTGATTTCAAGAGATTAAGATATATATAGGGACAGCCTTTTTTTGAGCTGATACATTCAGGATTATTACATAAAATTCTGCATGGGTGTTCTGAAATTTGACTCTATATATTCTACTTTCATCGTTACATCCATGATGACCATGCCCTTCTCAAACTCCAAACTCTTTTCGGCTTTGAATAATTCATGACAAATCAACTGTTCGCCGAGACGAATTGGACATCTGCCCGATTAATCTTCTCGCCCAAAAGTCGCTCCCTTCCCCTCCTCCTTGGCCCATATGGCCATCGAGCGTGGCCATTCCGAATTTTGACTTATTTTTTCGACCTTTAACCCGCCGGAGATTTTCAATTTTTCCGAAGCGGTTTTTGAGGCCGGAAAGATCGATTGGGGCCGGCGATTTGGCCGGTTTTTTAATCGGCCAAGCGAAAATAAATTTTCGGCGATTTGGGAAAAAGAAGAGGGTGGTTTTTGCGGCTCTTAGCCCAAGGAAGGGCTAAGATTGAGACTGGAGGGTTTACGGGGCTCAATTTGGGTGATTTTGGATTTTTTGAGCCGAAAAATTACTTTTGCACTTGCTTAATGCAACAGTCTGTCGAGAAAATAATGAGCACTCTGTCGCCCCGAAAACCGCATAGCCGCTGAGAAAATGAATTCTGCCGCGACAAAATCAAACTTCTTTTCACTTCTGCGACATGACTGAGGCAACCACATTGTGCTCATTATTTTCCCGACAGACTGATAGTAAAAATACCTTAAATCTTGCGTTTTGCCCGGATTTTGGGCGGGCCCTGGAAAAATTAGGTTTTTTGCTAATTGAAAGTTGTTAATCTAACAAACTCAAAAAATCGTAGTCTCATGCTAAAATAGTATCTGTAGACCTGTGAAAAAAATAGTGGAAAAGGTCTTTTGATTGGACTTTCAGCCGATTTGCGCAAACTTTTACACCCCCAACCCAAAATTGTGAAGCTAATTTTTACTTAGCTTCATACCCTCAGCCAGCATTTTTTTCTGTGTATAGATACTATTATTAGTATTTTCATAAAATGAATGGACATTTTCTCGCTTCTCGCACCGTGCATTGGATATTTTTTTGGTTCACTGTGCATTTGGCTAAGCAAGTGTGCACTTTATGAAAATACTGATATATCAGTCTGCCAGGAAAATATTGAACATTCAGTCGTGTCGCAAACCACATTGCCGACGAGAAAATGAATTGTATCGCGACAACTTCTTTTTTTTTAACAACACGTATTTTACCAATCCTCATTTTTCAGGGTAATAATGCCTTCATTATTTTGGCTGGTTTTTCTCCTATGTCTCCCACTTCTAATACACTCCCGCCCCGAATGTCGACAACGTCTGTACGAGGCGAAAGGCCCTCCACAACCCGGAACCAACGGGTTCACCTTGGAAGTGGAGGAGGTTGGAAAAGAAGGCGTCCCTGTGACTGGCTACATTCCCGGCCATTTGTATGTTGTAACGCTGAAAGGCAGAAGGACCGAATACATTGTTCAGACTTTCCGAGGATTTGGGGTTACAGCTCAATTCAAGAATGGAAAACCCGCGGGAAGATTTGAATTGGAAAAGGTAGGGTTTTTTTGATTTTAGAGTTTTGGAGTTTAGAAATTTAAAATGGCGTGAAATCGTGACTCTAGTCGGAAAATGCCGGCTGCCCGCAAAGAGGTTGCCCGAAAGTGTCGCAATGCCAAAATTTTAAAATTTTGGAATACTACAGATACCCGTAGGGGTACTAACCCGCTTGCCAAATAGCGGACGTGGTTTCGGCGACAAGCAATGTGCAAAATGAATGTTTTCTTTGCACTGTGCAATTTGATAGACGGCCGAGATTTTGAAGCGAAAAGCTGGCAAAATGTTGGAGGTCGAAGATTTTTACATACCTTGATATAGAGCAGCGTACAAAAAAATGTTTTCCATCTGAAATTGGTTAAGTTATGACCAAAAGGTTTTATATCCGCATAGGCCAGTTTACGTCATAAGTGATATTGAAGACGCTCTCATTCGACATTTTACAAACTTTGTTTTAGGACCGTTCCCGTCGCCCGGAAGCCCGTGTTGCTCCGAACTGTCGAAACGCCGGAGTTTCGCATTCAAATCTTCGACCAAAAACTTCGGTCTCGGTGGTCTGGAGAGCGCCAGAAACTGGGACAGAATGTGTCCTTTTCCAGTCGTCTATTATCCAGTCCAAGAGCGTCTGGTATGGCGCGGAACAGGACTTAAAGAGGGAATTTTGTATTATCAGTAAGTTATTCTTATAAAACCAAACATAAAAAAACGTATTTTACAAATGAAAAAGTTTCAAACAAAGTAAAAAAAGCAAAAAATTCATTTTCAAACAGGGCTGTTTGCCATGCCAAACAAAAAGACGCGTATTTTATATAAAGGTGGTCACATAAGATCTCGGAATTTTTTTTCACAAATCGCGATTTTCGGTGCACAAAAAAAAATTTGGTAAATTTTTCTAAGTTTTTTGAAATCAGTGCACAAAGTCTTAAGTCTGCACCAAAGACTTAAGTGCTTAAGTCAGCACCGCATTTCGGAATTCGGTGCTGAAAAAATTAAGTTGACGCCAATTTTTGGATTTGGGCGTTGACTTTTTTGTGTACCGAAAATCGCGATTTGGGAAAAAAATTTCGAGATCTTATATGACCACCTTTATATATAACCTTATTTTTTAGCGGACTACCAGAAAAACGTGCCGAAAGACGACCAGAACGCGGAGTGTTGCGCCTGCGACGAGGCCGATTATGATGTGGAATTTGTTGGGATCTGGAGCAGAGAAACGCATCCGAAGGAGTTCCCTTCTCGTACGTTTTTCGATGTTTCTGACGTTGGCGTATTTTAAAAAATATATGTTTTTTGATTTTTACATTCCAATGGACAAGTGCGATGCTCAGATTTTCTTTCAATTTTGCAAACGCCTCTAAGTTTTGCATAGACCACATATCGATTCCTAAAAATGTTTGCTTGCATTTTGCAGGAGCAGCCGAATTATTAAACGATTTTTGCGGCCGAGAGAGCACGCGAAACGCGGAGAGCAGTAATAAAGAAGCCGCTTTTTTGCCCATAACTTTACAGGCCCTGCTTAGAAAAAAATAAAATTCATTTTTATAGAACGTTTTGCCCTCTGTGGTAGGAATGAAACTTTTCCATGCGAAAATTAAAAAAAAGCATGACTTTTTTTCCAAATGCAGGCCTAAAAATCCCGATCGTTTTCGCGGGCCAAGTTTTATATACATATTATCTGTGCGTCGCACTTGGAGCACTTCATTACAATTGAAAGCAAAAATTAATTTTTTTCTTCAAATTTTATTTTTCAGTGGAACACTTGACCCATTTCACGGACATGCTTGGCGCCAGTCACAGCAAAAGGTATCAAATGTGGAGAGTTGGCGACATTGCAACGGATGGGCTGAAAGAAATTGCCGAATGGGGAAATACGTACAATGGAGAGGCCGAGATGAAGGCGAATGTAAGTCGGAATACCAGGTCGTCTTCTGGAATGACCAGTGTAAAACTAACTGTATTAAACTCACTGTAAGACCGATTACTATGTCTCAAATCTATCTTATCAAGCCTTGGAAAAGCCAGACTTCTTTCAGGCCTCCGAAATCCGCACCATCATCAAAATGAAGGGCCTTTGGTACCCTGAAGTTCAAGGAAGAACCTCAGGTCGTTTCCACGTCAACAAATATCATCATTTTGCATCTCTTGCCGCCATGTTTGGGCCATCGCCGGATTGGTTCGTGGGAGTTTCGGGGATCAATCTCTGCCTGCCGGACTGCACTTGGGTTGAGGAGAGAGCCTTCGACATGTTGCCGTACGACGCCGGAACCGATAACGGACCAACTTACATGGTGAGTCTTTGACCGCTCTCCGCGCTTTGTGTGCTCTCGCGGTCGCAAAGAGCGGTGAATATCTTGGTAGCACTTTAAAGCATGAGTAAAAAATTTTATGAATTGATATGTGGCCTAAGACCGTGTGTGTGTGCGAGAGATATCAGTCTGTCGGGAAAATAATGTGGATTTGTCGGGCTTTGGAATTGGCATTATCGCTTTGCCACGGTTTCATTTCCTCGATTTTTGCGATTTTCGATGCGACAGATTTGCTCATTATTTTCCCGACAGACTGATATATTTTTCATTTTTTAAAAATTCCCATTCTTTTTCCAGTCGCCCAACAACCCGGCCGAGCCCCGATTGCCAATCGTCCGCATCACCACCAAGTCCGACAAGAAGAATCCCTTCTACGACGAAGCGGCCGACGAGGTCTCGCCGTTGGGCCGACTCATCATTAAGAAGAAGCAGACCACGAACATGTTTGGCTGCCGCACCGAAGAGCAGTACAAACAGGAAGCGCACAACATTACGAACACTTCGGAGGACGAGGAATACAAAGACCGCAGGGAGTGCACGATGAGCAACTGGGAGTCGTGGTCGCTGTGCTCGGCCACTTGCGGAAAGGGGATCCGGATGCGGTCGAGAGTGTTCACTTTTCCGATTAAGGTGAGGTTTGAGGTTTTTTGCATGTTTTTGAAGCATAAAAATTTTAGGGAAAAGTCAAGAAAAAATTTCAAAAAAAAAATTGCGAGATTTCTCAATCATTTGTTATCAAAAATGAACGTTTGTAAAATACGCCTACTCACCTACCCTCGGGTTAACAAAATACATTTTTCACTAAAAATCAATTTTAAGCAGGTTGAAACACAATGCCAAAAAATCAAATCGGAATAACGAGTTCTTATCAAATTTTTACATAAATTCCATCAGGATTTGTGAAATAGAACGTTTTTCGAAAAAAAAAATCAAAAAAAAAATTAAAAAATCCCGGATTTAAAAAAAACCGATTTTTGTAAAAAATGAAATTTTTATCTCTGATAACAAAAATTAGACAATTTGGTTTGTAAATAAAATACGGGGTCTCCAATAAAAGTGCAAGAGAAATATTTACTTTTCTGGATCACAACTCTATTTTAAGCACGTTGAAACACAATGCCAAAAAATAATTTTTCGTGGCGGGAAATTTTGAATTTGAATTTTTTGCGTTTTGACTTTAAAAAACCAATTCCCTAAGCAGGTCCTTACCGAAATCTGATTAAAACTTATTTTTTCACACTCAAATTTGTAGGCCCAAATGTTCCATTGTCATCGCCAGACCACGGAGCGTCAATTTTGCAACGCCAAAATCAACGAATGCGGCGCCGACTCCGAGGCCTTCAACAGCAAATGCTCGGTGGAGACGTGGAGCTCTTGGTCCGAGTGTTCGGTGACTTGCGGCAGTGGGATTCGAACTCGCGAGCGGAAACTTCAGGATCCGGCACAAGAGGGGACTTGCAAGGTGGAGCTGAATGCGAGAGAGAGGTGCATTGGTAAGAGAATGGGCGGAAAATTTTGGGAAAAATGGACAATTCTTCCCTAGTTTTGAGCGTCGCACTTTGAAAAAATTGTTAAAAAAATTTGTTTTTTTTTTTGGTCGCAATTTTTGGTTTTTTTGAAAGACCGAGTTTTGGAGGAGAAATATTTTTTGAGGACAAGTTTTTTAAGTGCAATTGACGATTGTTCACAAATAAAAATTTCAAAAATTACGGTGTATATATCACTCACTACCCTTATATTTTTCAGGTGACAACGGCCCAGACTGCTCGGTAAAACCGAATCCTTTATGTCAAACGACCACTTGGAGTGAGTGGAGCCCCTGCAGCGCCTCTTGCGACGACGGAGTCAGAGTGCGGACTCGGTTGTTCTTCTACGCCGAGCATGAGCAGGAATGTTCGAATGTGAATTTGATGGAGAAAGAAAAGTGCAATGTCTACTCTTGCCAACGGTTGTTGAGTACCTATTCGGAAGGTGGGCTTATTTTTTTTTTTAAAATTTCGATGCCAATGATTTTTTCACTGTGCGAAAAATTAAAAAAAAAAGTTTGCACTGTGCGAAAAAATCGAAAATTTCGCATTGGGCAAAAATGCGAAAGATTATTGCACAATTTTACTCCGCGCAAAAAAATAAAAATTCAAAATTTTGCACTGTGCGAAAAAAATCGGAAGACTGCACAGTGCGCAAAAATTTGAAAAATGCACTGTGCAAAAAATATTGAAAATTTTGGACCGTGCAAAATACGTAAGATTTTTGCACTGTGCAATTTCGCACTGTGCAAAAAAAATCGGAAGACTGCATAGTGCAACAAAATTAAAAAAAATGCACCGCGCACTATGTGAATCTATTTTTTCATGCTTGCACAGTGCTAAAGGCACTTTCATTGTGCAATTTTGCACCGTGCAAAAAACTCGCAAACTTGCACCCTGCAAAAAAATTAAAAAATTGCACCGTGCAAAAAATTTTTTTCTTTTCAAAACTTGCACGGTGCGAAAGACCAATTTTCAAAGTTTTGCGCAGTGCAAAAAACAAAAAAAAAACAAAAAGTTTCGCTGCACAAAAAATTTCAAAAATAAAAAAAATCAGCCGCAAAAAAATCTTCTCAAATATTTTTTTCAGAGATTTGCCAAGAAGAAAAAGAAGAGGGTCAATGTGGTGGGACCTTCCCTCGTTATTGGTATAACAATCAGACCAATCGCTGCGATCGTTTCATCTACACTGGCTGCAAGGGAAATCGCAATCAATTTGAGACCGAGGAGGAGTGCAAATTGCTGTGCGTGCCTGGGTACACTCATAACTCAGCGATTTGTAAGTGATTTTTTAAATTTTTAACAAGAAAAATTGAAAATTCAATATTTTTGATATTTGAAATTTTGACCTAAAAATATTTTGACATAGTTCTACGTATTTTACAGTACCCGGCCATCAAATTTTCAACGCATTTGACAACACAGACAACGTCGACGACGGAGGGCCTCCGGTTCCTTGTCAAATTTCCGAATGGTCGGCGTGGGCGCAGTGTTCGGTGACTTGTGGCCGAGGAAAGAGAACGAGGACGAGAGCGATCCAGGTAAACTCCAACCCAGTGTATTGCTGAAAAAAATGTAATAGTAGTATTATATAAATGTATTCCAGGCGGTCCCCAGAAATGGCGGCAATCCATGTCCGCCTTCGGAGCATCTAATCCAGGAGCGGCATTGTGAGAATCGACCTTGCGGTGAGTTTTGGTATTTTTTAGGCATCAGTCCGCGCCAAAAGTTCTTGGAATTTCCTGCGACTCTTCACTGTGCATGAATTCGAAAAAAAAACATGTACATTTCTTTGAACACGGTTCAAGCTAGGCTTAAGCTAGTGAACTTCAAGGCCGAATAGCTCAAAAACCCCCATCAAGATGAGTATTGATACTCGACGAAGAGTTCAAAGATGTTCTTGACTTATCGTCGGTAAAGGCGCTTAATTCCCACTTTTCTCTTCGGCTTGGTAGGGAGTCAAACCACCATAATTCCGCGTATATCTTGTTTTTATTAGGTTGATTCAAAAGTTTTTCCACATGTCTTTAAAAAATTTTTAAAAATTTAGACCAAAGCCAGTGGGCCTGATATATATCTTGTTAGAAAGAGGGCTGTTTGTAGATTATAGTAGATTAATAACTTTTTACAACTTAGCAATTTGTAGTAGTAGCGCCGTGTTAAACCTTAACTACTCGAAGGTAGAAAAAGTAAACCGCCGGCGTTACGTCTAGAGTGACTGTATCTTCTTAATATTCTAGAATATGGTATGCCTGTATGTAATCTCTATGGCATCGAGGACAATTTGCTATAGGGCTAGTCGAAAAATTTTTAGTGCGAAAAATCAAAAATTAGGGTCTGGCAAAAGTAGACCCTGTAGACGCAGCTATTAGAAGCACTAAGAGATAACGCTTTCTGTTATTGTAGTGTATGAGTAGCACTACAACGCCAATGCTAAACATTCGCGCTAGCTTTAGCTATGCGGCAGAAAAATCGAATCTTTCTAATCTACCAATATTTTACGAAATTTAGGGATTTTTACAAAAACGTTTTCTGTTCATTACTCTCGCCCGGTATCCTAGTTATTTAATAAATAATTGATCCTACTTGACATACACTATCAGTTGCTAGACGCGCTAAGCTGAAGGTCCTCTTGCCATACCAGTAAAAAAATTACAAAAATCGTCTAAAAGTGCAGTTTATGCTGCTTTTCTACCTTATAAGGCAATTTCAGTTGGTGACTTTTTGAATGTATCATCAGCATACTGTCTTTGTACAACCTGAATGGCAGCCGAGTCAAAAAAGTCTAACCCCTTTCAAAAAATTTTTAAAAATCTGCTTTTGATCGGTAGCTCGGCTCTTCGGCCAACTTTATGGGATGCTACAAAAAACGTCAGTGTAGATATAAGTAGAGCAATAAATTCAGAAGAAACTACAGCCATCCCCAGTACGAATAACCCAAAACCGGAGACTTTTTAGTGGGCTGGAAAATTTCTAGGGCCCGGGATATTCACCATGACGCAAACGGAGAAATTTTTAGTATTTTTGAAATATTCTGAAAGGAAGCTTGTAGAAAATAAAATGCTACGAATCAAAAATTTTGCAATGGTCTGCCCCATACATCTATGCTTTCAGTTTTAACGTACATTCAATCAGGCTCCAGAAATTTTATTTTGAAATGTCTCAAAAAAATGTGGAAAAACTTTTGAATCAACCTAATATTAGCTTTGATATCAATATTTTGCGATCTACTGCTCTTCTTTATGTCATAATAATGCATTTTTTCAGCCCGTTCCTCCTGCCGAGTTGGCCGCTGGTCCTCGTGGTCGCCGTGTTCGGTTCAGTGTGGGGAAGGCGTGCAGACACGGCGTCGCCGGGTCCACCGTTACAGTATGATCGACCTGGACGATCCATCGTGTTTGGCGTCGGAGTTGGAACAACGAATCTGTCGAATGCCTTGTGCGGAATAAGTATTACCCAAGTTGAAGACGTTAATTGAAATTATTAAATAAACTGAATTTTGAGATTTTTGAGAGTTCGAGTTTTTAAACATCAGTTTGTCGGGAAAATAATGAGCCCTCTATCGCGTCGAATCGCCGCCGGGAAAACGAATTGCGTCGTGACAAAGTCAAGTTGCTTTTCACTTCAGCGACGCAATTGGCCAGCGCCATTGTGCTCATTATTTTCTCGACAGCCTGATATAACGAATAAACATATTATTTTTTTTGTCTTGCAACTTGTTGTGCAGAGGTTCCACGGCTTGGGACACCGATACAACGAACGAGATCTGTTGCTAAATCGCTGCTTTGTATAATACAGTGCATTCAAAACCTTGTACAAGTCTTGAATGATCAGGATGAGGCCCAAAAATTTTATTTGTCATATCAGCTTGTCGGAAAAATAATGTGGATTTGTTGCGTCTTGGAAGCGGTCATCATCGCTTTGTGACGGCTAGAATTGAGACTTTTAGCGTGACCGCAGCAAGACGACAATTTCTGCAGCGACAAGTCTACATTATTTTCCCGACAGAGTGATTGTATTATGATTATGATGTATTTAAAATTCTGACAATTGCACTGTGCGTTTTTCTTTGTTTTATGCTTTGACTGATACGCTGGTTGATGTGTATAGGCCCTCAATTTGTTATGCAGAGGTTTTACTGACTCTTCGATAGATTTTATGCATATTTAGGCGCTTCCTGAATTTTGTAAATTCAAAAAAATCGAACTTTAATCCCTTATAACAAAAAATAAAACAAAAAATTTTCTTTTATTTCCAATCCATCAGCAATTTCTTTTAATATCTTTGTTTTTTCAATATACAAACCCCCAAAATTAAGTGCTTATGACACGAAAAAAAGAAATGGATCGCCTCGAGGCAATCACCCCATTGCCGCCCACGTTTCCCTCCCTCCTCAAGATGTTTCGCGAGGGAATGGAAAACGGGCCAACTGTCGGGCCGAAGATGCGAAAAATGTTATTTCGTGTGGAAAAACATAAAAATGTCATAAGTGATGGAAACAAACATTTATGTTTCCGTTGAACAATCTATTTTGCGCAAACTTACAGGGAAATACCAGTCTGTCGGAAGTGAAAAGCAATTTGATTTTTCCGCAAGACAATTCGCTTCCTAGGCGGCGATGCGATTTTTCATGCGACAGAGTGCTCATTGTTTCCCGACAGAGTGATACTAGTCCGTCCGGAAAGTCGCCGGACGGAAATCGGCGACATGCACTGTGCAAGAAAACTCAGAGTGCATGCGACAGCTCGAAAAAGCCTTTTGCACGGTGCAAAAAGCCAAAAATTGCACAGTGCAAAGTGAAATTTCGTTTTCGCGGAGTGCATGTCGCCGATTTCAGTCCGGCGACTTTCCGGACGGACTAGTACTCCAAGTGCGACGTTTGGTTCTTGATGAGTTTGGCACAAATTCGGCAAAAAATTCTCAAAGATGTACACAAAACTCCTAGCTCGCGCTTGCCGAAACGACCGAGATTTTTTGGCCGAAGATCGGAAAAAATGCGACACCTTTCCGCCAATTTTTATCACAAAAAAGTATTGCCCTAATTTCTACGGTAGAGAGTAATGTTCCCAGAAAAAATCAACTTTTTCCGCGCGAGACTGGCAAAGATATGGCGAACAAGTGTTTTTTCTCTGACCCTCTGACAGCTCTCCGCATTTTGAATGAGGAATATTTGAACTCCGTATACAAAGTGCAAGCTAAAATTTTCTGGAATGACTATGCGGCCTAGATGACATTCGTGCCCTAAATTGCTGTGTTTACTGTGCTTTCAGAATTTCTCCTTTTAAAGGAGAAGACAAAAATTTTTCACCGTTACGGAACAATTTCATAAATATGAGTCTGTCGGCAAAATAATGTGGATTTGTCGCGCCTCGGAATTGCCCAGCATCGCATTGCGCGGGCCAGCCGCTACTGGCTATTTGGTGCCCGATTGCGGCAAGAAGAGACATTTTCTACTAGTCCACATTATTTTTCTGACAGACGGAGATATGTTTTTTCACCAGCAAAAAAAGGCTTCTCTACAAGGTGTTTGCCTCCCTTTTTCCTACTTCTTCTTTGCAATCTCATGAAGACAATCGAAGAGTGAGATTAGAAGCGGAGGAGAGAGATCTGTGTGATTGGATTGATCACAAAAGCAAAGGACAGATTTATAAAAATAAACTGGAATTGAGGGAGGAAGAGGGACAACGGCAATGAAGGAGTGCCTTTGAAACTAAACAAGCGTCTTTGACATTGCTTGTGAGAGATTTTGAGAGACGACAAGACGTCGTAGCTCTCTCAGAGTTAGAGAAAAAAGACAAAAAACTAGAGATTTTAGCGAAAATCGAGGATTTTTTGAAATTTTTTGTCATAACTCGAAAATTTATATGACATTGGACGTGAAATTCTCCACACATTTAAAGGAGGCTTTCTAAAATACGATAACAAGACCACCAGGCAGCTATGACATGGTGATAAAATTTTACAATCAATTATTTTCCGACGTCTCCCAGCTATATCATGGATAATATAAATCGCAATTTTGATCCAATATATGTTGAAGATCCAGGTCAACAAGAAAACTATAGAGTGCAAAAGGCCTTGAGGGCATAAAAAAGACTTGATATTGCTGAGAGAGCGCCGACAAACTTAGATACGAGACCTTTTCGGCGTCTTCCCCGATCCAAAGAGACTTCCAGAAAGCGGTCGTCCTTGGGCCGCGGCGCTGTAAAAGCCGGCCGACCAGCTGCCGCGGGATCAACGGCCCGATCGCCCCCGCTCGCCTCTCGATTCTTCGCCCCATCTCTTTGCCACACTCTCCATTTGCGACGATATTTTCGCCCAATCTCGGCCCGTTCCTCTCGGCGACTTTCAGGGCACCCACACCGCCCTTGCCGCTGTGGGGATCGCCTCGGGCCAAAAACAAAAACTGCCGGCACTCAGTCTGATTTGATCCACGTCCAGCAGAATGGCCGACTATTTTGAGTGAGTTTTTTTTCGCCTTCGATTCCCGGAATTGCGGCAAGCGGGGGCGTTGCCCATATTTGTGCTAGTGCTCTCTGATTTGGCGTTTTTTCGAGATTTTTTTGATTTTGCGGTAACTCTATAACCCCCGTGGAGTATTGTGATGCTAATTTGAATACAATAAATTCCCTGATTTAATGATTTTTTGAGGAAAAATCGAAATTTTTTTGAAAAATTTTGACTTGCAACGAATTTTTACTGCTTTAACTAACTACAAAGTTGGGATTGAAATTTTATTTTTACTTGGCAACATGGAGATATCAGGTTACATGTTGTACTATCAAATTTTGTTTTCAAAAACATCTTGTTTGCCAGAAAATTCGATTTTATTTCAAAGATCACTATTTTTGCGTTGTTTTTGGTCATAAACAGTGCAAAAGGTAATGTTACAATAAACTTTTTGCTGTTAATTTTACCTTAAATTTTAAAATAGAGATTATCTCGCATTTTAGATACAAGATCAGTCTTTTACAATGCGCTCTAAAATTAAACAAATTAGAAAAAACGCGATTTCTCGTTGAAAATCAAAGAAAATTGGAAAAAAAGTTTGTAAAATACGAAAAAGAATGCTCTTGTGATATTTTTTTGAGGACCAATCTAACTTACTAACAAAGTTTGATCATAATTGAGCAAAAAAATCTCTTTTTTTATTGCATTTCTTTCAGAGAGCTCCGCTTCGGCGGCCCATGTGGCGATGATGAACCCGAAGTCGCTTCCGGCGGTGATGATGTAAGTTGCCTGCAAAACAAATCCTAGAAGGTCTTGCCGGCACATTCCACATTATTTTATCCATATTTTAGGGGTTTCTGTAGCTAAAATCGAAAAAAAAAGATTTTTGAAATTTTTTGGATTTTTCTTTCAAAGATCGGTAAAATACGAGAGTCTGATAATAGATTTTGATGTTCAGTATGAACCACGGGATATTATCATCTAAAACAACAAAAAATTTTTAATGCCTAAGGCGGTCTTTCGCTAGAATCTTATAAAAAACACCTTTTTGGTCAAAACACAGAGATTTTTCCTCAAAAAGGTCTTTTTACGACTATATTACTGTAACAAATTCTAACCATGAACACTTTATGATTTCAGGAGGCCAAGAAGAAGGCCGAAGAACGCGAACGCAAGAAGGCCGAGGTGCGCAAGCGGTTGGAGGAAGCCGGCTCCAAGAAGAAGGCCAAGAAGGGTTTCCTCACGCCCGAGCGTAAGAAGAAGCTCCGAGTAAGTCGTTTATCTCCCATTTATGGACATTCGAGTTAATTTTAGGCATTCTAGAATGGATTTTTGTGATTTTAAGCAACTGAAAAAATTGATGTTTTCGTTTTTTGGTGATTTTAAAAAACGAGATTTTTTAAAAAAATAGGTGTAAAGTTGCAAAAAAAGTGTTGATCACATTTAAAAATTGTTCTAGATATTGTCTATGGTCATATTTGGCAATTAAAAAAAGGTATTTTGGACAAAAAAATCTCGTTTTTCAAAAAAATTTCTTTCAATTTTTTCTCTCAAAAAACCGTATTTTAGTGATCCACTATGACCGGAAAATCATGCAAGCTTTACCTCTTGCCTCTATAAACTCTACAAACATGATTCTAATGATTCCTCGCTTTTCAGAAATTGTTGATGATCAAGGCCGCTGAAGACTTGAAACAACAGCAGTTGAAGCGCGAACAAGAGCGCAACCAAGTCCTCCAGAAGCGTATCATCCCTCTGCCCGATGTTGACTCCATTGATGACAAGGGTAAGCGATTTTTTGAGGGAAAATGGGGTTTTATTGGAGAAAGGGAGCTTAGTGTAATTTTTGATGTAAAAAGGAGTTTTTTATAAAGTCTGGAAAGGTTTTTTTGGGCCTTTTGAGACATTCTGATGCTTTTCTAGCCATTTTAAGAGATTTTTGAAAATGTGCTCCAATGGCCCAGTGGTAGTGAGTTTTGTCAAAATTTCGGGGCAAGTTCGATCCCGGCTGGACCAAAGGTTGAGAAATTATTAAAATAGCTCACAGAGCTCCTATGTGACGTTACATAAGTTATTTTACAAACTGTTGCTGCTTTAGGTAAACTCGAATCCATCTACAACGAGCTCTTCTCCCGCATGGTGCAGTTGGAAGAGGAGAAATACGACATTAACGCCCTCGTCAGCGAGAAGGACGCCCAGATCAACGAACTCACCATCGCCGTCAATGACTTGCGCGGCAAGTTCGTGAAGCCCGCTTTGAAGAAGGTCTCCAAGTACGACAACAAGTTCAAGAAGGCGATCGCGGCAGAGGGTGGCGCCACCACCGAGAAGGCCGACTTCCGCAGCCAGTTGAAGGTGGTCAAGAAGGAGAACGCCCTGGATGTCCTCAGCAAGAAGGTAAGGGGATATGGGAGTTTGATAAAGAGGGTTACTGTAGCTTTTATTTGAGGGATACGGTTATTGAAGCTTCTATTTGAAAGACAGGGTTACGGTAGCTTTTTTTCAGCAACAACAGAAATCAGAGAAGCCCGAGTGGTCCAAGAAGGGTGGCGCCAAGGTCGGTGAAGCCCCACCAACGCCCGTCAAGACCGAAGGCAAGGCCGAGGACAAGCCAGCTGAAGAGGAAGTCGTGGAAGAGGAGGAGGGTAAGTTCATGTCAAAAAATAGTGTCAAAAACAATAAACACACCTCCTTCATCAAAAAAGACTTAATTTTGCCCGATTTTGCGCAATTTCCACCTATTTTTGGCTCTTGAAACAGAATGCCAAAACTGCCGCGCCGCTGTAAATTCAAGTTTTTTAGCAATTATGTTTTGAAACCTTTGTATCTTTTTCATTTGAACCGCCTTAAATTCGAATTTTACTGCCATTCCATCAATTTTTACCACTTGCAACACAATGCCAAAATTTGCCGGAAAATTTTTAATTCAAAAATTTTTCCCCAAATGGCACGGGAGAGGGCGCATTTTGAATCAAAACAATCCCTAACTCAATGTGACCAATTTTTGTGACATTTTTAACACGTGAAACAGAATGCCAAAAATAGCGGGAAATGCGGAATTCAAATTTTTTGTTTCTACACAAGCTCAAAAATGAGAACTCTATGATCATTTTGACTTATTTTTATCTTTAAAAACCAAATTTCGAATTTTTCCCGCTTGCAACACAATGCCAAAATCGCTGTTCGCTGTGAAACCCAAAATATCCATTTTTTACATACAAAAATCCCGTATTTTCAGGTGAAGAGGAGGAGGAAGAGTAAATTAATTACTCCCGCCCAGCCGTCCCACCATTTCCATCAACATCTTGTCATTTTCCAATCAACGGCTAACTAAACCCACACCTTTTTATCACACTTTCTTCAAAAGTTTCAACTATTCGTCCTTTTCTCTGTTTCAAAATGAAAAGTTTTTATTATTGTGAAACGTATATTTGAAATTCAACAAAAAAAAAGAGTTATTAAAGCTTGAAAAAAATTTTCTTTGAAGTGAAATTCGAGAATTTTTGGGTTTGAAAATTTCTGCACGGTGCAAGAGAAAAGAAATGACATAATGCACAGTGCTTTGAGAAGGAATAGGGAATGCACAGTGCATGGAGAAAGAGAAAAGAAAATGCACTGTGCAACGAAAGCAATGAAAAGCGGCGACAAAGCCTGCACAGTGCATTGAGAAGGAAAAGAGCAAATGCACGGTGCAGAGGGAAAGAAAGAGAAAACTGCACAGTGCAACGGGAGCGATGAAAAGTGGCGACAAAACCTGCACAGTGCATTGAGAAGGAATAAGGAATGCACAGTGCGTGGAGAAGGCAAAGAGAAATGCACGGTGCAGAAGGAAAGAAAGAGAAAACTGCACAGTGCAACGGGAGAGATGAAAAGTGGCGACAATGCCTGCACTGTGCGATGAAAATGCGCTCTGCACATTTTGCACAGTGCAAAAAAATTACCGCACTGTGCAAAAAAAACTTTGTCGCAAAGTGCAAAAAATTTGCCGCACAGTGCAAAAAAAATTTACCGCACAGTGCAAAAAATTTTTACCGCACAGTGCAAAAAATTTGCGCACGGTGCGGTGCAAAAAAATAATTAAAAAAAGTCACGGATTTTTTGAACTTTGAAACAAAAAGTCATCATAATTTTTCCCCATTCTCTCATCGGTCGTCTATTCCTCAAACGAAAGGAGTCGAAACATGGCTCACTTCTTGAAATCGATGCTGAATCTGCCTTCAAGGGCTGAGCTCGGGCGTAATGAAGATCCGGAATCCTTTGTGACATCAGAAGGCGCAACCGTACAAGCTTCAGGACAACAAAATCTTGAAAATTGCGAAGCTGTGAACCAAAACTTGGAGCCATCTCATTCCACGGTCAAAAGTCCCGAATCCAGAGCCGAAGCCGGCTTCAGTCTCCATAAATCCAGCCACAGCAACAACGATGATGAGTGCATTTCGACAGCTGAAGAGAGGTCGCTGAGCATTGTTGTGGTCGGGAACGCAGCGCATCGAGGGCATTGGAGTGGACTTTGGGATTTTTTGATGTCCATGATCTCGTATTCCGTAGGGTTGGGGAATGTGTGGCGATTCCCGTACTTGGCGTACAAAAATGGAGGAGGTAGGTCGGTTTTGGGGGTTTTCGAATAAATTGGAGCGCTTTTGGAGAGTTGAAACAGAATGCCAAAAACTGGCGGGAGAAGTTAAATTTGAATTTCAAAAAAAATTGGTCAATTTTGATTCAGTGCATGTAAAATTACATTTTATTTTTAGGCGATTTTGCTGTTTTTGAAGCGTGAAACAGAATGCCAAAGATGGCGGGAATACTGAAATTTATAATTTCGTATGAAAATCAGATTGTAAAGCATATATTTATAGCCTAAATCATCTATTTGAACATTTTTAGGTGTTTTACAGACTTGAAACAGGATGCCAAAACTGGCGGGAAAACTGAAATTCAAATTTTTTACTTACAAGGGAAGTACCCGAAGCACTTACTTTAAGATTATATTCATACACGACCGTAGAACGTTCGCATCTCTCCTAAACAGCTTTAAAGCAACTATTAGAGTGGTTTGCCCATCTGCAGAGGAAAAACTGTATAAATTCGTCAAAGGACGAAACATTTTACCCCTCGGATGGCGACAATCCAATTAATAGCGCTAGAATCATGTACAGAGTGTAAAAAAGTGAAAATAACACACAATATTCCACATAAAAGCAACAAAATAGTCTTGAACATTATCAAGAAAAAAATTCTTGCGAGAAAAAATATTTTTTCCTCGAACGGAATGCCAAGATCAAGAGAATTTGCAGGGAAAATCGTCGGCATTTGAAGATTTTTTTCGATATTCCGGCCCTTCTTTCTCGGCGGATTCTGCAAAGCGCGAGCTAGGATGTTCGCAATCGAATAAGAAAATTCTAATCTCCATCTATGCCAATTTTTATAAAAATCTGAGCGTCGCACTTCGGGTACTTCCCTTGTTAGATTTTTCCTTAAAGTGATATATGTATATGGCTTAAATCACCTGTTTGAAGGTTTTTAAAAGTGTTTTACAGACTTGCAACAGAATGCCAAAAATGTCGGGAAAACCAAAATTCAATTTTTTATTGAAAAATTGTACTTTTGGGTTGCAAACTAGACCTGATTCATTGCAGGATCGTTTTGGATCGCCTACGTCATCTTCTTTTCCCTGAGCGCGATCCCTGTCTTCTTGATGGAGGTCATCGTCGGCCAATACCTGCAAAAAGGCGCCATGGAAATGTGGAAGATGGCCCCAGTGTTCGCGGGCGTCGGCTACGGCAACATGGTCATTTCGGCGATGTGCGTCTGGTACTACTGCGTCATCATCTCGTGGGCCGTCTTCTACATGTCCCAGGCGTTCCGCTCCGAGTTCCCGTGGGAGACCTGCGAGCATGAGTGGAACAACGAGTACTGCATCCGGACTGGCAATGAGAGCAGCCAAATCGAGGCGCTCGTCAATTCGACCGGATTGAATGTGACGGCGGTGGAGAAGCGGCTGCAAACGGCGGTGGAGCAGTTCTGGGAGTGAGGAGACAAAGTTTTTCTGAGGTTTTTTTTTAATTTTTTGTTTTTGTAAAAACGGGATTTTTTAAAAAAAAATTATTAGTGAAAATCAGCAAAGTCACTATTGAATCACTAGACTGCCCGTATTTTACCCCAAATTGTCCGTTTTCAGACGCCGAGTTCTTCAACAAACTGACACATTCTTGGATATGGGCGGAGTTCAATGGGAAATTTTGCTGATTCTCATCGCCAGTTGGGTCGCCATTTATTTCGCAATGTGGAATGGGATCACACATGCCAGGAAGGTAATTTTTTTGACCAGCTTTTGCATTTTTTTTCAATTCTATGTCCTTGAAACAAAATGCCAAGATTTGTTAAATTTTGGCGGGAATCGGAAAAATGTAAATTTTTACACTTTCAATTTTATTTTCTAGGATATTTATCGCTTTTTGTGAGCATCTTACCAGTTATGGTCATTTTTGGAGTTTGAAACAGAATGCCAAGATTTTTGAAATTTTGGCGGGAATCGAAAAAATTCAAATTTTTACACCTTGAATTTACTTTTTATTGGAGATTTGCACTGTGCCATGACTGTTTTTGTGATTTTTGACACTTTTTGATCTTTGAAACAGAATGCCAAAGATGTGCCAACTTGGCGGGAAAATTAGGAATTCAAATTTTTTACTTTGAATTTGAACTTCAACGCAGTTATTCGCTTATTTGTTGATTAATTACATCGTTTTGGACCCGTTTTTGAACTTGAAACAGAATGCCAAGAGTTTGCGGGAAACCGAAAATTCAAATTTTTTGTTTAGAAAATAATATTTTTGATGTAGGAATAAACAATTTATAAGGCACTGTTTTTTAATTACTTGATTTTATTCGTCTTAGTGCATCTACTTTTGCGCCATTTTCCCGTACTTTGTCATTGCCATTCTGCTCGGCCGCGCCCTGACTTTGGACGGGTCTTGGGAAGGCGTGAAACACTATTTGGTCCCAACCTTGGAGCCGTTGCTCTCGATAACCTTGTGGAAGGACGCCGGAACGCAAGTATTCTACTCGTACGGGGTCGGGTTTGGAACGCTGATTGCGCTGGGTTCGCATAATAAGTTTAGCCATAATTGCTATCGGTAAGTGGGATATTAAAATTATTGTTTATATTTGTAAGAAAAATATGATTTTTATTATTATACGATCCTTTTTTAGTGACGCCCTTTTGTTGTGCTTTATCAATGTGATGACGTCATTTTTGGCAGGTAAGACGAAAATTTAATTTTTTTATCAAAAAATATCGTTTTTGGAGGGCTAAAAAATTTTAAAAATGTAAAATAAGAGGTTTCCATGTAGGGTATTCCATTTATAATTTTTTTTGTTAAAGTGACAAAAAATTTTTTTTAATTTTTTTAAAAATTTCAGGTCTCGCCATTTTCGGCATGCTTGGCCACATGTCCCATCTGACCGGAAAAGACATCTCAGAGGTTGTGAAGCCGGGCCTCGGCCTCACTTTTGTCGTGTACCCCGAAACCGCAACGCACATCCCGGGGAAACAGGTTTGGGCGGTGCTTTTCTTCAGCATGATCATCATCTTGGGCTTTGATTCCCAAGTTTGTATGGTGGAAGGAGTGTACACAGGAATGGCGGATCGATTCCCGTATCTGCTAAAGTACCGAAAAATATCGCTGTTTCTGTTTTGCCTCTTTTTCTTCGTGGTTTCACTGCCGATGGTTACTTTTGTGAGTTTTGGGGGTTTTTTGGCTTTTTTTTTTATTTTTTTTTTATTTTTTTTTGATTTTTTTTAATTTAATTTTTTATTAGTTTTTCATTTTTTATCTTTTTTTTATTTTTTTTGCTTTTTTTATTTTTTTGCTATTTTTATTTTTTTTTTTTGAATGTTTCATTTTTTTTAATTTAATTTTTTTCTTTTTAAATTTTTAAATTTTGCAATTTCTTAATTTTTTTATTTTCAGGCTGGAGTTCACTGGCTAAATGTGATCGACAGTTATGGTGCGGCGGGCTACGCTCTGTTATTTGTCGTGTTCTTTGAAATTATCGGAATTGCCTGGGCATTTGGCGCTGATCGAGTTTACGAATGTTTGTACGAGATGACGGACAAGAGAATTTGCCGAGGATGGGTATGGCTGTGGAAGTACACTTCTCCGCTGGTGGCTGCGGTAATTTTTTCTTTAATATTTTTTTGATTTTTTTTTAATTTTTTTTATTTTTATTCATTTTTTTAATTCTTTTGAAAATTGTTATTATTTTTTTATTTTTTATTTTATTATTTTTTTTATTTTTTTTTGTTTTATTTTTTTATTTCCCAAATTTCAGGGTCTATTCGTGGTCTGCCTAGTTTTCTACACCCCTTTGGTATATCCAAATGGAGATCCATATGAATTGGTCGCCGAGATTTTTGGATTTTGCATCTCCGGAGCCTCCATGATTTGCATTCCAATCTACGCCATTTACTACATATTTTTCAAGAAGATAAGGCTGAACATGAGAGAGGTGAGACCCCGAATTTTTAAAAAACGCTAAAAAAGTTGAAAATACCAAAAACTTACGTTTCTTTGTTGGATTTTTTTTTAAATTTTGGTTTTTTGTCCAGTTTTTTCCAAAATTGCTAATTATTTTTCATTTTTCAGCGTCTTCGCCGAGGAATTCGTGTCCCCAAGACGTTTGTCCCCTGTCACACTCCTCCCTATGCTTCGGATGGCTCGGACGGAGTGGATTCCTCGAGCAATTCCCACAACACCGACCCTAAAGGTCCCAGAAATTTGGTCCAAAAAACGCCGGTGGTTTCTGAGGGCTCTTCCGATGAGACACAAAATGGGTTGAAGAAGGTGGAGACTGCAATTCGAAAGAGGAGCTCTGATGACGGGAAGAGCTCCAAGAGTCGGCGGAGTAGAGAGGAGAAGAAAATTGAGAGCACTCAAGCTGAATAGAGCAATATTTAGGTAGAATTTTAAGTATAATATTGAAGATTTATACACAATATTTGTGAAAAATAAAAGAAGAGTTATTTGGTTTTGAATTTTGGTGACTGAAAAACGAGAAAAATGGAGGTATTTTTATTGTACTGAAAATGACAGAATCAAATTGCTTCAGCGACCTAATCGGCACATCGGCATTGTCCTCATTATCTTTCCGACAGACTGTTGCAGCACCTTCAAATTGTTCGTCAGCCATCGTTACCAGTTTTACATGGAAAAAAGTTTTTTTTCTGCAAAGCGCAAGCTGCGAACCTCACATATGCCTTATCAGTCTGCCGGGAAAATAGTGAGTACAGTGTCTTTGCTAAGCATGGCTGCAAACCGGGCCAGCCCGGCCCGGGCCTGCGGGCCGCGCCTAAATCTCCAAGCCCGGCCCGGTTCGGCCCGGAAAATTTTTGTACGAGGTTGGAAAGAAAGAAAGCAGGAAATGACGGCAAAATTATGGCACATTCTCGCAAAATGTAAACAATAATTTAGCAAAACCTATACATAGTGCAATTGCCGTTTGACTATTTTTATAAATTACTAAGTCGCCATAAATTTTCTTACCATATGGTTACAAAAAATCATAGGCTTTTGTGTAGAGTCACCCAAATTTCAGCAAAAATATTTTATCACAGATCTTTTGTCGGGTCTGAAAAAACCTACAAGCGTATTGTGTATTTTTGAAAAATTTTCCTTTTTCTTTTTTTTGCCAGCGTATTTTAACTGTGAGGTCGCACTTAAGAATTTCTGTAAATTTTTTTAAGTTGACTGGAAAATTATTTTTTTATTTGGGCGAGTGGTAAATAAGGCCACTTTACGTTCGCTATCAACATTCTGTTTGAAAAAATGAAAAAAATCTAACGAAAACCATATTTTTCCTTTTTTCCGGGCAAAATCCAGATTTCAAAGAAACCGGGCCGGCCCGGGCCGGGCCTGAAAATCGAAGCCCGGGGTCGGGCCGAGAAATTAGTCGGCCCGGCCCGGGCCAGAAAATTTGGGAAAGCCCGGCCAGGAGCCATGCCTAGTCTTTGCGCCGATTACAGTGGACCTGATCCAATGGCAAAAAACGCACCATTTTGCATCCAGGATGCATCAAAAAATGTGGCAAAATATCTCCCTCTCCAAGCCAAAAAACTCCGATTTCAAAAGCGCGCCCGCTGTTTTCGTGAGGAAAAAGGGCGCGCCCTTCTAAAAGAACTCTTTTCACTAGGAGAGGGAGGTGTTTTGCCACATATTTGATACTTCCTGGATGCAAAATGGTACGTTTTTTGCCACTGGATCAGGTCCCCCACTGTATGCCGCTGAAGTGAAAGCAATTTGATTTCATCGCGATTCGCGACACAACTCGTTTTCTCGGCGGCATTGCGATTTTCGATACGACAGAGTGCTCATTGTTTTCCCGACAGACTGAAATATAAATACATAATATATATAATATTATAGCTATTGCAGTATGGGTTCAGGCTCCGCCTGAACCCGAATCATCGCAGAACCTATATAACTGCAATGATCCGAACAAGGCGAAAGCCTTTTGGTATGGGCAGTGGATTTGAGCGCGAGGTTCGAGTAAAAGGACCCTCGGAGGTTAAGGTTAATCTCAATTTGTCTATCAAAATGTGAGCGAGCACTTTCGCTGCAAATTCTGTTTACAGACGGTTCAATTATTGTAATTTTGACTGTAATTATCGACAAGTTCGGTTCCGCACTTTACAAAAACCAAACGTTCGACGGCTTGTACCCAGAAAAGTGGAAACGCGTGACTAACCCGCTGCTCACGCCATTGGGTACAAACACTTGCACGATTTTTAAAATAAGATTGTAGCTTCGCAAGTTCTTTTTGTGTTTGCTAAAGGAGGAATGTCATAGACCTTAGGTGCAGCTACAAAAGATACGGCAAGTACGAAGTCAGGGTTACTCAAATTTACTGCTCTTTTCTGACCATGGAGCTTAGTGATGAGGAGTGTAGGATGTTGATTGCAAACCGAAGCTTTGACCGGATTTTTGAACTGTATGAGATTAGGCCGGCTACGGAGTATGATGTTCAAGGTAAGTGGTGTGTTTACCAGAGAAAGTACTCCAAGTACGACGCTCAGATTTAGATAAAATTTGGTGCAGATTTAGAATATTTTTTCTAAAATATTTGCGAAACTCCTAACTCTCGCGTTTTGTAAAAATAACTGGGATTTCTTCGACAGTGATCTACCAAAATTTGACACTTTGTTTTGCAAATTTAATCATTGATTTTCAAATCAGAAGTTGGCAAAAAACGACCCTTCTTTGCGAATTCTGGCGTCATACATAGGTTAATGTTTCCTGGAAAAAATAGTTTCTTCCGCGCGAACGGTTTCAAGTGCGACGCTCAGATTTTCTTCAAGTCATCCGCATACTTCTGATGCAAGTGTCGATTTCCAAAGGTTTTAGCTTGCCCTTTGAAGACGAGATATTCGAAAATCATTACGGACATTACGCGGAATGAGAGGGGTTGGCATAGAAAAAGGCATTCCTTGAACATAGCAATGCCATTTTCGAATAAAGTTGATTTTTTTTGTGCAGCAAGTGTCCTCTAAGGTGGTTATTTGAAAGGCTTTGCTTGTGAGGAAGCTACAATTTGCAATATGGCCAACCTGCATCTACATATCTTTTCAAAAATTCTTTCAGTGATCCACAGGTCCGTAATGTTCGTCATCTGCGTCACAAGCTGCTCGATGAATGCCTTCCTCTTCTACATCATCATCACTCAATCGGAGAGTATACGAAGCGCCAAAGGGCTCATCATGTTCAGCTGCATTTATGATTTCGTATTTGCTTTGTTCAATATGCAAATGGGTTCAGTAAGTGAAGCCTTCCACAGTCAATCCCCTTTTCAGCTGCCTTCATCCGTTCTTGGGATCGCCTTCAACTACAGCAATCAGCTTATTCGATTTGAAGACTACCGAATCATGGAGGTTCTGAAGACCATCGCGGGGATGAGTTTCCTCGGAACGTGGCTCAACATCCCAATCCAATTCCTGTGGAGATTTCACATATTCCGGTAGTAAGTGTGGGTATCGTCGTATTTTCATTCCGTTGGAACGCATATCAATTCCTGAAACTTTTTACTTGCGATTTGCAAGCACAGCCGAGATATTCAACAATCTTTACGGCCGTGAGGGTACGAGAAATACGGAGGACGGTCAAAAAAAATTTTTTTGTCAATATCTTTGCCGGTTTCGCGAGGCAAAAACTGATTTTCTATGGAAACATTGCAACGGAATGTGTAAATAGGCAGTGCCAAAATTCGCAAGGATAGGATAGTCAGATTTGATATCTTACGGCCCAAAAATCCCGATTTTTCGTGCAAAAAAACGGGTTAGGAGCTTGCTTATGTCTTACAAGCAAAGTACTTCTATGGGGTAAAAAGGCAGCTAATTTTTACATATTCTGAATCAGAAAAATTTTGTGAATTTTTTATGTATTATATCTCGACCTGTAACTCCATACCCCATAGAAGTATTATACTTTCCTTGTTAGAAGGAAGTCGTCTAAATTTGTGCTAAAAATGAGCTCCATCAAAATCTGAGTGTCACACCTTGCCCGCCTGTTTCACTATTTTTTCAATCGTCTTTTCAGCGGCTGTGCACCTCGAGGAATCTACCTCTATGTCCTCGCGATTTCATCCTCTCTCATCTTTATCGTGGCTGGCACAATCAACAGCCGCGCTTTTGGTAGTGCTACGGAAGAGGACAGGATTCTGATACGGCGTATTATACACGCCTACGGCTTCAAAGATGTCCGGCTTTCGGAGGTTACCGGAAGCTTCAACGTAAGCCGCAATTGGTTAATACCTTCGAGGCTTTTAGACCACGGACCGCTACAAAGCTAGTAATTATATGATCAAATTTCTTTTATTTGGCTCATACTCTGTCGCAATCGCCGTGGACCTGATCATGTCGTATTATTGGAGGACGCAGGAGCAGTACACAAGCGATCGGACCAGGAAAATGTTCTCCGCGGTGAAAGTGACGTTTCGATTGATGGTAAGGGCGTTGTAAAAACGTCGAGAGCAGTCACAGAAAAAAACTTTCTGGCCGTAACTTTGTCAGTCTCCTACGGAAAATTGTTTTTTTTTGTGGAAATGACAACGTCTACGGTAGAAGTAGGCGTGAATGGAAAGGCAATTTGACTTTGCCGCGGCACAGTTCATTTGCTCATTACTTTCTTGACAGACTGATAGAATATACGGTTCGGAATGTCTTTTTTCTGTGCACAAATGTCATACTCAGTTTTTTCGTAATTCTGTCGCTCTTTCAGGCAGTAGGGCCTCTTCTTACCGCCGTCCTTCCCGCTTATCTCATCCGAGCTTTTGGTACCGCCTGCACTTTCCACCCATGGATTATGATGACGGTCTCGTGGCTGGTCGTATTCCAAAGTATGATAAACGCAGTAACAACGTTGTGGTTCATACAACCCTATCGAAGATTTGTCTTGAGCCTCGGAAAAGTTAGGACCTCAACTTTCGTCACGGATATTACTGGAATGACTATGTAAAAATTAACAGACGAATGAAAAAAGTTGGACATGGTATGTAACTTATTTGAGAGTAAATAATGTGGCTGTGTATATATATATATTATATATTTTCTTTTAATCCATATTTAGTCTGTCAAGAAAATAATGAGCTCCCTGTCGCATCGTAAACCGCATCGCACGGCAAACCGTAATAGAACAAAAATGTCTCCCGCCCACTTTTGAGTTTCGTCCAAACGAAGTGTCACAACTGACAAAATAAATGCAATAATTTCGAGAAAAATATTTTTCCATCGAAAAACCACACGAAAAATTCTGTTGTGACATTTGGTGTGAATTTTACCGATACTGGGTGTGCGAAGCGCCGAAACGAGGAGGGAGACTCCCTGGGTTGCCGTGCATCGCCGCCGAGAGAATTAATTGTGTCGTCGCAAAATCAAACTGATTTTAACGTCAGCGACACCATCGGCGTAGTGACATTGTGCTCGTTATTTTTCCGACAGTCCGATAGAAAGCCTTGCGACGCCATTTTTTGCAGCGAAAAATCATTTTTTTCAGAGAGCGCCAAAATCCCGGGGTCGCGATAAATACTTTATGGCCCGAGTAGCGTAAGAGTTCCTTATTCTGGCCACAACTTATAATTTTGCGGAAACTGGCCAGAATTAGCCTAAATTTGGCATGCATTCTCAATTCATCAATGTCAATGCCCGGACATTGTATTTAGTTAGTGAGGTACCTTCTTTTTTACCTACCACCTTTTCGCTTTGAGATTCAAAATTTTAATTTTGCTTCGGCCCGGCGGCCAAGCCTAGTCGTGACGCAATTTTTACGGCTTGAGTGACGAAACGTCACACACTGTTTTCTCGCTTGCTCTAAGGATACGTTCTATGGATTGTATGCGAAACTTTGTACCGAATGCCTCAGCCTTTAGTCTGGTACAGCTGTTGGCAGCCTACAATCGGTTGTTTTTCCCGTTGCATTCTCGGCGCGCTTTTTGTAGCGAAAATTATGCGTCGTTTTTGACAGCTCACTTGTTTAAAGGAAGTATAGTTATGGGGTTGAGTCAGGAGGAATGCAATGAGCTGTTGGCCAATCGCAACTATGATCCGATTTTTGAATGGTACACTGCGAATCCGGTCACCGCATACGATGTGCAAAGTAAGTTTTTTTTTGAGTTTGGAGGAATTCTTGTCCTTCCGTAAAATGGCAAGGTCAAGATCGTTACATTACTAGCGCTTGAAGACCTTTCCTTGTAAAGCAAAATCTAGCTTTTTCCTATCTTTAGCGATCCATAAGGTTGTCGAGGCGCTGATCTGCTCGGCCGGCTGCGGCCTAAACCTTTTCCTGCTCTACGTGATCGTCCAGCCATCGGAGAGGCTCAGAAGCGTGAAAGACTTTCTCATGTTCGGCTGTATCTACGACATTCTCCTTGCCGCCGTCAATATGCAAATGGAAACGGTTCGTTTTTATTGTTGTTTTCGTCTTTGCAAAAAGACTGATATTTAATAATAATATCAGTCAGTCGGGGGAAATAATGTGGGTTTTTCGCAACAAAATTTTACGGCTATTGTCGTAAATCAAATTTCCAGCCGCGGCTAGCCCTCCAAGAGCAGCGACAAATCCACATTATTTCCCCGACAGACTGATATCAAATCGAAAATCAAAAAAATGTTAACTGGGATACTTGTTTCAGTTCCCCTACACCGTACTCGGCGTTGCATTCAGCTACGACAACATCATCTTGCGGTCCTCCAAATACCGTGTAACGGGTATTCTAAAATCTGCTGCCCGAACTATCTTTTTCGGGTCGTGGATCATCATTCCCGTTCAGTTCCTTTGGCGATTTCATGTTTTTCGATAGTAAGTATCAACATTTTCAATTCCATAAAGTGCAGGGACATTCTTTCGCTTCCCCCCGGTGCATTTGAACTTTTTCCTACGGCACAAAGTGGGGGTTTTGCACGATGCAAAATGAGGGTTTTGCACATTGCAAAATGGGGTTTTTTGCACGATGCAATGTGGAGTTTTTGCACGGTGCAAAATGGGGGGTTTTGCACGGTTCAAAGTCGGCGTTTTTGCACTGTGCATATGGTCGTTTTACACGGTGCAAAATGAGGGTTTTATACTGTGCAATATAGGGTTTTTGCACGGCGCAAAATGGGGGTTTTGCGCAATGTAAAGTGGATGTTTTGCAGGGTGCAAAATGGGGGTTGTAGTATATAAAGTCTCAATATTTTCAGCGGTTGTGCCCCACGAGGAATTTTTTTTTATTTGATGTGGATAGTGCCAACAATTGTGTGTCTGACTGCCGGCTCCCTCAACTACAACATGTATGGGTTTTCGACACATGAAGAGAGAGTCCTCATACAAAAGATTGTGTTCTACAGTGGCTTTAAAGACGTGGCATTAGCGGACGTCACTGGGACATATATGGTAAGGAATGTATGTCATATTTTGCATCAACGTTCAGAGCAGTCAACGCTATTCAATCCACAACACGTGCATTAAAGTACTGTTGGGCGGCTGTTACGTGGTCACGATCGTTGTGGACGTCGCCATGTCCAGGTACTGGTCGTCTCACAGACTGGACGCTCATCATCGGACCAGAAAGATGTTTTACGGAGTGAAATACGCACTTCGGGTAATGGTAAGGAATGTTATTTGGAATTCCACCTGTAAAGACGTTCTCGGTTGTGATTAAGATTTGTAGTTGGCATTCGTGAAAAGAGCATGGCATACACATTGTCTAGAGAAGCGTTTACAGCCGTCATAACCTTTTCGCGAATATTTGTGACAGTTTGACCGCTTAAAATACAAAAATTTGTCCTTGTGTACAGTGGAAGTACTCCAACGTTTTATTATATTATATGTATTTTAATGAAGCTTGGCACAAATTTAAAAGCATAGGTAATTTTTTACGACATATGCCGAACTCCTAGCTCGGTTGAGAAAAGCTTGCTGCGATGTTGTACTGGCATCGTGCAAGAGGTCAAACGCACGTCGCAAAAAGAGGTTTGTGCAAGGGCCTCCCGACAGAAAGTCTACGCACTTTATGAAGCGACTGGTAGGAGGGGTCGACCGGGATAGACGTAATACAGGCCAGACAATATCCTATATTCTTTATCCAGTCAAACGTTACAATAGCACAAAATACAACAAGGATAGTCTCGGGCAGACGGAGAAGGTCAATTTTGCGCCAAAATTAACCTTTGTGCTATAAAGCTCTTCTACAACGAGCAAATTATTCTTTCCATTGCAATTTGTCGTACCAATGCTCTACTGTAATATAATAGAATAGCATGATTTTTTCAGGCAATTGGCCCCTTCATAACGGGAGTGATCCCAGCAATTCTTACAAGGTACTCCGGCACCGCCTGCACTTTGAACCCATGGAATATGATGGCTGTCTCGTGGTTAATCGGATGCCATAGTCTTTTTAACGCAATCACCACCTTCTATTTTATTCGACCTTGCCGGAGATATTTACTTTCCTGTCTGAAGCGGCAAAGCACACTGGAGCCGTTTGTGGTTGGAACGGACGCGTCAAGTAGGACTGGCTAAAGTTGTTCGTAATAAACGTTTGTTCTTCACTTGGCTTTGAGTTTCTTACGGTGACAGTAACAGTGCATGTCGCGGAAGTCACTCCAGCGACATTGCAAACGCACTAGTACGCGTATTATCAGTCTGTCGGGAAAATAATGAGCATTATGTAGCAACGCCGATCGCATCGTTGAAGTGAAAAGCAATTTGATTTTGCCGCGACACAATTCATTTTCTCAACCGCGATGCGATTCTCGCAGCTACAGGATGCTCATTATCTTCCTTGTCACACTGATAATTCAATTATTCTTGCGGAGGCCGTGAATAAAAATGGAAGTTTTGAGCGGAAATTGAAGACAATTGCTTTTGGGCGGAATTTGATTCCATTTTAATCCAGCTGGACGCTTGGTCTTGCCACTAATGCTTCAGCAAGTATAATGGGGGAACTTTAATGCCTCTTAATTTTACGCACATGTTGTGCCTCTTCCGCATACAAATTTTTGAAATTTTTAGTTTGTGTTTTTCATTCGCAGCCGAGATATTTGGCAATATTTGTCGTGGTAGAGAGTGCGCAAAATGCGGAGAGCAGCCGAAAAAGCTTTTGGCTGTATCTCGGCGAAATCCGATCAGTTTCGAGCCTTCTCTGGTGAAAAGAAACGTTCTCCGCATTTCGCATAGTCCCTCGTTGATACAACTCCTCGGACATATCGGCCCTGCCAAGAGCGAGCTGAAATTTTCAGAAGTTTGTGCACCATACTAGTCCTTCCGGAAAGTCGCCGGACGGAAATCGGCGACATGCACTGTGAGAAAAATCTCAGGGTGCGAGCGACAGCTCGAAAAAGCTTATTGCACAGTGCAAAAAGCCAAAAATTGCACAGTGCAAAGTGAACTTTCGATTTCGCAGAGTGCATGTCGCCGATTTCCGTCCGGCGACTTTCCGGAAGGACTAGTATGTCGGGAAAATCCTGTGGATTTGTCGCAGCAAAATGTGTCTCTCATCGCAGTCGCGCATCAAATGGTCCGAAAACACCATTTGCACAGTGCATTTTTGTTTTTTTTTGCCTTACTTTGCGCGAGACTCCCGTTTTTAAGCAAATGATTTTTTTAGAGTTCGGCAGAATTTGGAGCCGTGATAAATTAGTATGACTTTTTATCCGAGTTGTGTCCAAACCAAAAAACAGTCTGAGCATCGCGCTTGTTACACTCTCCTCGTAAACGTATTTCTCTTTATAGCCAAGTGTAGTTGCACAATTGTAGTCCTCAAAACGGACAAAATATTTTTCGAGAATTCAATCTACCGTAGTGGGAAGCTTTGCGGAACAAGCCATACATTCAAGACGCTTGTCATTTCGTATTTCCCAACAAACGGCGACCTATGTTTGAGTGCGGTACGGATTGGGTACGAAAGTGAAAAGCAGATTCGTCTGCCCTCCATCTTGTGCCACTCCTACAATTGACGAGCTGGTTGCGGCGCTAGCTCCATTTGCATTGTAGCCTCTTCGTATTGGGGGTCGTTTCAGCAGCAGAGGCGCGGCTTGACCGCTCACTTGTTTAAAGAAGCTATAGAGGGTTATGGAGTTGACCCACGAGGAGTGCAATGCGCTGTTGGCCAACCACAGTTACGACGTGATTTTCGAGTGGTATGCTGCGCATCCGGTTACCGCATACAATGTGCAAAGTAAGTTTGTTTCGAAGAGGATTAATCTTTGAGTTATGGAGTTGTGGGAGCCTTATAGGCATATATGTATGTAGGACTGCAAAGCGGGCGGGTAGGCTATAGTTGACGTTCTGCATGGTGAACTTGAGTGTCATCAGCTCACGTAGGGTTTTTGGTGGTGGTGATATTATATTGCCAGACCTATATCTCACAAGTTGAGGTGTGAAGGGCACATGATCTTTATAGTGTATGGTCTTTATAGTCATTGATCCTTGTGAGCCTCTGCTTTAACGCTGCGGTAAAATCAAGGCTCTAGCCAGCTTTATTCATAAAGAACACTTTGTACTTTCCGGCCCTACATTACCCACGTCATGAGAAATGTTTTTTTTTCACATCGAAATGCTTCGCTTCGTCGAAAAAAGGGCGCAGTCGCGGCCAAAATTTCCAGCTGCGGCTAGCCGTCCCAAAGCGATGATGGTGTTCCCAACGCGCGACATTCTGTCACTATTCTCCCGACAGACTGATAAGTTGGATAAAGTTTCAACCATTTTTTGCGAAAGTTTGAAGTCAAGTATCCTCTAAGAGCTCTTATCATTTCAACATATTTAATAAACTTTTAAAGGGCCCTTCAATTGCTAACGAAGCATTTTCTGTTGTAAAAACTCGAGAGCTCCAGATTTTAGTATGGTACATGTAGAGTAAAAAAGTCACGTTTCTACTAAAGTCACGTTTTTACAGGTTCAGGTTTTGCTGAACCTTGGACGGACTCAAAGTATGTTTCCGCTACATTTTTGTAAATTTTACACCAGGTTGAGGAGCTCTGACCGTGTTGAAACATGTCACGATAAAACCCTGTAAATTGTTTTGGAAGTATAAGAAGCGCTCGGAAATGAACAGAAATGCTCCTGACAAGATTGTAGGACTTCTTTTTCGAAAGTTTCATGCCAAAACTTTATTGGTCCACTTAGCGAAAGGAAGAACGCTTTTTGGCAATATATTTGGCAATATAATTGGTGTCGAAACATTACCACCTATCATAGAAATAAGCATAAGGAAGAGAGTTGCCCCATTATTGACAACTTTCAAGTCAAAAATCCCGATCGTTTCGGAAAATTCCGAGCTAGTAGTATCGCGATATACCGTACAATTCTTCAAGAAAATTAATCTAAATTTGCCAAGTTTCATCAACAGATGCTCAGAGAACTTGAAGACCTTTCCTTTGCTAACCAAAATCTAACTTTATCACTCTTATAGTGATCCACAAGGTCGTCGAAGCGCTGATCTGCTCGGCTGGTTGCGGAATAAACCTCTTCCTGCTCTATGTGATTGCCAAGCAATCGGAGAGACTGAGCAGCGTGAAGAGTTTCCTTATGTTCGGCTGCATCTACGACATCTTCCTTTCCGTCGTCAATATGCAAATGCAATCGGTGTGGTTTTGTTCTTCCAACGTTTAGTTTGCAGTAGCAAGTACAAATTTTTACATTTTTAGTTTCCCTACTCCGTGCTCGGCATTGCATTCAGCTACGACAACATGATCTTGCGGTCTTCCGACTACCTCATAATGGGTATTATGAAAGCTGCTGCCCGAGTTGCATTTTTCGGGTCGTGGATCATCATTCCCATTCAGTTCCTTTGGCGATACCACATTTTTCGATAGTAAGTATCAACATTTTCAATTTCATAAAGTGCATAGATATTTTTTCGCTACTTACAAAAGTATTTATTTCTTTCTTGCGGTGCACTCAGACTTACATGCAAATTTATAAAACAGCCTCTGAAACTACCCATTAATAGGACTTTCATAAAGTGCATGGACATTTTTACTGTGCATTTTGCCTTCTCTTATCGATGCAATCCTTTTTAAAATATTTTTGCATGTTGCAACTGCCTTAAATTTCGTGACCTCGCAATGAAAAAAAGCTTGTGTCGCAGCAATTTTGTATAAAAAATAAAATGCACTGTGCAATTGACCTTTTTTCAATAACATATTCTGGTAGCAAACAGGACAAGAGGCTCTGAGAGTCAATACTAAGAATGAATTTTAACATTAGGCCCAAAAGTCAAGAAGTTATAGCCACAGAAATGCGAAAGCTTTAACCCAAAAGTTCAACATTTTCAGCGGCTGTGCACCAAGAGGAATCTACTTGTATCTAATGTGCATTGTGCCAATAATTTTGTCTCTGATTGGCGGCTGCATCACATTTAACATTTACGGCTATGCAACAAATGAGGAGAGGGCTCTCATACAAAAGATTGTGCGCTACAGCGGCTTCACGGACGTGACATTAGCCGACGTCACCGGGACATGGACGGTAAGGAATGCGCATCATATTTTACCTCAACTCGCAGAACAGCGAACGCTATTCGTTGTACAACACATGCATTAAAGTGCTGCTGTGCGGCTGCTACGCGGTCACCATCGCGGTGGACATTGCCATGTCCAAGTACTGGTCGATTCACAGCATGGACGCCCATCATCGGACTAGAAAGATGTTTTACGGCGTGAAATATGCACTTCGGGTGATGGTAAGCGTTTTTACTATGCTTTTTCAAAAGGGCGTGAGCTTGTGCGTTGCGACAAAAATTCAATGCACTTCCGAAAAAGGCAGCATTTTTGAATTCTACTTTGTAAGACGTTCTCGGTCGCTACAAAGATTTGTAGTCGGCGTCAAGTGCACAACATGTATAGAAATTCCTTTGTAGTTGTAATAAAATTGTTTCCAAACAATTGAAAGAATTTGGCCCCTTCGAATACAGAAGTCTGAGCAAAGTATAATAGAAAAAACGAGAGTCATCTAAGCTTGGCAGGCAAGGTGTATGTCCCTTAGAATTACTCATGTAACTGTGTTTCTTGTCGGTTATGGGTATATGTACAAGACACGTCAAGCATCTATTTTTTCAGGCAATTGGCCCCTTCCTAACCGGCGTGATCCCAGCATTTCTAATTCGGATCTCCGGCACGGCCTGCACTTTGAGCCCATGGACTATGATGACTGTCTCGTGGCTGGTCGGATCCCACAGCCTCTTCAACGCAATCACCACCTTTTACTTCATTCGACCTTGCTGGCGATATCTACTATCTTGCCTGAAGCGGCAAAGCACGTTGGAACCGTTTGTGGTTGGGACGGACGTATCAAGTAGGACTGGCTAAAATTGTTTGTAATAAAAGTTTATTCTTCACTTGGCTTTGAGTTTCTTACAATGTGAGTGTCCTGGAGTTCGGTGAGAAATAAGCTATTCTTAGAAGGGATGTCCTTAACTTAGCTTGAACTTTGAGGCTTTTAAAGGTTGTCAAATAAAACTATTGCAGTTCCGCTAGAAATACGCAAATGCATAAACTCCTCCGCCGAGTCACGGCCGAGACCTGGTCATTTCTTTCCTGCACGTTTCTTGCAACACCCTGCAAGAGAGTTACTGGTGAACTGTCAAAAAAAATAGTAATCCAATGAATTGAATTTTTATTTGCGGTTCTTGGCCCACTTCCTATAATAAAATCTTTCTCTAACTAAATTTAGTGTTAAGGTGAGAATCAGAGAACATACGAACCGCACAAGTGAAGTCTTTGGCGTAAGCAAAATTGAATCTTTTTCGAAACTGTTTATGTTTCGAAAAGTCGCGCAACTTGCACTGTGCGATACGAAAGAGGCCGAAAAAAGTTCACGCACTTTTAAAAAAGCGTACTTTTTTCTACCTTGACGCTTTCCCGTCTTCGCGTACTCTCACGGCGGCAAAGCTCGTTGTTTATCTAGGCTGCCTCCGCAAAGCTCGAGCTAATTGTAAGACTTTCAAAAATCGATGTGTGGACTATTCCCAATATGCTCAAATTGCCTTTGGGGCTAAATTTTTAATTTTTCTCCCATTTCGCAAAAGTAAGGGGCATCTTTATAGGTCATCCATGTTATCTGTGTTTGCGAAATTAGTTGACAATCTAAGCGCCTTGCTCACAGAACAGAGATTCTCGGTTGTATTTAAAAAGCGTATCCTTATGTCGTGATGACAAATCCAACAGTTGTATGCAAGATGGATGGCATTTAAAGTGTTTGTAAAATTGTCCGAGATGATAGTTTCAATATTTCAATTGTATTTTACAATAACATCAAGGAAGTGAAGGATGTACTGGAAGTGGGATTGTAAAGATTTCCCGAAGCGTTGAAGATGTATGGAGCATCGGAAAATAAAGTTCATCATGCTTTGTGATTTGGCCTATGACTGAGAGCTCAGAACGATATCAAATCTTGATATAAGCTCATCTAAATGGAGCTTAACTATGTGATACATTACCGTTACTGTAGATGGACTTGGTCCGGAGATGGCGCCTAACGAAAAGGGTACTTTGCGAAGAGGGCGCCTATAAATAGCATTTTCACAAAGTGCGTAGAGTTTTCGTCTTTGTGCAAGACAAAATTCCACTGTAGATTACTTTGATTTTTCAAACAAAAAATGTGACGCAAGATTTTTTTCATTGCGCCGTTGCAAAATTTGAGTCAATTGCATTGTGCAAAAATCTTTTAAAAAGGGCTGCGTCGCATGAAGAAAGCGAATGCAAAAATGTGGGCACAAGAGAGCACTTGGGCCAAAAGCGCATCTTTAATGGTAGGAAGTTCAATCTTATTTGCACTAAGACCAATAACATAGTCTTAACTGCCGTGGTAGTCCTTTTTTTAAACTTTTGACTTGGTCTCCCTAACCACAGTTTTTTCGCAAAACAAAAAAATGATTAAAAAAATGATACTCGCACGGCAAAAAAATTCTTTCAGAAAATTGAAAAAACAAGGAATCTCGCATTATTGATTGCTTGCGATGTGCCACAGAATTATCGAGATAGAAAAATTATTTCTCTTTGAAAAAACAAAAAGGAGGAACAAGGTAAACTTCGCGGTGTTTTACGTAAAAAGTATAAAATATTTCGAATTTTTAACATAGTGAACTCTAGCCGGCCTCCCCCCAGCCTACCTCAAGCTTGGCGTTGGTCTACTCGGATCACCCAACATCTTCATTTTCACGTGCACGATCTCATTGATCTGCAAAACAAAGAATAACAGTGATATTTTTACACTTTGCTGCGCTTACAAACTGGCAAACACATTTGTCAATCCACTTCCTCCTTTGGGTACAGCCGAACGAAGCCCAACTTGATGGGTTATGTACGTTGGGTTCGGGGCGTTTGAAACATTTTCTTTACACATTTGCTCTCGCTGTAAACCCAAACGCAAAAACAATGAAGAAGAAACGTCGAAACACGGTGTATAAAAGAGTGTAATCGATCAACGGCAGCAGAGATGTGGGACTACGTGACGCTCCTGGCGTATTCGGTACTACTCTATTATCTCGCGAAAGGCATTTATCATGTGCTTTTACAACAATGGGTGTACTTTCTTGCACCCAGAAAAGATTTGAGGAAATTGGCCAAGACCGATTGGGCTGGTGAGTGGGCACTTTCAGCTGTCGGGAAAATAATGAGCACTCTATCGCTTCTAAAATTGCATTGCCGCAGAGAAAACGAATTGTGTCGCACCAAAATCAAATTGATTTTACTTTTCACTTAAGCGACGCCACAGCGATATCTCGCTCGTAATTTCCCCGCCACTGATGATATTCATGCCGTGCGACCCATAATTTGTTATCAGTCTGTCGGGAAAATAATGAGAGCTCTGTGGAAAAAATCGCATCTCTGGAAAATGAATTACGTCGCCACAAGATCATATAACTTGATCTTTTTGCGCTCATTATTTTCCCGACAGAATGATGATGGTATGAAAGCCATGAGCACGCCATAAAAATGTTTTAGACTCATGGCTTGGTCCAAGAAGGCTCAAAATCACAGGCTATCAGTCTGTGGGGAAAATAATGCGGATTTGTCGCAGCAAAATTTATCGCCCCGTCTCAGTCGCGCATCAAATTTTTAGTCGCGGCTGGCCGTCGCAATGCGGTAATGGCGATACCAAGACGTGATGAACCCACATTAGTTTCCCGACAAACTGATATATTCATGTTTCAGCAGTTACCGGCTCAACACAAGGCATCGGGAAGTATTATGCGTTGGAATTGGCGAAGCAAGGCTTTAATATCATCTTAATCGCCCGGAATGCTCAGAAAATGGAGGATGTCAGGCAGGAAATTCTAAAAGAAGCCCCAAATGTTCAAGTCGACTATATCGTATTCGACTTTTTGAGTACTTCCACTGAAGACTACGAGAAAGCCTTCAAAGAGCCAATGAAGAAGGTTGGATTATTAGGTAAAAAACTAAAATTTTAACAACGTATCGATCGGTCGGGAAAATAATGAGCACAATAAGAGTGCCCATTATTTTCCCGGCAAACTGATAAAATATAAGTTATCAGTCCGTCGGGAAAATAATATGGATTTGTCGCAGAAAAATTCGCCAGAAATCGGCGATTACTTTCATCCATATCTCTTGAAATACCCCGCATTTTTAGTGAACAATGTCGGTGAGGCCTACCAAATCCCTGATAAAGTCCACAAACTTCAAGGCGGACTGGAGGAGAACCGAAACTTAATCATCATAAATATGCTTCCCTTCGTGTTGCTCGCCCAAATCTGTGTGGAATACATGGAACAGAGGGACGGAGGATCATTGTCAATGTTGGGTCGTCCGCCGGCGATGTCAATTTTATTTACTATTCTGGATATTCCGCAACAAAGGTATGTGTTTTGAAAGGGGTATATGAGTTTTGGACTTTTCGCAGACGGCAACCGGCCCGGGATTTAAAAAATATGACAAGAAAACGCGTCGTTATCGCGATACTGCGATATTCCCAGCCCGACCCCAAGCTTGTCTAACAAAAACTTTTTAAAACTTTGTGAGAGAGTACTTGTAATGAGGAGATTCAGATAGACAAAAAAAAATTTCTGACAATAACTTTCCGAGTTTTTCTCGGAAAAGATAACTTTTTGTAGAACCATCCATTTAACGTCCAATAAATTCTAACCGTTTATCTGATGAATGAGTTATGGCACACAAAATTTTACAAGAGAAGCATCGGTCTGTCGGGAAAATAATGAGCACAATGCCGGTGCGCCAATCGCGTCGCTGAAGGATTTTCGATGCGGCGAAGTGCCCATTATTTTCCCAACAGACTGATATAGCAAAAAAAAATATTTTTTGGTCTCTTTCAATTCGCTGTTCATAGGTTTTATCGCATTATAGAGACAATATTTTCCCCTAAAAATCGCGTTTTTTTTCAGTCCGGGATGAAAGGCTTCACCGACGTGCTTCGCGTCGAATACCCCATGATCACCTTCCAGCAGAACAATCCCGGCTGGGTGACCACCACGCTGGCCAAGAAGGCGCACGCCACGTTGTTCACTCGCCGCCCCGCCGACTACTCCTACTACGCGGTGCGGACGATCGGCTGGCTGAAGGAGACGCGTGGACATTGGGCGCATCAACTGCAGTTCGACGTGTTGGCCGCGTTGCCCACGTTTCTTTCGGACATTGTGTTCGAAAGAGTGTTGGGCCAGCAGAAATTCGAGAACATCGATTATCTGAAAAATCATGTGCAAAATGGCGATGCGCACAAGAAAATGAATTGAATGTCCGCTTGAAGTCTGTAAAATACATATATTATACATATGTAAAATACACGTGTTTAATTATATTTCATCGGAAAACGGTTTTTCATTGAAGAAAGCCTTTCTAAATATGGTAGTTCAATTTTTCCTAAGGTTTGGCAGTTTGATGTTGCGAATTAAGTTGCTAGGGTATAAATGGCTTGAAAAGTTACCATTATGTTAACCAGATATTTTTAAAAGTTCAGAAACAATTGTTTGATAACAAACTCCCCATAACTTTGAAACCAGTGGATGAAAGCAACAGATTTGTCTACGTATCATTACCATGGAGTTGCCAACGCAAAATTGCTATCATAATGCGCAGATTACGGTAGAAAACCCGTAATTCTAACCGGCGAAGATCAGCTGTGTACTGCCCGCAAAAGTCACAATGCCCCTTTAACTATTATTCCACAAGCATTTTTACAAACCCTCCTTCCCATTTACTGCAAAAAGTGTAAACAGAACAAGCAGCCATTCAACGAATCAAAGCGCAGAGACGTTCGTCTGCACACTGAGTTGACTAAATAAAAAATGAGCGAGCTGCTATTTTGCTCAACGCCCCCGGCAACGTTCCTTTTTCGTGCGGTCTGCGAAATTAGTCATCGCTCGATGCTCGTTTTCTCGTCATCGAACAAAATTGGTTGAGTCATTCTGCAGTTTCATCAATCCTTGATATTGCATCATGAAACTCGGTGATACGGTTACTCCAATCATTTCGAATTTACAATTCAATAATTTTGGTTGCGAAATTTTCGGAGGGTCCTTTGAGTTACCGTATGCCTCACTGTTTCCGCTAACAGGGGAGTACTCCATGTTCGACGCTCAGATTTTGATGAAACTTGGCACAAATTTAGAATAATTTTTTCTCGAGTATGTACGAGAATCCAAACTCGCGTTTTGCAGAAACGACCGACATTTTAAAATCGAAAGTCGGCGAGAATTTAGGACTTTTTGCCCAACTTCGGCACGAAAAGTTTCATGCCTATTTCTACCGTAAAGGAGAATGTTTCTACAAAAAATCAATTTTTTCCGCACGAAACTAGCAAAGTTATGGCCAAAAAATGTTTTTCTCCCTGACCGCTCTCCGCGTTTTGTGTACTATCTCAGCCGCACAGATCGTTGAATATCTCGGCTGCCTCTGCAAAGCGCGCCCTAATCTGAGCGTCGCACTTGGGGTACTTCCCATTGTAAGCATGAAATTTTGTTTTTTAGTCGTTCCGAAAGTGCGTAGACTTTTTTCGGCAACGTTGGTGCGCTTGCAGGAAGCATGTGGATAGCCCAAAAAACGGAAAGCCGCTGCGGCGCGGGCGGAAAACGCATTGTGCAAACTCTACGAACTTTATGACTAGGAGTTTTACAGGGGAAGCGTCACAGATTTTGGTCAAACTTGGCGAAAATTTGGATAAGTTTCTTCCAAGACGAGACGAGATTCCGAGCGGGATTCCTAGCTCGCGTTTAAGAAAAACTACCGTGATTTTTATGTATGTCGAGAGTTGGCAAAAATTGGAATTTTTTGTGGAAAATTTTGCGCGAACCTTGAAAAAATTTGGCCAAGAAACTATTTTTCTCTCTAAACGATCTTCGCTTTTCTCGTGCTCTCAGCCGCAGAAGTCCGTTAAATATCTCGGCTTTACTTGCAAGGCGCGAGCTAAAATGTTCAGGAATTGATATGTCACCTAGACAAGACACGCGCAACATCTAAAAAAACCTGAGCACTTCGCGCTACACATGGCCCTCAGCCAGGGCCTAAACAAACTTCTTTCCGGCTACCTTCGTCCGTTGGACTTTATGAGCATTGTATCATTCTGTAGGACAAAAACGGCGGGTCGTCGCAGAAAAATGTTTAGCCTCGTCTAAAAAAGGGTGCAGTCGCGCACCAAATCTCCAGCCTCGGCAGCCGTTGCAAAGCGATGATGGGCGATCCCGAGGAGTGACGATCCGCCGGTACTTTCCACATAGACTGATATTGGCCTGTTCACATAGTCGCTGGAATAATTTAGGTGGATTGTGCTGTGAAAAAAACAAAAGTTAACTTTGCGCCCTGCAATTTCTCGCTTTTGCACTGTGCAATGGGCTTCTTTAATGTCGCCCGCACTCTGCGTTTTGCTGGACAGTGCCAACGCCAAAAAACACTCCAGCGAATTTACGAACAGAATAGTAAAGAAGAAGCTTGAAAACTGTTGAAAATTGGCAAATTTGCCCGGCATTAGAGCTTCTAATTACACATATAAACAGTCCTTTCCACTTCAGAAAAATGGGCCATGCCCAGTCAAGTCAGGGGCATCGAGAAGACGAAGCTATCGAAACGTCAGCCTCAACTAATCTACAGACTGCCCAGAATAGTCATACAGTATCAACGGAAGCCGTGTCATCATGTATGAGTCAGGCGAGCTCATGCAAAAATAACTTTCACACGGCGTCGGTGGAGATGACTCATGCAACAAACTATGGTAGGTGTAAGCATTACAGACACCGCCCTTTTGTTGTTGCCTGTTTCTGAGTATTAAAGAAGCTAGCATTTCAACTTCTTATCAGTTTTCGTACTCTCCCGAGAAAAGGATTTCATTTTATCTTTGTTTTGACCTGACATGCCTTTGCTTGATCCACCCAACCTCTGAAGCACATGTTGGATGCCGTTTTGTACTACAAGTCTGTCGAAAAAATAGTCGTCGCGCCTTGGAATGGCCCATCATTGCTTTGCGACGGCTAGTCCAGCTGCTGGCCGCAGCTGGAAGTTTGGCGCGCGATTGCGCTCTTTTTTCGACGGGGCGAAACAGTTTGCTTCGACGGCCCGCCACTATTTTCCCGACAGTCTGATACTCGAGAATAAAAGTCCTGATAATTTGTCGTTCACAAAGAAACTGTCGTATCAAACCATCGCTCCGAAAAATGGACATTGCGCACGACACTGGTGCAGAACCCCGAAGCGCACTCTGCGAAATAGGTTTTTTGAGGAAAGTGCACTGTGCAAAGCACTTTTAGTCATCAAAACTTTTGCGTGATCTTTTGTCGAAATACTGTATCATGTAGAAGTTTCTGACATCTTTTTTTTTGACTGCTTACTTTTGTTTGCTTTCAGAAAATCAACCGCAAGTACAAGGGGTTCAAGATTACGAGGGTGGATCTGCAGTTGAAATAAGCTTCAAAAAGGGCGACGTTATGGTTCTAATCGACAACAGGTGAGAAAGAAATTTCATCTATATCTGGCGTTGTGGCGCAAGAACTTGCCAACAAAGGCATTTTCCGTCCACTACTGAGTATAAGGTATATCATGTTTGAAAAGGCAAGCATCTTAAGTGCGACGCTCAGATTTTCTTTAGGCTTTGGGCACACGTCCGGAATAGGCTGCATTTCAATTGCTAAAAATTTTTAGCTCTCGCTTTTCAGAGAGAGCCGACATTTTCAGCGATCAGAGAAAGTTTTCTTGTATGTCCTATAGTTTCCAGTGACCCTGATCCTGTGGCAAAAAACGTACCATTTTGCATCCGGCAAGTGCTTCAAAAAATGCAGCACAATGTTGCCCTTTCCAAGCGAAAAAAAATTTTGTTTTGAAGGGCGCGTCCTCCATTTCACAAAAAAAGCGGACGCGCTTTCGAAATCGGATTTTTATCACTTGGAGAGGGAGGTATTTTGCCACATTTTTGATACAAAAAAATTTAGCACTTCCTGCATGCAAAATGGTACGTTTTTGCCACTGGATCAGGTCCTCCCGCCCCATGTATTAGGTTGGACGGAAAGTTCGTACGATTTTTTACTGCTGCTATTTTTTCTAATACCTAATACAACCTAATACATCACAAAAATTTTTACTCAAAAAATCTCTTTTCTTCCAGCAACCACGACTGGTGGTATGTCCAGCATCCCCAGAACGGCTCCGGCTATGTTCCACGCAACTTCGTCGCCGTCATTGAGTCGCTGGAACGCGAGCCTTGGTATGCCGGTCGGATTCAGAGAGGCTTGGCTGAGAAGCTGGTCACCTCCGCGAATATGTCGCCGGGCGCTTTTTTGGTGCGACGCCGTGATCCTGGCGCTGAATTTGTGTTGACGATTAATAATGGTGGAGAAAATGAGGTGCAGCATTATAAAATCCGCCAGCTTGATGGGAACGTTGGGTATTTCATAACGAAAAAGATGATTTTTTCCACAATCCGCGAGCTCGTGCAGTTTTACAGCGGTAAGGTGGATTTTTAATTTTGATTTTTCGGAGGGTATCTTTATGTCTAATTGTCGAAAAAATAGCTAATTTGGGCAATAATTCAATTTTTAGGGCAGTCCTCATATGTTTTTGTCGGTTTTAAACGTTTCCCTTGAAATTCAGGGTTTTCGTGGTGGTACCCAAAAAAATGTAAAGGGCGATTTCCCAAGCGTCATGAAATTTGGGACAAGTCTAGAATAAGATGTTCTAAGACACATAGGAGATTTTTAGCCAGCAAGTTGCAGAAAACCGAGGCTGTTTGCCCAAAAATGGACATTATTCTTTTTACATGCTCACTCGGTTGGAAGACATCCTTAAATTGTTCAATTTTAAATACGAATTCAATTTTTATGGGAGTTTCTCTGTGTTTTTGTCGATTTTAAACGCCTGCTTTGAAATTCAGGGTTTTCGTGGTAGGACCCGACCCACAAATGTAAAGGGTGATTCCCTCATCTTGTTGAAATTTTTTGACAAACCTATTTGAATAGGATATTTTCTAAGTAATATCTAAGATTTTTAGCCAGCAAGTTGCATAAAAACAGGGATTTTTTCGCCAGTGTACCAAATTTAGCCAAACTTAGACGTCTGGCCAACCCTCCCCCGTTTTGCGAGCTCTCTTGCAAAAAAAAAACAAAAAGCATAATTTCAGCCCAAAGTGGAGGCCTCTGTCATCGACTAACTTGCCCCGCCGCGAAAACCGCCGTAGGCCAAGAAATCAACGCCACTCCGCAAAAGAATTGGGAGATCTCTCGCGACGAATTGGAGCTCATATTCACATTGGGTGGCGGCAATTTTGGCGACGTTTGGTACGGGAGATGGCGATCGGCGGTGGAGGTGGCGGTCAAGACAATGAAGCCGGACAAAATGACGACTCAACAGTTTTTGGCGTAAGCTTTTGCGAAGAGGGCGGTTCAGTTTCATCAAAATCTGGGCGTCGCACTTGGGACTCCTAAACAACATTGCAAAAATCATTGCTACGTTTTCAGTGAAGCCAAGATCATGAAGGAATGCAATCACCCAAAACTGGTCAAATTATTCGCCGTTTGCACCGAACGCGCGCCCTATTACATCATCACCGAATACATGACCAATGGCTCGCTGCTCTCCTACCTCAAATCACCACACAACGCCTTGCCGCTGCACGCGTTGGTGGACATGTGCGCGCAAATCGCGTGCGGCATGATGTACCTAGAGTCGCGGAAACTTGTGCATCGCGACCTGGCGGCGCGAAATGTCTTGGTCGGCGAAGAAGTCGATGGAATCGCCCAAATCAAGATCGCGGACTTTGGGTTGGCCCGCAAAATGATGGACGATGAGTACAAAGCGGATGCGGGAAGTAATTTTCCGCTCAAATGGACCGCGCCGGAGGCGATTTTGGAGGGAAATTTTACTGTCAAGTCGGATGTTTGGAGCTATGGCATTTTACTGTACGAGATTTTTACAAATGGTCGCAAACCTTATCCAGGTCAGTTTTTAGGCCTTTTTTAATGTGTAGTCCGTTTGCAAAGCCGTTGGAGAAAATTTTGCGACATGTACTGTGCGAAGACAAAAATGAACCTTGAACTGTGCAATTTCTTGCTTTTTGCATGGTGCAATAGGCTTTTTTAGGCTGCGCTTGCACTCTGACGTTTCCTGCATATTGCAAACGTCAAAAACTCCTTTGCGAACGGGCTAGTTTAAGACCAAATTTGGCGATTTTTGCTGGCAAAAATTTCGCGGCGTTAAGATGAAAAAGCAATTCATTTTTTGCTTTCAGGAATGACCAAAAGAGAAGTGATAGACCAAATCCCACAAGGTTTTCGTATGGGACGTCCACAAAAATGCCCGGTCCCCATCTACAACGAAATGCTCAGGTGTTGGGACAAAATTCCGGAAAGAAGGCCAAGTTTCGGGTACTTGTACTCCTTCTTCGACGACTATTTTGTCAATTGGCAACCAAATTATGTGCTCGACAATGAATCAATGATCTCAAATGTACAGTAAAACTTGTAAAAATGATGCTATGTATAAAGCTATCAGTCTGTCGGGAAAATAATGATTTCTTTTATAAAATTTACTTTGTCATAACCTTTCATTTACCATAAGATCCTTTCCGGCCATACCATACCGCAATAACCACACAGGTAAAAATTCATGATAATTTTTCAAAAAAGCTCTGCTCAGCTAGCGACCCTTCCGTGAACAGCGCTCCAGGTGCACAATTCGCGATCTTCAACGTTCAGCCGACTGCATTAGCCAGCCGAACGATCTTCACGCTCTGGAAGGGTCACCACGACTCGATCATCGCAGAGTCAGGTGGTGAAACCTAGACGTTAGACGAGAGTATGCTTACTACAGAAATGATCCTGTGAAGCATGATCTCGAAGAATTGCAACCGCTCGTCGGACCCCTAAAAAATCAGTCTCCGATTTGGAATGCGTCCCTCTTTTTGCCAGGCAGCGAAATAGCGCACTCTTTTTGCTTATCTTTTGCTCTCTCACTCCTTTTCGTTTGTCTCTGTGATTGCCGCAGTCTTTCTTCTTTCGAAAAAAGTGAAAGAGTTGACACGACTTTTTCGATTGCGCCAACTGTTCTTCCTAACAAAATTGCTGGCTAAAATAAGGTTTTTTCTGGTAATCAGGTTGGTATTCGTAATAGGACGTCTGCAAAATGTCCGTTTGTGGTGGAGAACCATATTTGAGTCAATTTGAAATCGGATAACGAGCTGATGGAACTTGATCAACATGAACTATCCGAGGAATCAAGTTTTCCCAAAGATCCCAGCCCGTCGAAAAGAGCGGTAAGGTATTTTATATTGATTTTGATATTTTAGGTAGTTGGATGCGATTTAAAGTTTGAATTTCAGCGCTAGCACTCTTTTATGATCAAGTGTAATATCGGATCTTCTTCAGTTCTCCGAAGTGAGCCTCGCACATACAGTGCGGTTTATAGGTCAGTGAGCTCAGAACAGACGAGATCGTGGCTCTAGAGTTGCTGAAGATGGAGGTGGAAATGGGGGAATTTCAATTACTTCTTTGCGAGAGATCAACATGTTGAGAAAGTACCGGAAAGATCCGAATATTTTTGCATTGGAGGTGAGATTTTGCTATTGCTTGTTGATGTTTAGTTTTCTGATATTGTGGGATTGTCAACTGAATTTGAATTGCTCAAGGATCAAAATCCGGTTTGAGATCTGCTGGACCTAGTGTAATATGAAGAAATTGATAGAACTCAAGTAGAAGTATTTTCCTTTTGCATGAGATGGGCCTTTTCCAACTCTTCTTAACGCAAATGCGATGTTTTGGATTTTGGCGACATCAAATGAACGAGTTTTTGATATTACACATAGTCAGTTACACAGAATTAAAAATTTACTTCCTTTTATGAACTAGAAAGCCTAAAATGATCCTTAGAAGAACTAGAATAATGCTCGTTCTGATTTAAAAGTTTAACTTCAAAATTGTGCCTACTACAATTTAAATTTATCGAATTTAGCATCCTCACACTGTGCCCAGAACACCGAACCACAGCTGACGATGCGTTAAAGCACAAATTCTTCCGAAATTCTCATGGAAACTTCTAATCTGTTTGATTTCTCGGTTAAAATATTAAATAATTGACTGGTACACACAATTTTTTCGAATTAATTTGGTTTTTTGTGTTGAGATAAGGTTATTGTAACCAGGATTACTGCCTGGGCTGATGACGGAAGAGACATTTTTTTGTATAGACCAGAGATTTTTTTCTCTAACCGACTCTTCATTTCACGTATTCTCTCGCAAGCGAACATCGTTGAGTGTCGCTGAAAAATTGCGAAGCTCAGAGCTTCAGTACATGATCTGCAGCTTATTCAGAACAAAAATTATCGAATCGGATAAATATTAGTCTGTCGGGAAAATAATGAGCACATGTCGCACGGAAAGTCGCATCGCCGCCGAGAAAATTAATTGTGCCATAAAATCAGATTCTTTTTCACTCAGCGATCGACGCAGCGACATTGTGCTCATTACTTTCCCGACAGACTGGTATTTTTTTTAGATTCGCAAATTTTTGTTCTGAATAAGCTGCAGATCATGTATTGAAGCTATGAGCTTCGCAATTTTCAGCGACATTCAACGATGTTCGCTTGCGAGAGAATACGCGAAATGAAGAGTCGGTTAGAGACAAAAATCTCTGGTCTATACAAAAAAGATGTCTCTTCCGTCATCAGCCCAGGCAGTAATCCTGGTTACAATAACCTTATCTCAACACAAAAAACCAAATTAATTTGAAAAAATTCTGTGTATCAAGTCAATAATTTAATATTTTAACCGAGAAATCAAACAGATTAGAAGTTTCCATGAGAATTTCGGAAGAATTTGTGCTTTAACGCATCTTCAGCTGTGGTTCGGTGTTCTGGGCACAGTGTGAGGGGGCTAAACTGGATAATGTTATCAAATTAAGAAAAAATGTAGTTTTGACCTCTCCCTTTTGCGATCATTGTTCTGGTCGTAGCAGATATAAACTATAAACTCCATGGGGCTAATTGGCTCTCGGCACACCCTTTTTTCGATTCGCCAAATTTTTCTTTTCAATTTCATTTGACTTTCAGCCTATGCCTGAGTACAAGATCACATATTTTGATTGTCGCGGGACCGCTGAGGCCGCAAGGTGCTGTCTTCACTATGCTGGCATCCCATTTGAAGACCATCAAATCGCCTACAAAGACTGGGCGCAACACAAAAAATGTGAGTTCTAAAAAAATTGCCGCAAGTTTTGTTTATTTGCAAAAAATTCGTCACCCAAATTGATATTTCAGCGTTTCTCAACCAAAAACTCCCCGTTTTCTATGAAGACGGGAAGGAGTTGACTCAATCGGGCGCCATTACTCGGTATGTAGCGCGGTTAACCGGACTGAATGGAAAGGATTCGTGGGAAGAGGCCAAAGCCGATGAAATTTATCATTATTTTTTTGACGCTATGAAGTCAACAAACGTCTATGTGCATGACAAGTGTGGATATAACAAAGCAAAGGACTTGGTGAGTTCACACTCTTGTCGAAAAACATTTTTCCATTTCCAGAACGAAGCCTACGAGATCTTCCTTCCAATTGCGACCAGAGCCCTCGAATATTACAACAATTTTCTCATTGACTCTACCAATGGATTTGCGTTGAAATCGGGTTTAACCTACGCCGACTTCGTTATTCATGCGCAGGTCAAAACGTTCAAAAATTGCGATCCAGAACTTTTGAAGAAATTCCCCAAAGTTGTGGAACATTTTGAGAAAATTGAAAATATTCCACAACTGCAAGGTTATTTTGCCACTCAAAACACAATAAACTAAGTTTAATGTGGTTCAAACTATTTTAGTCGGCTATAAACCCAAAAAAATTACATTTACAATTCATTTTATTTTATTTCACACATTAATTACAATAGAAAATGGTAACTCCAACCAAAAAAAAATCGGAAAAAAAGGCAAATCTCGGAATACTTGCTACGAAAAAACACACATATTATACGTTTCCATTGACTGTATGATATAGGAATTGATAAGAAAAAAAGTGAAAAAATGAATGGGATTTTTCGATGGAAAATGCAAGTGAAGGGAAAACAATAATTATATAAGACTGTAAGGGTTAATAACTTAAGAGTTTTGTTGAAGATTCGGTGTGTTCAAGGCACGGTGCTTAACATATTGAGGGCTGAGAAGACGAGGTTCGGGAATGAGGCCACAACTTACAAAACAAAATGCGGATTTGGGCTGATTTTCAGGGGGTTCGGCAGGGATTTCGAGTCATTTCCAGTTGAAAACGTTCGAATTTTTTTTCAAAAACTATTTAGTTACTTTCTTCTGGGCATAATCTTTCTATAGATAATCATTTCCAACCATGAAATATTTTAAAAGTTTTAATTTTGCTTAAAAAATTATTTTAGGTATGTTCATCATGAACAATATAAAAAAGTCGACATTTTTGAGAAAAATCTCTCAAATTGTTGCTAGCAAAAGCTTTCTTATGCCGTATTCTACCTAAACATCACGCCGTTCCTTACAAATCAGCCGCGGGACATCACAAAATAATGTATAATACTATGGGATGTTGTCTTCGACTGGCCATGTTCTGGCTGATAAAACCGCCATATCGCGTATGATCAGCGTCTGATTTGACGCCCCAGGAGTGTTCTCTCAGAGTTGCTGTAGGACATAATCCTTCTCCTTATACGACGGGGCCACATATTCATCATCAAGGTCCAGCTTCTGTGGGTCGATCGTTTCTACTTTAGTTGGCTCCAGCGGCTGCGGAAGACTGAAGAATGGGTACGGCTGGGGCTTGAACATCGGTTGGGGTGGGAGATGACCGGTGAATGGGGCAAATCCCGGTGGCGCGAAGCTTGGCGAGTTCTGGCCAAGGTGCATTTGAAGTGGCAATGGTTGAGAAATCGTTGACGGAACGGGTTGATTTTCATTGCGGATATCGCCTTTGGACTGCACTGGTGGGTATTGATGAGGGAATTGCGGAGGTAGAGGGCTGAAACAAAAAATAATTGCAATTACTCCTCATGAACATTGCAAAAAAGAGCCTGATCTTTGAAGGGTAACATCTTTTATCCGAAAAACCTCTTCGCCTAGTTTTTTATCCTGATCGAAAGTCAATGTCCTAAAATTCGAAACAAAACAAAGTTCAAATACTTACTGTCCATTCTGTCCTGGATATGGCCCATGAACGTAATAGGCGGGCTGGCTATTTGGAACGAACACATGCTGCTGGTGCATCGATCTTTTGTGGTCCTGCTCTTCACTCGAGTTGGAACTAGGCCTCTTGGTGCCCTTGTTCTTAGTCGAGTCGATGTATATTGTATCACCACATCTCTTTCGCAAACATGACGCTCCTGGAAGGTATCTGGATTGGAAGAACTTCCTGTCCTGGCACGGCAGGCAGACGTCACAGTCGGGAGCTTGACACTCGGGGCAGGTTCCACATCCCCGGCGAACCTTCAATGTGGCGGCTTCTCGCTGAAAATCAACGAGATTGAAAAACGTTTCTGGCAATCAAGATTTTAGCTATTCATGGGTAATATAAACTGAAAATCCCCGAAATTTTTTTTACACCTGCCGTAAAACAGTCAGTAACACCTTTCCATCACAAATTATTATTTAGCACTATAGTAAATCGCAGAAAGAAACCGCTTTCCTCAAGTTGAATATCTAAAATTTCCGACAACTCCGAAAAAAATGAATTCTATGACGTAGATGAGGAAGATAAACTAAAAATAGCTAATACACATCGATATAACAGACAGCACTTGCTGTTTGAAATATTTTTCACATCAAGGTAGTCAAAATACAAAAAATTTTAACTAATTTCTTCAGTGTATTATCTAAAATCTGTAAAGCGCCAGAACAAGAAATTTTTTGGGGTAAAATTAAGGAATTAGGTCCCAGTAGCAAGGACAGACTCTATTCTATGTGATAATCATTAAAACTGCAGTCAAATCTATCAAAACTGCATTAAAATTATATTATCCATGACCCGTGTGTTACCTAAAAATCGTCAAAAAAATGTAAAATCTCACCTGCAATTTATTCTCCATCACTCTGTGGCATCGCCGCTCAATACAGCTCTGTTTTTTGACACCCGGACCACCAAATAAAGGAGAGTCTAAGCAATACGTGCACTTTCCGCACTGCTTGCTGGTGCAGCCGTCGCATGAGCCGCAACGTTGGGATCGATTCCCTCCCATGATAGGGGTGGACGGTGTGGACGGGGTGCTGGAATGGACTCGGGCCAAATTTGGATTGGTTGGGATATATGATGGCTGCATGAAGGGCCCACTCATCGGGCTAAATGAAGGTTGATTGGGGTTGTGTGGAGGGAAACCGCCGTGATGAAAGAATCCGGGCGATCCATTTGGCACGGCGGAACGTTGGCTCGGAGACCCGAGCATATTGCACTGAAACCGAACGAGAATTTATCTTCTCCCACAGATTTTAGGTAACAAATTCGCGAAAGTCGAGGAAGCTCGGGTATAATCAAATCAAAAACCGTTTAAAGGCTATTAAAAATCAAAGGAATATCAGTTTTGCGTCGACTACCACCAACCCCAAACAAGTTCCATATGTTTTTCCGCGCGAAACAAAAGATTCACTTCCGCCGTCTGGACGGGATAAAATCGAAATGCGGAAAACAGTGAGACAATTAATCGGGGGGCCGAAAAGTGGTGTCCAGTGAATGAAAAGCCCCTTGCAAACAATCTCCCCCAGCGAACAATCCACAAGGGGCGAATTGGGACTTTCGACGGCCCTCTGATCCCATGGATAATATAAATTTGCAAATTTTTTTTGACAAAACTTTCGAATGTATACGAGGGAGCATTGGAGAGGGTTGGGAATGAACCGCTTGTCCGGAAAAACGTCCAAATACCCAGTGAAATAGCCCTTGACAAGTCATTCATTTCTCAAAAATCCCCCCTCGCTTTCCGCCGCTCTCCGTCTCTCTTCCTCTCTCACTTTGCGAAGAAGGACAAAAAAAAATGCGGGCTGAAAAGAAAAGAAACAACACACAAGTGTAAGAACAAGATTCGTCAAGATAACTCGCTCAGATGGAAGGGCTTCTGGAACGGGAAGAGGGGCAGCAGAACAACATTCGTTCTCTCCCCTTCCCCAACCACCGACGAAGCGGACATTCAATACTCGCCCCACCAAAACATCAGAATTCTCCAGTATTTATGCAGTCTGAAAAATAACCCAGCACTTCGCGAATGGCCTCAGGGCTTCGTACTTCGGGACGTTGAGTAAACGCCTCAAAGTGCGCGCTACTATGGCGCGAATTCGGAAGAATTTCGTTTGACCTGATGTACTCAAGGAGAAGATCATCAGAATCCGGATGAATCTCGATTCTTTCGACTGAATTCTTTGCCGATTAGGTATACAAAAGCATGATAAAGAGGTTCAACGCCAATTCAGAGCTAAAAATCGAGGATAAACTACATTTTCAGCGACATTATTTCAGCAGACGGGCTCAAGGAGAAGATCGCAAAAAACTTGACCAATCCTTGATCGTTTCCACTCATTTTTTTTTATAAAACGTAGAAGAAGGCTTGATAAAGACATCTAGAGATACATTTTGGTGCAATTCACTAACCAAAATTTACTATGAAACAGATTTCCAACGAGCTTTTTTTAACTGATGGGTCAAGAAGAAGATAGCTGAAACTCGGTCGATTACGGATCGCTTCTCCCCAATTATTCTTCTAAAAGGAGAAACAAGACTTGACGAAGATATCAGCAAAAAATTTAGATACCAAGTCGACAATAAATAAGACTTTCAATGACCTTATTTTAGCCTTATGGGTCCAAAACAAGATCGCTGAGATTTGGTCAGTTCTTGACCATTTTGAATAAATTCTTTGCCTAATAGGTAAATCGAGAGTTTCTAAAGCTATCTGTCACAAACTCAAAGAAAAATAAAGAACATGAACCTTTTTTTCATCGATTTTTCCCATCAGCTTTGATCAAGGCTAATATAAAAAAAAAATCGTCAAAAAACAAGCTGATTTCCACGAGAAAACACGCAAAAACAGTTTCAAAAGACAGCAAATACTATGCTAATCTCTTTACTGACAAAAAAACCAGAAAAAAAAATTTCGGAAAAAAAACTCTTTTTTGAACGCATTTTTCCCGCCAAAAAGAAGGCGCAGGCTGCGGCATCGGTAGCGAGAGAAAAACAGTAAAAAGAGGATTTCAGGGGCTGTAAAGAGGATAGTCCGCCTTTGTGACGTCACATTTCTGCTTAATTCTGACATAGCTATCCATCATTTTAAATATTATATTACACATGGCATATAGACATTGAGACCGAAAAATATGCGCTAATATTGCACTTTTTGCTAATAAAATTTAAATAGCCCTTGCTCATGTGCCTCCATGTGCCAATTATATAATATTCAGGTCAGACTAAGGGCATTATCAAGGCAAAAATCTAAAAAAAATTGCTAATCAACCCGTTTGAAAGAATTGGTATCAGCGCGAAAACCTGCGAAGATATCAGAAACCAAATGTATGCGAAATAAACCGCAGATCATAGCTGTTATTAGTTGTAAATCTCAAGAAACTAAAGCCACCCCAAACGCTGATAAGACCACTATTATTTTGGACACCATGCATTAAAATAATTACTTTTTTGGGCGACGAAAAATCCCAAATTAAGACGAGTTGTAAAGATTGTTTTGAAGGAGGGGAAGAAGTCATTCGGGTTTGACCCAATTTAGTCTCGAACAGTTAGGTTAAAGGGGTGAAAAAGGAAGGGGGGAGGGGAGAAAGTGCGAGTTGGTGTCATTCGTTTGATCCGATAAAAGAGAGCGGTGAATTAATCATGTTTATTCTCGTCTCACTGTGTTTTGTCATAATTTTGACTATTTGACTTTTCGCAATTGATTTGAGTAAAAACTTGGATTGCATGTGCAATTTTCCAAAATTTTGATTTTCGTACGGTGCGAAGAAAAATTCGAAATTTCGCACAGTGCAAAAAAAATTTGAAAGATTAAAAGATGTATGCCAAGTCCGAAATTTGCAAAAAATTTTTTTGATTTTGAAAATTTTATTTTTCTGCACAGTGCAAAATAAAAATGAAAATTTCGCACCGTGCAAAAAACAAAAAAAATCTGAAAAAATAACGATGCCACAGTATAACAAACTTTGCTAAGTCAAAATGACGTCATGATCACCTTTTTTAAATTAAAATTCGTGAAAGTTTGGTCATTCAGCTGCAATGACCCAAAATTACTGTACCTACCGTAACCCAACACCCTGAATTTTCAAATTTTATAGCCTCAATCCCCTTTTACATAAATCGAAGAGGACAGGGGGGCGACCGTTGAAGCAGAGAAGAGCAAGAAAGGAAAAAATTAAATAATAAAATCCACATCTGCCACCCCTCCCTCTGATCTTCCTCTCCAACCCTATTATTTGACAATCTAATCCCATGATTAATGTAGATGGCAGCTCTCTGTTTGAAAAAGTGCACAGCTAGCCACTGAGAGACATTGTAGCGACTGCACAGTGCAGAAAAAATTAGAGAGAATTTCTGCGCATTGCAGAGATTTCTTTTTGAAAAATAGCCGTGGATTTTGGGGGCAATTGACGCAAATTTAGGTTATAGCTTTGCTAAGACTTATGTAAGAATTCTGCAACGCATTTTACAAAAAAACCGAAAATTAGAGCCAAAAACGGTTTTTCTGCGTCCGCACGGTGCAAGCCAAAATAAAATAAAAATTGCACAGTGCAAAAGAACCGACAAATTTCTTTTCCTAATGCACCGTGCAAAAACCTCTTTTTGAGTCGAAAGATTACCGCACAGTGCGACGAATACCAGTCAAAACGCACTGTGCGAAAAAATAAAAAATTGGATGCACGGTGCAAAAAAAAGTTTGCTGGCCACAGATTTTTGAATTTTGCGTGGAAAAAAATGATTTTCTGTAAACGGATTGTGCATTTCAATTGGAATGACTTATCAAATTTTGAGATCGAAAATCGACCAAAAATTTTCGACCAAAAAATTGGTCGTTTTCGAAAATTATGAACTAAACCTTTTTCCCATAACATTTACTCCGAATACTAGCAAAATGTCATATTTTGACATACTAGTCCTTCCGGAAAGCCACCGGACCGATTTTTGGCGCTTGCACTGTGCGAAAAAAGTCAGGGTGCGAGCGACAGCCAAAAAAAGCCTGCACGGTGCAAAAAGCAAGAAATTGCACAGTGCAAAGAAAACTTTTGTTTTCGCACAGTGCATGTTGCAAAAATCACGTCAGCGACATTTCTGAAGGACAGTATTATCTTAACCAAGTTTTGTCAGGACTACAAAAAAACCTTTTTTTCATGTGCACTTTTCTTTTTCAAAAAGTGGAAGCTCAGGCTTGGGAAGGCGACGAAAAAATGAAAAGAATCAGTCTGTCGATTGATAACATCTGATTATGGATTTCGACCTTGAAAGGAGAAGGGGAGAAAGACGCGTCCTTCTTTCGCTATAAAAAGGAGGGAGGGAGGTCCGTAAATCTTCTGGGTCAAGTGGAAAACAGCCTCTGACACTGCATGAGGAATTTGGATGAAAAAGTCGTGACGCATGCAGTTCACTGAAACATGGCTAGAATTTACAGTGGAGTTTGTGAAAGCATCCGCGAAAGGATTTGGCTTTCAATTTGCAGAAATCGCTGAGATTTTTAATTCAAAAAAATAAAAAATCTCAATTTTATTTCTCGATGCTGGCTCAAAAATTTTTGAGTCTATTACTGATGTGGCTCACAATATCTCTACAAAAAATCAAATTTTTCCAAGGGCAATTCAAAAAGATACAAGCGAAAAATATCGTTTGTCTCGCCGACCCTCCCCAATTTACGCACTCTCTCTCGAAAAAAGAGCATATCTCAGCTGTCCCTGTAAAGAGCTAGCTAAAATTCTCAGGGATGGATGCGTAGTCTAGAAAGAGATAATAGATAAAAATTGAAGAAAACCAAAGCGTCAAAGCTACGAGAAATTTTTCTTGCGACGTGATGATTGACGAAGGGAAAAATCTCAATTTACGAAAAAATCCCGGGGATTTTTTTGGATGTGTGACTTGAAATATACTCTAAAGAGGGCTTAGATTTTTTTAAAGACTAATTTTTTTCAGAAGTTTTCATTTTTTTCACAAAAGAAATTTTTTTCACCGCCTAAGTAAAAAAATCGTTTTTTAGAGGGGAAATCGTATAAAATCTTGCTCCAAAATACCTTTGTAAGCCATGATACTTCTCATAGAGACCAATGGAGTCCAAAAACACAAAGAAACAGAATTGAAACCGCTAAAATTGTATTTGTCATCTACTACAACAAAGTGTAAAAACTCATTTCAAGTCCAAATCCACGCATGCAACGAGTCAATTGGCTAATCGAGACCGTTTTTTAGAGTGCA